CAAATTACTGACAAAAGGGCTATAAAAGTTCCAAAAACGACATAGAAGGATGGCTTTGGCTGCTGCTGTTCCTGTCGTCCTCAGTACTTCGTTCTTCCTCTTGCTTTCGTTTAGCATGCGCCCGCTGGATTTGAACTCGCTGGGTTGCTCTTGGCAGTTGGAGAAACAACTCCCAGGTCCTTATTCAAATGAAATAGAAATTATATACAATTCTGCGAAACGTTTTTGTCGGAAGTGCAAGTGGAAATAAATCCCGGAGAAAAACAACTAAGAACTTCAGCCCCGGGGCAAGGACATGTACGTGAAATATCGCGGCACAAATTCTTGAAGGGCGATCACTATGAACACTGATAGTCACTTCTCCTTGTACTTGTCTCCGTTGCAAGTGCAGATTTTGATTGATCACAGTGTGCCTCGAATCACAGACACGTGACGATCTAGATTTTCGCTGCCTGTTAGCACTCATTTGAATTTCTCGCGCAAATTCTCATGCGATTATCGGTGCAAGCGCGCCCTGGGTTGGAACTATGCCCTGCTTAGTGGCGCTCCTTATGGTTAGAGAAATTGAAGGAAGAGCTCGAAGTTCGAACGAAGCTCCGGTCGCCTTATTGTTATTTTGACATACAGGTCGTCGAGCACACTTTCTTATGGATGATACCACTCCAGAAGCAAGATCCTGCTTCCTCTGTTCCTCTTCCGAGCAGCGGCCACCGAGTGGGAATAGTACTAGAAGGAACGAAAGGAGTCTTTTCACCAGAATCAACATTATTCGTGTCGGGCGGGAATCGCCGCAGAAGAAAACTTTTACTGTGTGTGGTAAGTTCGTTGTAAGCAATATAAAGGAAGCGCTATGCCTATGGTCGCAATCACATCATCAATATCCGCGTAAGTCAAATTTGAATTTCATTGTCGCCTTACTGTATACATTGTGAGCCGGCTCGTGCGTATAGAAAAAAAAGTATGACATACTTGATAGATACCTCCCCTGTTGGAGGTGAAAGTAACGAGTCGCTCTCGCTTTCGCGGAATGTGGCCCATGGTACTCTGCAGACTTTATTCGTCTCTTCGATTTTCTTCGGCTGCTTGCCTTTCTTCGAGTAGTTTCATCCTTTCTTCGGCTGCTCGCCTCTCCTCGAGTTGTAGTTTCCTTTCTTCGGCTGCTCGCCCCTCCTCGAACTCCTTCCTCGATTCGAATACTTTTTTTTGCGGACTTGGACTCGTAGTCGTTAGCAAAGGAGCCGCTGCTTTTTCCCGTTCAGCGGTAGGGGGTGGAGGTGGTGCGTCAGGAGCCAACTGCACCCCCGGCACGCTGCCGTCCTTTCCTTTGCCGCCTTGGGCCTCAACCGGTACGAAGAGCTTCGACTGTTTAAATGAATCAATTAGGAGTAGATAACGTTTCAATAATTTAAATTGAGTAGCACGCACGCAACAGCAACACCCCCTCAACATCACGAAATACATTATAGCATCCGCAGCGCTGCAAGAATTAAAATCACGTACCAGCCTTAGGCGGTGGGCTCTGGTCAACTTCCGGCGTTCACTGAGAAATTTGAAGGACATCCGGTCGAAATACCCAACTGCGGTCCAGAATTCCGCCACGCTCTTACCGTAGTACATGCGTGCTACCGCCTCTTTCTCCACGTCGGCGCGTGCCTTAGTGATGACCTCACCCAGGTGCTGCACGCTGTGGTGGGTCACGCCCGTCTCGCGAAAATGCCGACACAGCTCCAGGACCTCACCTTCGTTGATCTCCTGGAGAACGTCTATGATCTGTTAGTGATAGTATGTGGAAATTCACCATGAAATCAGGAGACACAAAAAAGCAAGAAACGGCTGCCGTGCTGAAATCGAATTATAAATGGAGTTCTTTTTCTTCTAAAAATCCGATTTACATTTTTGTATGCACGACAATAAATTCGCTGTACTACTGCACTTCTGCCTATTCCAGTATGAAAGCAATACTAGTACGATCTCAGAGTCCGCGATTTGTGGTTTCTTGATCAGGGGCAGTAAAGGTACGAGACCGGACAAAGCGTCTGCGAGCATCGTGTCGAAGCTGGCAGAGAGCTCGCTGATGTCCGCATCTTTTTGGTATCGCTCCTGTGCGGCCTGGATCTCTTCCGGCGCCACACCCGACTCCTGCAGCACCGCCATCTGAATGGCCTCCAGCTTCTCCATAGCGCCGCTCTGCTGTACGAGCTGCTGCTTCAGCTGCTCTTCCGGAAACTGTGAACAATGGCGATAGATGTGCATGAAGTACAAACAACGTAAAAATGAAAATCACTCTGTCGGGAGAATTAACATCTTCTCAAGACTTTCATTCATTCTACTCCGCCTATTTATACATAGTACCGATGTCTTTGCAAAGCAAAAGCAAAAGGTTGACAAAATTGCAAGAGAAGTTACTTAAGTACCAGTACAACTATCGATCTACGACGTTGTCCATGATGAACAAATAGTAGCACCACATTTATTTTACCGACATGTTTTTCGCCTCCAAATTTTCGCGGACGGAAAAGCTCATCTCGCTGAACTCCCGGCACTTTTCGTGGAACGCCGCTGCGAGTTTCTGCAAAATTTCCTTCGTCCTGTCCTTGGAAAGGGCTTGGCTGCTTGAGGAGCTAGTAGAGTTTTTTCTCCTGTAGTGCTCTACGGCGAGGTAGGTCCCTACCACCGTCGAGACCAAGGCGGTCACAGCCAGTGCTGTAGTACTGGAGCTGGCATCACGCCATCCCTTCGATCCGCTCGAACTCGCCATAGTACTTCTTTCTCAATCAAACTTGAGGATGAGGTCCCGTCTTCATACGAATTCTAGCACAAGATAATAGGGATACGGAAAATCAAAATTTAAATTCCGACTGTTTAGCAGTTTCAAGGAAAATTAAGTATATCAAAAGGGAAAAAACCCTGTTTTATCTCGCGGCATAAGACGCTACCTGCAACATATGATACAATGCCTCAAAGAGAGTTACAACATCAAACTCCAACACTGCGGGAGACTGACTGGCACATCAACATCACAAACTTATATCATTGAGGATCCCAAAAAAAAAGCATCAGGCTTACCCGCTGATGCTCAGGTGGTCGGACACTGATCGATAAAGACTAAGAACTAAGACTTAGACTATTGCCTTCAACAAAAAAAAAATCGCCTCCAAAAAATAATGGACAATCGACGGACTCCCTCTCGCATCACTTCTTCATCTTCTTTTTGTGCACCCAAAAAAAAAAAGTAGGTACAACTACAAAGAAAAAATGGAGATGGGAAATTGTGGTCCATTCAAAGATAGATCCTGAAGATCGTCGCACTGTCACACGGTTTCAAAAATCAAAAAGAAAGGATCGTGCAACGTGCGGATGCGTTGGATCTGTCGCATGCGCATCACTGGCATCGATACTTAACACTCGACGCGATTTCCTCCGCTGTCCTTTGTTTCGGACGGAGGCACATCTTTGTATGTCCCACGAAACCTGACATAAAAATATGAATGAGAAGGAAAATATTGGTGGTGTTCAATGAATCTGTACAGACAAGGTGGTTTGCTAAATCTGCGAGCATGGTTTCCTAAATCTTTCATTTCCTGTTGAGATTCGCATTCGAAATTCCGACCAGGCCCAGTCAACTGCCACTGAGCTTTATGAATACAGAAGCAGAAAATTGTTCACAGCATGCATGTGCATCTCGTTCAATCCTTAGAGTTAGTAGTTAAGTAATACTGTACAGCAAATCAAAATATAACCAGGGAAGCTCAAGCTTTTAGCCTTTTCCAGATGACTACTGGTTTAGTATGATTGATGTGTGTGATTGGAAGTAGGCCGTGAGTGCTGGCCCCAACGAACAGGCTAGCGCTAGAAGGAAGCACGTACGAGGTGGATGATGATGAACTAGGAGCTAAAATTAAAAAACAGATGAAACGATGCATGAATAAGAGTGAGTGAAGCTGCACCTGGACCTGCAGCACACACATGAAAATGATTAAACAAAAATCAATGTTGTGGCACTTGCTAATAAAACCATTGTTATGTTTGAAAACGATATTCCGCAGTAGAATCTATTGGTAGTTTGGCATTCTTTTATTCCTTGTTCATTGATTTTGTATCATCAGTCGGGTGCTCCAGGAGACGAGCACGTGGCACTAAGGCATTTCTCACCCAGAGACGGCACATTTCTTAACTGGTACTGGTACGAAGCAATGAATAGTAAGGCTCGAAAACGACACTCATCATGAGGAGTAAGTATCTATGCCTCGTGTACGTGTTCATCATCTTCCTGTGTTTCTATTTACTTTTTGTTTCATGGAAATGATGATAATTAATTGTCTCGAAATTTTTCATTGCATCTCCGGCAACGGCGTGTAGATCTTCGGCGTGCTTGCTGCACCAGTACTAGCAGCGCCACGGTGGACGCGTTGGCGCGGGGGACCCGAGGACTGCGAGAAGAGATTCTTCATAACTTTCGCCTTGGCTTCCTGTAGCGAGCGGTGATCCATCTCTGGCGAGGAGGCGGAGTTGTTGCCCCCGGTGCTGCGCAAGCGGCCCCGCACGCCGGCGAAGCTCTCGAACAACCCCCCGGACAGGTGCTCGATCTTCCGGGTGGCTGCCCCAGCCGTGGACGGCGATAGAGAATTCGCTTCGCTGCGGGTCGTCGGACTTTTGGTGTTTCTAGTTGTACCTCCGGGATGAAGTGGAGCTCCGCCGCCCGGGGTTCCGAACGAAGAAAGTTGCCGCTCTCCGCCGTCCCTTGATGCGGCCAGCAGTGGGTTTCTCTCGAACAACCCAGGTTCCTCGAGCTGTACCTCCCGGGCCGCGGCCTGCGCCAGTAGGTGATCGAGGCGACTCGCGGTCGCGGTGGTTGCCGTGGCGGGCGTGGGTGCCGATGAGAGTGCCGTCGCGGGATCGAACAACATGTCGCTGAAGCCGCTTTTGTTGGTGCGCTCTCCCTTAATATTTTCTGGCAAGTCACCTGACCGTCGCCAACTCACGTTGCTGCGTGCCCGGGGCGGCTCGTCACCGCGCCGCGGCTCGGCCAGCTGCGCCTGGTTGCTCCGGAATTGCGATCCTGTCGTGGACGACGAACAAGCGACATCGGGTTCGGCCCCCGCGAACAAACGAGAAGACGAGGCGTTGTCCTCTGTCGTGTCCGCTCGTGAAATAGTTTCGCCCCCCACGCTGAGATCTAATAGCTGCACGGGCCCAGCACCATTTCGCTCGATCTCGACGTCAAGGTCAACATGAACAACCGCTGTCTTAATATTGTCCTCGCGTCCCCCCGGCACCAGCGGTGACTTTTTTTCTGCCCCCTCCGCCTCGGCGGACGAGACGACCAAACGCGGCACCTCCGGCGACGACCGGCCCGGTTGGTCTGGAGAACCAAGCCCCGCGTCTAGAGACGGTCTCTTTACTCCCGGGGAATAAAATTCCTCGGAAATGATCTCAGCCGGTGGTTCCACTGGATCAAATTTTCTCGCCGCTCTGCTGCAGCTCTGGACCAAGTCCTTTGCACGACTTTCATCTGGTGTAGCTGCATCTTGCAAAAGCTGTGCTCTCGCAACTTCTGGAACTACATTTTTATACGAGTCCACAATTACATCGTCAACAGCAGCTACAGCAACGTAGTTGTTGGTTGTGGTAGTTTCATCATTTGCTTTGCCGATGGGTTCCTCCAGCGATGTTTCGCAGCTCGCGTGAAAATTTGTGTTTGGTGTGGCGCGTGTGAACTGCGTTAGCAATTTCAATGGTGCTGGTGGTCGCGTTCCCCGCACCTCCACCTGGTCGCCGTCAAGATGATCGGCTGTTTGATGTTTCTCTGCGTCTAACATGGTCCCTATCTGACTGACTCTCGTATCGTAGTCGATCAGAACCTTGTTGGCTGCAGCTGCAGTTCTACTCGACGCAGAGGCTACCTTTTCAGGCGACGTAGTCCTGCTTCTTGGTTGAAATACCTCATGATCTGGTGCTCTCGCCCAGGGCAGCTGCTGAACTGGAACTGCTGGCGTTCTTACTGTCACTGCTGCTTCTACATCGGCCTTGCTGGTCCTGGTTCGTGGAGGGGGTCCTCGTTCGGTGGAGGGGGTATAGCTAGCGGAAGATGAAGACCCTGATCCCGGAAGCTGCGGTACAAGTATCCCGCCACCCATATTTTGCGCTGCGAGCGCGGCAAGCAACTGTTGCTGAGTGGCAAGCATCATCGCAATCCACTGCTGATTGTCGTGGCCCGCCGCTGCTCCTTCTGGCATAAACATGAAGTTCTGCTTACTCGGCGAGGCGGATGTTGCGGGGTTTGAAAAAGATTCCCCCCTAGCTGCACCCTGGTAACCGAAAAGCCGCTGCGCGAAGGGGCTCGTACTCGCTCCCGGGCGTCCTCGGCCTGGTGGTGCTGCGGCGGTGCTGGGTGATGCAAAATATGGATTGGTTTCACCACGGGAGGACGCTGCCATTGTTCCTACTCCGCGGTGGTCCCCGCGCATTGGAATGCGGGTTGGTATCATCGCATCGGTGGCGAAAGGATGGGCCGTCGCCGCCGTGAGTGGTTGTAGAGAGGCGTTCATACCGAAGGGAAAAGCGACTTTGGTCGCCCCCCCGGGACCAACGTGACTGGTGTTGTACGGGGCGGGTAAACTTTCCGCCGGCTTTGTCGGCCGTTTGCTGGGGCCAAACATATCGAACCCCCCGACCCCCCGTCCGGCCCCGAGCAAGCCCGGACTTCTGCCGTCTTGCCCGACTCGCTTGGCCGGAAAGTCCACTTGCGTCGGGCGCACCTCCGGCACCGGTTGCCCCTGCTGCCGCGGCGGGCTCGGAGTCTGTTGGTCACGACGGTAGCTCTTTTGTTGAGAAGGCAATCGCGGGACGGGTGGTTGTTCTTCGTCCAACGAGGTTTTTCTCGTTGGAGTGCTGGCCCCCGCTCTGTTATTTTTTGAGCTGGTCGCGCGTCCACTTCCCGGTGCGACTGCAAGCGCCGCGCTTGTCCGCACCTCGTGGTCGTCCCCCTGGGACATGTGGTGCAAAATCAGCTCGCCCCAAACCTCGCGCGCCTGGTCGTCGCTGCTCCATGGATACTTGGTAAGCCACGCGTCGTAGGACAGTGGAATACCGTCACGCGGGTCGAGCCGGCGCTCCCCGAAGTGCTGTTGCTTTCGGTTTTCGTCCAGCGGACTCGTTTCGGGCGGAAGGTTTGTCAGCGGGTCGCGAAGGCCGCGGATGGCTTGCCCGGCCTCGTTGGGTTCTGGCTGGGAGAACCGGGAAACCAGCATGTGGAAGGCGGGAGCTTCGGTCGGTAAAGGGGGCGACCGCGACCGCGCATAGCTACCCTCGGTGTCATCGTGAGCTCTCGAGGTCCTCCGACTTGCGTCATTAGAAGACCGTGTGGCCGCGGCCGCTGGACCGGAAGGACGAGTACCTGCCTGGTTGTCTCTGTTACGTTCGGCTGAGTCTGCGCTCGAGCCGCGCTCTTTCGTGAACGCGGCTTTATCCCGGGGTCCTTTACTGATAGTACCACGTCCCGTCGCAACCAACTCCGAGAGTGAACGCGGCTCCGAGTAATCTTGTTGCTCATCCGCGTCGTTGGCATTTCTTGGTTCTTTGCTCGTTCTGTTGAACTCACTTACTTCCCTGGCGTCCACTGTAGCACCCAGCTCCTTGTACTTTTTGACGCCGGCAGGTCGTGTTGCAGCACCACTAGCAGAAGCGCTTTTTTTGCTACCAGTCGTTCCGCGATCAGCGGCACTAGCTGTGCTGCTTCCGCGTCCCTGCGCGGCACTCACCCTGGCCTCCTGTTTGGTCGGGGGCACAAAGATGGTTTCCTCCTCCGTCGTGGGCGGGACGTCATCAGAATCCGGAAAGTCTGCGCCCGAGGGCTCTTTCCCAAGCACCGAGGCCTTTGAAGAAGACGGCGGCTTCCGACTCGGTGTCCGGCTTAGACCCAACTTCATGGATATGGCGAGCGCGCGCTCCGAGTCCGGCCCCTCTTCCGCTATCGCTTTACGCAAGTGGCCTTCGAGCGTGCGCTGTATCAGTGCGTCAATGTCTTCACTGACGGTCACGTTACTCTTGTTCCTCCCTGTACCTGAAGGAGCAGAAAATCTATCAGTCGAGTATCAGGATAAAGTAACATGATCTGCCGTTGATATTTTTACGATTACTGAAAAGTTTCAGTTTTCCTTTCGTTGTGTGCACGTAAAAACATTTAAGTAGTCTGTCTCCTAAGAACGACCTTGAACTTAGCTGTACATGCTTTGGACTGAATTTTTAGAAGAGGAAGACTAAACAACAAAGGTCTTCAACACAAGTACTTACCGCTCTTATCCAGGGGTCCTGACGTTCCGGATTTTAGCAAATCTCCTCGTGATCCGCCACTCGCCATATCTCCCTCGTCGTAGCCTTGAGAGGTGATGTCGTCTTGTTTGGTTACCACCCGATAGCCCGAGACGTCCTGTCGGTCAACGACGTTGTTGTTCTCGTTGGCGTAGTTCTCAAAATCTTTTGCCGCTGCCTCGTGTTCCGCTACATCTAATTCGCCAGGTTCCACCGATTTCTGGTATGACAAGAAACGGGGCTGCTCACTGAGCAGTGTTCCGCCTTGCGTGAATAGCGGCCTTTCCGGCACTGCAACCGGCGGTCTCGCCTTGGCTTTTGCTCGGGTGAAAATGACCTGGCGCAGGCGGTCGGCGGCGCCCCTCGGGAAGTGCTGGCCGACGTCGGAGGCGGAGGTCGGGATGCGGTGATGCTGCCCACCGACCCGCTCGTACGCACTGGTTCCATCCGGGCGGCGCGAACCCTGGCGCTTCTTCCAGTGGTGCGCCGGTGCGATGCCGTCAAAGGTCTTGGCGGACCGGGGACACGAGTTCCACCCGGGTGCACCCAGGGGTCTCACCATCCCCCGGGAGTGGTGATACGCCATCTTGATGTTCTCCCCCTGGCGGGTCGTGAGACCACTAGATCTGCTTCCTCCACCGGGTTGTTTGCTGCTAGACGTGGAAAGTGCACCAGCGCCACTCTTCATGGTATAATTCAGCGAGTTGTTCATCGTGTCGTCCAGCACAGGAGCTGCACCCTCCGCAGCACTGGATGTAGTAGTCTCCACCGCGGGTGCGGACTTGGGGCGCCGCGCGACCACTCCGACTGCGGCGTCTCTGCGTTGCATGAGCTCGTCCTCTATGAAATGTAAAAATGTCTGGGTCTGGAAGAGTCATACTGTTTTTGCATGACACAGAAGGTCTGGCATGGAAGCTCTAGCATCACAGGCTTCGAGAAGCTTCAGCAATGCCAAATCAACATGACAAATCCCCCATTTTGGTGACAGAAAGTGGGCAGCTTTTGCTACCTATGCATGAGAGATTTTTGTGTGTTGTGAAATGCGCATCACAAGTTGCATCCTTCCAGACCCAGACATTTTTGCATTTGATATCCTCCCGCTCGAGCGCTTCCGCGGCGGCCCGCAGATCCTGCACGGCCAGGTCGGCCACCACCGGGCCGGGGGCGAGCCGGTTGGCGGGGCTGTACCGGCGCTCGAACGCACCCGAACCCGTTTCCAATCCGAATTTTGACGATCGCTTCCGGGATTCCACCGTGGGCTTGTCCAGCGAGAGCATTTTTTCATTCGCCTGGCGAAGCCGCGCGAGCTCCTCCACTTTCTCCGCCTCGCGGGCCTCCACGAGTGCACGCATCTTCCGCTTGGTCATCGGCACGTCGCGGTTGTGCTTCATAAACTCGTCGGCCAGCGTGGCGTAGCTCTTCGGACTCCCGTCCTCATTGTGCGATTGGAAGTGCCGGTGCTCGTCCCACTCCGAAAGCTTCCCCTCCGCCACCCAGTCCGGTGCCTTCTCCAAAAGTTCCAACTCGTCCATGTTTTGCTGGGCAAAATACGCAAACCGGGCACCGCGAATGCGCTCGCGGTTCTTCGCAACGCGATCCTGATTCCGATTTTTTTCCTTTTCGACAAGGTGGAACAAACATTATATAAATTCACACTCCTGGCGCAATTCACCCAACGAGCGAAAGCGCGCGGAAACGATGATAATCGAAGGCAGTGCTGACGCGCGCTGCAGTCCTCGTCGCGGGACGCCCTGCGACGGTCACACTGGCGAGCAAGAAGAGAACCCGGCCGGCACAGCGAGCTACAAGTAGCAAGCCGCGCGAGCCAAGCTCTCAAACCCCACAGAGCCACGCCCCGGACGTGAAGGTGGGCCAAGCCGTGGAACACGACATGGCCCACCGAACATCTGGGGAGGCTTGCGGGGGGTGCCGCAGGGTATCTCGCAATGAAGCTGCAGCAGCTGGGTGGGAGGGCGGGGAAAAAACGCCGAGTCCAGGCAAGCCCGGACGAAGCGGAGATTCTAGATAGAGGACAGAGAACCAGCGGAAGCTGGTCGACATCGGGCAGCCAGCCCGACGTCGGAGTGTGCAACCCTCTTGCTTGATCATGTAAATTGATATAACTGCTACGCACGACATATAAATTCACATTCCTGGCGCAATTCACCCAACGAGCGAAAGCGCGCGGAAACGATGATAATCGAAGGCAGTGCTGACGCGCGCTGCAGTCCTCGTCGCGGGACGCCCTGCGACGGTCACACTGGCGAGCAAGAAGAGAACCCGGCCGGCACAGCGAGCTACAAGTAGCAAGCCGCGCGAGCCAAGCTCTCAAACCCCACAGAGCCACGCCCCGGACGTGAAGGTGGGCCAAGCCGTGGAACACGACATGGCCCACCGAACATCTGGGGAGGCTTGCGGGGGGTGCCGCAGGGTATCTCGCAATGAAGCTGCAGCAGCTGGGTGGGAGGGCGGGGAAAAAACGCCGAGTCCAGGCAAGCCCGGACGAAGCGGAGATTCTAGATAGAGGACAGAGAACCAGCGGAAGCTGGTCGACATCGGGCAGCCAGCCCGACGTCGGAGTGTGCAACCCTCTTGCTTGATCATGTAAATTGATATAACTGCTACGCACGACATATAAATTCACATTCCTGGCGCAATTCACCCAACGAGCGAAAGCGCGCGGAAACGATGATAATCGAAGGCAGTGCTGACGCGCGCTGCAGTCCTCGTCGCGGGACGCCCTGCGACGGTCACACTGGCGAGCAAGAAGAGAACCCGGCCGGCACAGCGAGCTACAAGTAGCAAGCCGCGCGAGCCAAGCTCTCAAACCCCACAGAGCCACGCCCCGGACGTGAAGGTGGGCCAAGCCGTGGAACACGACATGGCCCACCGAACATCTGGGGAGGCTTGCGGGGGGTGCCGCAGGGTATCTCGCAATGAAGCTGCAGCAGCTGGGTGGGAGGGCGGGGAAAAAACGCCGAGTCCAGGCAAGCCCGGACGAAGCGGAGATTCTAGATAGAGGACAGAGAACCAGCGGAAGCTGGTCGACATCGGGCAGCCAGCCCGACGTCGGAGTGTGCAACCCTCTTGCTTGATCATGTAAATTGATATAACTGCTACGCACGACATATAAATTCACATTCCTGGCGCAATTCACCCAACGAGCGAAAGCGCGCGGAAACGATGATAATCGAAGGCAGTGCTGACGCGCGCTGCAGTCCTCGTCGCGGGACGCCCTGCGACGGTCACACTGGCGAGCAAGAAGAGAACCCGGCCGGCACAGCGAGCTACAAGTAGCAAGCCGCGCGAGCCAAGCTCTCAAACCCCACAGAGCCACGCCCCGGACGTGAAGGTGGGCCAAGCCGTGGAACACGACATGGCCCACCGAACATCTGGGGAGGCTTGCGGGGGGTGCCGCAGGGTATCTCGCAATGAAGCTGCAGCAGCTGGGTGGGAGGGCGGGGAAAAAACGCCGAGTCCAGGCAAGCCCGGACGAAGCGGAGATTCTAGATAGAGGACAGAGAACCAGCGGAAGCTGGTCGACATCGGGCAGCCAGCCCGACGTCGGAGTGTGCAACCCTCTTGCTTGATCATGTAAATTGATATAACTGCTACGCACGACATATGTAAAGCAGAATGACATAAAAAAATATAGTGGGTATGGGCCTTCAGAAGTCTCCCCCGACTTGTACGTACAACTGCCACAACTTTGCAAAAAAGAGAAAATCCGTTCTTGCCATAGTACCTTGAAATAGGCCCCATCGCGTTGCCGTGCGCGAGGAGTCAAGTGTGTCGTTCCCTCCGGTTTGCTGCAATCAAGAAGCAAAATAATGCGTTGAACTAGTACACCTCGGGCGTTGCTTATGCTTGCATGGTTGAGTGGATGACCAGCATGACCTTTGATTGTTGTATCTATGTATCAGAATTTAATGCGGTCACGCGATTGAAAATCCAATCGAATCAGCTGACAGCAGCACATCATGGCGAGGAGATTATCAAAGAACCATCATGCAAAAATGGCATAGCCCTTCTGAGACAAAAAACCGCCACGCTTTTCGCCTTGAATAGTCGCCGTTCTGACTTTGCCGCATGTTTTCCACGGACCGCATGAGACGTGCGTTGGTGTCCTCCAAGTAGTCATCGAACAACTTCGAATTCCACTGTCCCGTTGCACTGTACTGCGTGTGCTGCTGGGGAAACACAGGCTTCGCCTGGAACCCGCCCGTGGACACCGTTGGCGCATATCCGAGGTATTTCGTCGACTGCTTCACCGACTTCGCAAAGTCCGCTGCAATCTGCTCCGACACGTCCTTGACCAGGGGTCGCTTCTTCGCGTGCGCTTCGTCCAGAACCACAGCGTCGCCTCGGCTCTGCAGCAGCCCGAAAGAACCCGCGGTGGGACGTGCCGGTCTGCTGCTCTTACTTCCTTGTTTCTATCCTGAGTAAAAACGTACCCACACCAGAGTCAGGATGAGGATTTTGCAACACAAACCTCGGAGTTTTGTGAGTCACGCATGACAAGCTGCACTCTGCAGCGTAGTGCAGGTTAGCAAGTGCAGCCGCGTCACAGATTCATCTGCTCATCCTGTTCACAGCATCACAAATTCCAAAACACGATTGGAAATGGCTCTCATGGGGATGCGCATTACAAGTCTTCCTGTCTTTGCAAATCTGCATTACAACTCTGGTGTGGGTACGTTTTTACTCAGGATAGTTTCCGCTTGTTTACTACTTGCACCTTTCCCTGCGACGACCAGGTCAAGTCCTCGGGCTGTACCAGACGGAGATCGTCGTCTATGCAAGAAAAAAACTGTGTAAGTGTAAACTTGTGTTGCAGAGCATGCAACAGAGTTACACCTGTCATGCCAGACAGACACGAAGTCCTCTTTCCATGTGTGTTTTCCCTTATAAGCCACGCATGACAGGTTTTCTTTGTCATGTAGAGCAAATTTGTGATGCTGTGTCTCAAAGAAAGTTACACTTACACACTTTTTTTCCTGGATATCGTCCACCAACACATTACCCAGCGAATCAATCAAGTACACAAAATCGGGCGTCTCCCCTACGAAGATCGTGTCCGGGTCTTTGGGACCCCGGCGCGCATGCAACCGGTTCGTGCTTGCGAATGAAAAGGCGCCCGGGTCATCTTGATCCGCGCTGGGCGCTGGGCGGTGGAGCACCATTTTTTTTTGCTCTCTAGTTTAACGTTTCTGCCCTACGGTGGTGACGCCATTTATTCGTACAGAAACTGGCCCTTTCTGAAAAAAAAACAAAGAACATGGGGCTCAGACCACCACCAAACTAATCTATGAAGTGTAGATACGATCTTGTTCATCAGCGATACTTATATGTTCGTCGCAACGGAAACCAACGTCTTCTTTTTCTGACATAGTTGCTTCAACTTGTCTACGAACCTCTACACCGACTAAGCCTGAGTCAATGACGTAAGTAGCACCGATCCAGGAGTTTCACGACACACGATCATCACGACGTAGGTAGACTGCTGCGCGACGAAGGACGATAGCTTTCATTTCGACCAGCGACCACGGAATGGGATGAATCCGAGACAAGCACAGGTTTTGACATTGAGAATTTTGTAAAAATTTTTCAGTGAATCAAATATGTGACGAGTCTGTTCCTCGCATCGAGGATAAATACTTGAAGTCATTTACCTGAAAATTGCGACAATTCACGAGCACGATGACGCCAATACCATTCTGTACCGAAACCGATCTGAAATGGTGTAAGATCATGTTTTTTGTACGATTCGCTGTGAGCAAGGACTGCGCCAGCGGCTTCACGAAAACTAACGTAGCTTTTTGAAACACCTGGACACCGTGACACAGAAATAAGAAGCCGCCATAGCCACCCACCACCAATCGAAGGTCTGCTCATGTTGCGGCTACCTCTTGAAGTGAGTACCTCATTCGCTGCCTGCTGCCACTTGCAAGCTTCCACTTTATTTTCGCACAGCCAGCTGCTCTGCCCCTGCAGAAAAGACGAAGAGCAACAATTGAATTCCCAATAGAAACACAAAATGGGTTTCATCCACCGCGAAGCTCCACGAGGAACTCAATACTTGCGGTTCATTTCTACGACGATGGGGCCTCTTGGCTGCTGATCGGAGGACACAGGCCTGCCGTGTGTTACCAGGCCAGGCTGTTCGGCACCACTGCCGCCACCACTGCCTACCGGAGGAAAAAACGCGCCGCCCTCTGGCTGCGGCTGTTGCTGCATGGGATATAGCAATTGCCCGTCCGGCCCTATCACGGGTTGCGCGTTGTTCATCTGGTACATCACCATCGGGGGCTGGCCGCTGCCAGGCCCTCCTGGAGCATGATAGCCTGCGTACGTCTGGTACTGCATTCCTCCAGGTGGAGGCGGCCCGTACGAAGATGGTCCGCCGAAAGCTTGTTGCTGGTGCTGCATCATCATTTGCTGCTGCCCCGCACCGTACACCACCTGTGGCTGGGCCCCCGTGTTGTAATATGTGTGCCCCGGAGGATTTTGGTTCTGTTGGCGGCAACAGACGCAGAAGATAACCGCGCACGTGCCGCAGCATAGGCACATTACGGCTAGGATGATGATAAGCACTGCCCACACCGGCAGCTCACTGAAGTCCCCGCACTCTCGGCCGACCAGGGAGTATCAACTGTAAAAATGTCTGGGTCTGGAAGATTGCCAGGTTTGTCATGCAGGTTTTTTTTTTTTTTTTGAATGCGGGAGGGGATTTCGGCCTCTATACACGGCTACCCACATGCAAAAAAAACTACTTTCTCCCGGTTGTGCGATGCGACTGCATGTCTGTCCCAGATAGCAACATCGGCACGTTTATGTATCGCGGCGCCCGTTTGATCTCTGTTGCTATGTGTGACGTCTCAGGCGCAGAGCGCTTCGACGTCAGTACCTGTCCCGTCCAGCCCTTCAGTCCTGTTTAGCTGCTCCTGTATATAGGTAGCATCGTGAGCCCTTTCCTTCTCTTTAGATCCCCAAATATGAAAAGAAGTCACGTCCTTCTTTTGTTAAGACACTTCATATTTTTCATCACATTAATCTTCATACATATCTGCTATTCCAAGCCAGTGCTCATACATAGCTTCACATTCGAAAATGCAGCGAGAGACTTTCTCAGAATACGTATCACATAGCAGATGTTGTTACCCGCCTGAATGTTTAGTGCCGCGCATTCAGAGTCTTTTGGTAGTCGGAAACCTGCAGCCACGGCCTATCACAGTTCACACAAGTAGAACACCCATGCTCCATCTGCACTTTTGTCTGTGATAGTTGCCCTGACCTGGAGCAGCTTATGCATATGTGTCTTAACTAGGACTTCATACTAGGACTTCCCCCATTTCAAGAAAAAAAGAACGGCCTAAGTCTTTGGAATGGTAAAAAAGGAATAGCATGCACACACCTCCCCTTCATTGGGGAGGTGCTGGTATCATTGTTGTGCTTTTTTCTCCCATGTTTTAATTTCTTTCATACCTAGTCAAAACCTTGCGCTAACGACGTGGCAACCTTCTACGGCCTAACACGAATAACCGAATCTGTACTCTATGTCGCTTTGATTATCGAGCACGACTGTTCCCTACGGTTTGTCATGCAGGTTTTCTATGACTCATGAGGTCTGGAATGCAGCGCCTAGCATAACAAACTCTGTGAGATCTCTAGCATGTGCATGCCTATCCTGCATGAGAAATTCCCTCTCAACTTGGTAAAAAATGACGGCTGTTGGTAATCACGCAGCACAGATTTCTTGCATGATTCAGATTTAGCACGACAAGTTCCACCATCCTCCCAGACCCAGACATTTTTGCATTTGATAGGGAGGAGTCGTCGCCCAAACAGCAGGTGTAGCTGTAGTACTTGTCCCCTCCGTACTCCGAGGTCAGCCCCGTCAGCTTCGCTTTGCCCTGGTCACAGTCGCAGGCCTCGCGCGAGGACCCCGCCCAGCAGTCGTATTGCGCGGGGGCCAAGCCGGGCGATCGGCACCACTCGTCGTTGCACGTCAAGCGGTCCGACCGGGACACCGGTCGCGCCCGGTCCTCCGCAGTCACCACGTAGGCCCCCGAAAGAATGGTGGCTTCGGGAATGCAGCAGGTGGAGATGGCCCGCACCCCTGTGTTACAGACGTTTTCCCGATTGTTTGCCCGAATCTGTACAAATTTGGCCGCCGTGGTGTTCTTGCAACTGCCAGTGCCCGCCAACGCACAACAATCTCGGTCCGCGCCCCCGTTTTCCAGGCAGTGGGTCCGGTCTGCGTATCGAGTGCAGTGATCAGTCAAGCAACTATTCACCGTGTTGCCCGGGGCGCATTCACTCATGGCTAATTGTAGAGCTCGCGGTAGCTGCTGCAGCTGTGCAGCAGGACGCGAAACAGCTCCGGAATCGACACCAGCTAATGACCACCACGACGACCCCGACCAGGAACTCTGCTCCTGCGCTAAAGGGTCTTCTGGTGGGTGTGTTCTCCTATTGTTTTCGAAACTGCCCGCTGCTTCCTTTTTTTTGGAAGTCCTGCGCTCCGTCTGCTTCTTCTCACGTAGCACGTCGAAGATGGTGCCAATGACTTGCTGTGGCGTCCAGTCATTTCTTTCCGAGCTTGCAGGCGTGCTGTCTTGTGTCGCTGGCGCTCGTGATAATTGCTCGAAGGATGCGTCATGGACTGCAATCTCGGCTGCAGCAAAAATACTGGCCCGATACCGCCCTCCTCCTCCGTGGAGGTTCATCCGCGCAAATAAGTAAAACGGCAAGCACAATGTGAGGCAGAGGGACATGAAGAAGCGGGCTAAGCAAGACCCAATGATCCACGTGCCCTTCGGTATTTTTCGCCACATCATCGTGCTGCTATTCTTAGGACGCCATGCTACTGCCAACACGTTTGTTCATGAGGCACTGCTTGCGCCCCGCCAATCTGGAACCAGGCCCAGTCTGACCACCGACTAGGAAAGCGGTAAGGGTAACGACACACGAGACGGGGGGAGGCATTATGATCCGCGACAAAATTGATTTTCAGCTTTAAGAGAGCTACTATGTTGCAATCTCCGTATCATGTTGACCATAAATCATATACCAGTGCTTGTCTATGTAAGGACCTGTAGGACAAATAAGAAAGTAGAAGCACGTAAATTTGTCCTCTTACATGCGCTGATGTTGCAGAAACGACAGGCGAGAAGCAGCCTCACTCGATGTTGGACGACATTATAGTGTATATCCTGCTCTGAACTTCACATGGACCGTGCTACCAAAAGCCCTTTCGTAGCCAATGATATGTTGTAGCTCTCATCGTCGCTCCAAGGCTTCTCCTAGCCAATCGATCCAGAAGTTGTTGTCCGGATCAGTTTGAAGCGTATCCCTGCAGTAGTCTTCTTGGAAACTACGAACATCCATGCAGAATCCAGCTGCAGCTTACATTGATTCCTTCTTGTTTTGGTTTTTTTTTATAACTTCGTCCAGATATATCGCGTAAGTAAGTAAGCAAGAGAGTAAGTAAGTACTTTAAGTACTTACTTACTATGAGGTAAAAACTCAATGTCGCTGCATGTTTGATCAATACTCCAAGCGTCCTAAATTTTGTTTTTGACACTCTTTACTCGCCTGCCTGCAAATAGAAAGAGGCTGTGACGTTCGTCCTCGGTGGTGCCGATTTGGTGCTGTGTGGAAACGACCGGACAGCGATCCAGCAAGCACATTTCGAAATCCTCGCGCAGACACTCCGCGAAGTCGTCGAACCCGGCCCGTCGTTCCCGCGAAATCAAAACCACCACCTCGGCTCCGGAGGCCCGGACGGTGGCGCGAAGCGCTTCCACCGTGTTTGGGTTGTAGTTCACGTCGGCGCACAGACAAACGTCGAAGGCAGAAAAAGTTTCGTGTAGGCGTCTCATCTCGGTGACCTTGCAGGGAGTGGAGGTCGACGTACTACTATTATTTTCATCGCTTTGCCTCTTCCACTCGAACCCCTGTTCATCCTCGGCCTGATCCTCATCATAATGCTGTTCTGCAAGCTTCCTTTCCCGGTTCAGTGCGTCGAACCAATCCACCCGTTGGGTGTCGAGCTGCCGCGCAGAAAACTTCCCATTCACACTTCGCACGGCCTCCAACGTCCGCAGGTACCTCTCGCAAAAGTCGGTCGCGAGGACGTACGCGGCCCCGCAGGCGGCGGCCGCGAAAGAGGGGAGCCCTAGTCCGCACCCGAGCTCGACAACCCGCTGGCCCGCGCACACAGCTGGGTTTTGAAGCAGAAACTCCGCGAGGAGCCGCGCGGACGGCCACACGTAAGAACGGGACGGGTTAATGCGGAGCGACAACGATAGCGCGTCGCGGCGATTGTCATCAGTAGCGAGGTTGTCTCGTGCTGTACTGCATCTTGGTGAAGATGATCTACTTCCAGAGAGCGGGCCGCTACTGTTTTGGTTTATTTCCTTTGCATGCCGAACGTCGTCAATCATCCCCAGACTCGCAACACCTAACTGCGGTCCGTCCGCACTGATTATTTCTGTGTGTGTGTAGGAGTCAGCCTCATTTGCCGCCGCGTCGACATCTTCTGCGAACAAGTCGAAGGGAGCGTCGCTACTGGCATCTGAATTGGTATCGTTTTCAACAACTTCATCTACTTCAAAACGTTTCTGCTGCGCTTCCCCCTTTCTCGCTTCAGCGTTATCGGAGAGCCCATCGAGGGCAACAACGCAGGGCTGCGGCTGCACTTCCCTGTCAATCGCCATAATTGGTTCGATTTCTATAGTATTGGTTCGCGTCACCACTGATGCTGCATATCTATACCAACTTAGAGGCTATGGAGATATCTGTGCTCGGCTCGTTCTCTACCAACAAGTTCTCATGTCGATATGGCCAAGGCCAGCATGCTCCCTGGAAGAATTAAAATAAAACGGTGAGTTCGATTTGACGAGCAACATAATATCTGTGATAATATATCGTGGCGCTTCATGAAAAAGGCGAGTGCAGAATGGCAATATTGACTAAGGATGTTACTCGGAAATCACTCCCGAGCTTCCTTGCTCCTCGTGGGCTACGAAAAGGATTCGCCCCGAATCTCCTTTTCCTATGATCCTCAGCGCGAGCCGAGCCTTTGTCTGCGGATCTCTGACAGATTTTCCGCTAGTAGAAGCAGGATCCTCCTCATTTCCATTTTTCGGTGAGCCGAACGATCTCACTCAGGCCTGAATTTGCCAAGTGCAAGAAATCCAAATCCTCACCACAACTCTCTACGTTACTACACGCTCTTCTAGCACCAACATGATCTGCGTCCTCTCAGTCAACACCTTGGTACTGGTACACAGGGACAGGGAGTGCAACCAGTAATGAGAAATCACAGCGTTGACCACTACTAACTCTTTGTATTGAGTTCCCCCTTTCCTGACCAATAAAAGAGATCTTCATCGTTGCTATTTAACTATGGATTTCAATTTGTAAATCATCTCAACAAGTGTGGTTCTCAACAAGTTTTGTAAACGGAAAAAAAAGTCCCGGAGCAACAAGTTTGCGTTCTCTACTCCAAGGTAGAAACAGAAAGAGAAACCGTTACCGTAACCGTAACACAGTAAATATAAAAAAGGTCACAAATCTGAAAAGATAGAGAAACATCTGTACCTGGCCAACGCAAGCGCTCATACCAGCAACAAAACAATGCGACTATTATCCAACGCAACGCCTCATCTTGTAATGGAAAAGAAACCTAGTAGGTAGAAATCAGACGTCGGCTACGAGCTTGCCCTGCGGCACGTCCCACAAGAAGGAAAAGCGAATTCCTTAACTAATCGACCAGTAGTTGGTCTCGAACGTATCAACCGTGATGTAGCAACACTGTAGGCGTCTTCCCTAATAAATATTAGTATATCGTTGTCTTCGTAAACAAGCATGCATAATCTTAATCACTTTGTTGCGACTGCTTGGTCGAAATTTCATCTCGACCGGTCCATGGTAGAGGCAGACGTTGTCGTCAGTGGCATCGCATTCGAAAAATAGAAATAAGTGACAATACAAGGGTAAAAGGATAATCAGCAGCTGATGTAGCACTTGGTCCACCCTCTCGTTGCGAGTGGGAAGCAAAGGCGCCATGGGAAATGGGACCATGATGGAGCACCTGATGCACGACATTTTTATTACTATAAGCAATCCCGCCGGAACCTGCTACAACAGTTATCTTGTATCTTGAAAAACACGTTGTAGTTGCAAGCATAGCATCCTACTTTCTTATCGAAATACCACCGCTTAGCGGTTGTCTCAGCTAGACTTTCCGTTGGCCTTACGTCAGCGCTTCACCGGCCCTCCAACGGGCTTCACAGGCGTGGCGGACGCCGCCTTTTTGTTCCTGTTTTTTTCATTTGTAAGGACGTGAGCCTTCTTTCACTACGTAGTAGTCATAAACCCTATTATCATCCCCACGCATGTCTTCTGTCAGCGGGCTGCACGACAAAAATGCAGAGCATGAGCAAGCAGTTGAAGTATAATCTTGTAAAAGCTAAGTACTTTTTCAAGGAGGTGCGGTTCATCTGGACTGTCCCTGTCTGCTTGCCGTCGTCCTGCAGCACATTCTTCACCGGCTTTGCCCCAAACACCTCTAGGATAAGTCCCCCACCGAACGCAGCGGCCGCGAGGCCAGCAGCCCCACAGATCAAGCGCTTCATCTTCGCGTTCGCGTTTCTTTTTCTACAACCTCTACCGTCAGACTAAACAGCAGCACCTAAATCGTCCGGGTCGAGTCGGAATGGACTTGAACAGGTGACGCATTCACATTTCACGAGGTAAAGAACAATCAGATCCGTACATCACAGAAAACAGAAACACGTCGACAAACTACATATGAATATATTAGATATCGAGTTTCTTGGAGGGACGTCTCACTGCGAGTGAGATATTTTTCCTGGTCGTTATTCACACTGTACAGACACATGAACCAGTGGAGCCGCTCTCTACACGTTTATTTCGGTTCGTCTCGTCAATGTTCTTCCTATTGAAAACACAATAAGAGCCAGTCAGAAAACAAAGGGGGAACATCAGTCGATGAACGATTCACCTCGTATTTGCGACACGACGAAGCCTTCTTGTCTCGACCTCGAGAGTAGTCTCTTCATGTGCCGGAAAGTTCACAGAAATTTTTTTCGTTTTCCTTCAAAACTGATTGTCGTGTTTTGCTTTTGAGTGGTGGTCTGCCTCTGCTCGTCATTTATTATCTACTGTTGTCTGCATTGCCAGCGGCAGAAGATTGTTTTTTTCCGGTCTCATCGTCTTGTTTTCTTCGAAAACTAGGTGAGGCAAACGAAAGTCGCTGTCATCTCACAGTGCAGATTTCTTGCATTTCGAGTTCTATCATACAGGTGCGTCGAAAGCACAAAATCATTCATGAAAAAAGTTGACGTACATCGCGTTTTGCGCTCGGCGTTCCATCGACTATGCGTGTACATCAAATGTAACTAATTGCGATCTGTTACTGGTTTGCGTTTAGGTTGAAAAAAATAGTGTGTAAAAACTGCAGCCCGCAACCGGGTTTTTTCTACTTCATAAGTTTCCTTGAAGCGGTTCCAGAGCAGCCCACCACGCGCGGCAAAGGAAAGTGCCATGAAAAAAGCATCACGATTGATTCTTACGCGGGGGTCGGGGACGCGGACGGCGCCGCAGCGGCCTCCGTTGCGGCCGGTGCTGCAGATTCTTCCTCCGCCGGTGTGGCCGTGGTGCTCGCCACGTGCTCGTGGGCATAATTCCCGTGCATGTCGTCGTTGAGGTTGTGCGCGGCGTTCCTGGTGGCGTTGCTGATTCGGTGCGCAGCTTGCCTGGTGGCGTCGCTGATGTGCTCCAATTTCTCCTCCGCTGCGTGTTCCGCATTTCTCACGCCGTTCGTCACGTTAAAAAACTTCTCTTTCAGGTACTCTCTGGTGGTGTTGTACTTTTGGTACATCTTTTGCGACACGTTGTACGCCCATTCCTTCGTGGCGTTGAATGCGTGCCCTGCTCCAGTGGTAACTCTGGAACGGAAACCTATGCGAACGAAACAAAAAGCATTCACTTTCACAAATGAAAAATCAACATAGTCTTTAGGTTCGCAAATCAATTATATCAATGTCGAAGTGAAGTAGTGGAACTACTGTCCAAAACCGAATCAAGCATGTCAATTCCAATTCGCTCAAGTTCAAGACAGCGCTGGATGTGTGTCAGTTATAACATGAAGATTCTACATTCATGCAATGCAACGCCGTGACGGAAGTACAAGTAGAACAAAAGTGTAGAAAACTAAATGAACCACGTGTATGTGTAGGTTTACTGGGGGATTCCACGGGCTCGTGTGCCGGACTGGCAGCTGGCGGTGCTTGCTCGGGTGTCTCGGGTGCGGAACCGGAAGGTGCCGGAACGGGCTCGGTCGCCGGATCGGCCTGCACAAATGCTTTCGGCTTCGCCTGCGCTTGACCCGCCGTCGACCCCAACACTTCATCTTGCACCTGTTCGACTTCCTCCTTAGTATGAGATGATAAAAGTGCAACGTAAGGGAGACGTCACCCGAATAGAAGCTGCATGATCATGCAGCACACATTCCGTTTTTAGACATTTGTCATCCTACACTGAAGTAAGTACTTGTGCGCGCGGTCCAAACAAGAAGAAAAAATCATACCCGCTATCTACAACATCGCATCGCTCACATCAAATTCTGACCCCAACGGGCGTCCTTCTATGCAAACATTCTACTAGTCCGTACTAATTCATTTTTTGTTTCCCCAGCTATTTCTTTTATCATTTCGATACTTGGCTTCGGCGGTGTAGTCGACGGCCACAGCCTGTTTCTTCACGTCGATTGCAGCAGCCGGCGTCCATTTGGCGACCATGAACGCCGCCCAGCAAGCGAGCAGGCACACACCCTTCGCGTTCATTGTTCCGCAGATGAATACTTATTTTCGTCTACCTCTACGCGGACACGGTGATCAAGATCAACATATAAACAGATACAACACTGCGGAGGTCCGCGATACCACAGATACAAGAACAACAACGCGTTATTTCTAAAATAATGTCTAGAACCAGGGTCCAGACCCTGCTTAAAACAAGTATCAGTTGTTTTTGAAGACGAATTGTGGCGGCAAATTGTGCCCGCCAATCCCTCCACGACTCTCCGTGCCGGCTCTCTCCGCGCATGATGACTGCAGTCCTCACTCTGCCATCCCCCGTAGAGTTTTTCGTGTTCTTGCAAACTCTCAGATCATGGAGGAGAGTCAAGTAGTACTTCGTTGGCGTTCCTCTCGCCCGCATCGTTGCGAGCGATCACGGTTATTGATTTGCTTGTTCTGAACACGCTACGCTCGATATGACGAGTTGTGGAATCATTGAATCAACGCCAGGAAGTGCACGGCGACGGAGCTGATTGGTAAGTAAGTACAGACACCGTCGCAGGGCAGGGGAAATATCGATCATACATATTAAGTAGGTACACTGATAGTGCAGGGGATTTATTGATTTACTAGATTCTGGGGATGCTGCCGGGTAAACAAACTACAACTTTCGTTTTCTGTCGGCGTCTGTGGCACGCAACACTGCTGAGATCTACTTAGACTAATTTCTGGGAAACAAACACTTTTAGAATTCAGTACGTTTTTGGTTTACAGTTGTAATGATAAAGCTGACGAAACTCAAAACGAATTGCTTTTTCTCTTTAGCTGAGTGGAGGAGCAGACCCTTTTACATTTTTCTACAGATATTTTTCTTCTTTCTTGATGATTAACTCAGATTCAGATATTAGTGCACACGATGATTGTTCGATACCAAGAAAACACGACTACTTCCGCATTGCTTTACAGATTTTTTGTACTAGTTGAACGAAGAGGAAGATGCACATCAACGACGGATATTAAGGAACTACCAATAGTCATATTGTTCTCACTGTCACCATTAATTTAGCGGAGGGTTGTACTTGTAGCTGCACCACCTCCGTCTCTCCGATCGAGCACGAGTCACTTCCTCCTCTACGAGGACCCTGTCTTGCCGTCCGCTTTCGCCGCCTCCTCCGCGTGGCTGGCCTCCTTTTCCTCCAGTTCCCGGTGGTGCTCGTCGTCCGTTTCCGGATCCGCCGCCGGATCCTCGGGGTCCGCCGCCGGGTCGAGGACCAGCTTTTTCTCGCGGCGCCAGCGGACGGCCCACCCCTCCGCGCGCTCCATGAAGTACGGCGTGAAGATGTCCGCGGCGGTCTCCGCCACCGACGACAGCGTGTTGAGCGGGGGCGGCAGCAACGCGATCAGCGCGTCCAGCCCCGCGGTGGCGTAGTCCGGCATGAAGTGCTCAAAAAACACCCAGGCAATGCCGAAAAACTCGAACAGCCGAAAGTGGTTCAGGTTTTTCGCCTCGTCGCTCCCCTCTTCGGGCTTCTTCGCCAGTCCCAATTCTGCTGCGGCTTCGTCGTCGATCTTCGATGTGTCGAAGGCGTGTATCCGATCTTTGATGCGCCTCAGATCGCTGAGCATGTCGGACGTGCCCAGTCGCAGAAACACACAGCACTCCGCGCGCAATTCTTTCGTTTCCTCGGTTTCCTGCTCCGTTCCGGCGGGCTCCCAGGCGGGGACTTCACTGCGCCCTTCGCAACGGTCGCCGGCTCCGGCTTCCTTGTTCATGCCCTTGGGCAGACGGCATGGAGTGTAGCGGATCTGCGTGCGAATTTAACATTAGTTTTATGTTTATCGTTTTGGTATCCCTGTCATCTACTTCTTCTATTTATTTTTGTCTACAGTGGAGTTCGGTAAAGTAAGACAGGACAAAACCTCAAATCAATAATGTCTGATGATCATGATTTAGATTCATGCGTGAAATTACTGTACCTTCTCCAGGTCGTCGGTAAACTCTTCGTCCCCCTCGACCGCCTTCAGAAAGGGAATGTGATCTTCAACCGCAGCCAAGAGCACTCTGCCGGGGCTCATGTCGGCGGGGCCGAATCCCGCCTCCATGCACTTCGGGTTAGGATTCCCCGAGAAGTACGTGCGCTTGGTCCGGCAAATGCCTCGCTTTTTCGGGGGAGAAGGCTTCTGCAGCAACTCGATCCCCTTGTCGATGTACTTCGCGAGACCGGCCGGCAAAAATTTTCCGGCATACTTCCCCAGCGCTCCGAGGGACACCGGGGGGAAGTTCATCGCCGCCATGGCACCGTACGCGGCGAGGTTCAGTCCCCCGAAGGTGACATTCAGATCCTTCATCATCTTGATCGTCGTCGTCCACTGCACGCTTTTCTGCGAAGCCAGTTTACTGAAAAAGCGCGTGAGCGTTTCGGTGCGGTTGTGCATGCCCATGTGCTCCTTCACCCACTCTTTCGTGTCCCGGTAGTGCTCCATCACCCACTCTTTTTTCCTCCCTAACCAGTCTTTCACATCCTGCCAGGCTTCCTCTCGCTGCTGCAGCTGCTGCGAAAAGTGCACTTGGTTCTGCTCCAGAAACGCCAGGTGATGATCACCCGCAGCGTCGAGACGAAACGCGGCGGTCGTGGTACCACTGCCCGCCAGCGGCCCCGTGTTGCCAAAGACTACTTCATCCGCCCCGTCCAGAGCCGTATATTTCTCTTCGTCGTCATGATCCGCTCCCACATCGACATCCAGTTCGTCCTGCGCGGACGACCCCCGCAGTTTCGGAACAGTAGTCTTCGTGGTTCCTTCCACACCACGGTAAATCGAACCATCATACTGCAAGAACACAACTTGCTGAGCCACAAGGAGCGGCACGCGCGGCAAATAGAGCTTCAGCTTCATTCTTCCTTGCACTTATAATTGGCACTACAACGAAAAAAGTTCAACCCCTCACACTCCATTCATAAATGGGTAAAGAAAGGGAAATTTATGTTGACCAGGATCAAAATCATAATCAATACGATACCATCGAGGAAGAAGATTATGTGTGCAAAAAATTGATACAAACACACACACACGAACACGATTCACCTTCCATAATTCCCGACTCACAAGATACGACAAATATTTATCGAATGATGGCAATGAATCAAAATTGGAGATCGCGACAAGCTGCGACGTTTCAACACAGTAAAGAGGTTTCAGATCTGATCCTCAGTGCTTCAAATCAAAAAGAGTATTTTGTACGCAGCACTACATTGGCCCACAACATTGCGCACCACTCTACTGATTGACCACGCCCCGACGACATCATTATCAAAATCAATCCTAATTCTTCTTGTTCTTTCTGCCAACAATAATCTTTAAATCAGTTCATGCTTCCCAGAAACCGATCATTGTTTTCCTGGTCTGACACAACGCGCACACTGACTATCTACGAAACGATCCTCGAACCTGGTTAAACGTAGACGACCCGATAGCCATTGAACGGACCACGACGATTCGGGGTCTTAGCAGACGATATTTCGAAATCCAGCGACTCCGCGAGAATTGAACAGCGATCCGGGAGATGTGTGTATCTCTATCTGCTCCGGTGTGGCGCGTGCCATCGATCTCACAAAAAAGCTCTTCGCACCCTCGGTGCAAATCATGTTCCCGAATAAATAGTGAATGCCAGCAGTGATCCATGTTCATGTACATGTTATAGAGTTTTGATTTTCGCTACTAGCGTCGTCAAGGTTTTTCGTCTCGGCCGTCAGACACGAGGCTGTGGCTGCTTGCGACATGCAACCGCCGCTCAAGCGGATGCTGCTGTCAGTCGTCTTGAATACTCAGCATTACTACAACCTCCAGCTGTTGACGATCATTAATCATACACAAAGTCACGTATAGACGTATCCCAAACGGAGCTCCTTACATCCTCTTTATTTGGGAATTGTACAGACCATCACCGGTACGTCTATATCATGTGCTTTCTTTCAGATGAGAAGTGCGTTCTTCAGTCCAAAAACCAACATGAATGTGTGCTCCCTTCTAGTTGAGCGAGATTCTCCAGTCCAAAAAAGATGATAAATGAAAATGATAGATAAAGACGGGCTTAAAACTCCAGGACTGTCCACAAGCTCATACACGGGGTAGACAAAGCGAAAAGGGCGCCATTGCATCGTTCTTCCGAATGAGAAATGGCATGTCTTTTTGCTACGACCCATAAGACATTCGGTGCAGTGAAAGATTCCTCATCCCGGAATTGAACGGGCTAATGCCATGGACAGCCTCGTTTACGACGAATTTTTTACTCACTGGCTCTACCTCGAACTAGAAAGAACTACTTTGCGTGTACTGTAATGCTACGTTTTTTTGAAAGCGGCGGGTGCCGCATATTATGGTCGACTTTCCTCTTCAGGTGTGAAAAGTGCTGTGTTTTGTCGGCATTCCTCGGCAGAGAGAGCAGAAAGAGAGAGCGAGTCACGTCCGTTCTACTCAGTGTCATACGGAAAGTGATCGCGTCGCAACGCGCATAGTGGACTAGATGCTTGTCCGGCGGGTTTGGTCGAGTCAGCTGTCGGAATATTACGGGGGCGGCGGGTGACAAAACGCCAAAAAATGTGTCTTTTGTCGCAACTGCAGCGTCAGACGGAATTCGATATGCCAATGAAGTTGCGACGTTATCGTGCTTCAGCTTCCCAGCATATTAACTTGTTCCTACCTACAACTCGTCTTCTGCCGTACTGCTGCCGCCGCAGGGTCGTGCCACAAGAACCCAGACGAGAATCCCCAATGCTGCAAGGCCAAGGACAACGCCCACTGTTACTCCGACGATCGCCCCAGTCGACCAGCCTTGCGGTTCATTTGGCTGCGGCGTCGGAGTTGCGTTAGGGGGCGCTGTACCAGGAGCGCCAGTGGAACCCCCAGTGCCGCCACCCGAACCTCCCGCGCCGCCACCGGATGAACCTCCCGCGCCGCCACCGGATGAACCTCCCGCGCCGCCACCGGATGAACCTCCCGCGCCGCCACCGGATGAACCTCCCGCGCCGCCACCGGAACCACCAGGATCTGCTTCATCTTCCTCGACGGGGCAGTGTTCTAATTCTGACGAGAGGGTGTCGCAGGGAACCAGATCGCCCGTTGCCGGCGACACCGCCATCACGCGCTCGTACCAGGTTTTGGTGACGCTCTGCATAATCTCCGGCGCGGAGAGGCGAGTTCCGAACTTGGCAACCGGGGTGGCGACGGAGTCGTCAAACAGGTACCACGAGGGGAGCAGGTCTCGGATCCCCGGCGTTGCCAGTTTCGCGTAGGCCCGCCAGTGTCCACCCCCGCCTCCGTTGCCGGTGTGCACGGCGAAGGACCGCAAATCGTACAAGAGAGGGCGGTCGGCGGACTGCGGCCGGATTCCCGGGCTCGTCGCCGCCGGCGACCCCGCGGCCGGAGCGTCCGCAAACCAGCTGAGCGGAACCCGCAGCCGCCGCGGAAGCTGCACATTATTCTTCACCTTGGCGTTGCGTTTCGCCACTGGATCGTACACATCGCGGTTGACGTCCAGAGACAGCAAATCCGGATTGACCGTCCGCAGCTTGTAGTACTGCTCCTGGCGGTACCATCCTTTTCCGTCCGCGGCGACTTTGGGTCGCGGCGCCCCGTCAGGCCCCAACTCCGGTTCTGTCCGGCAGTGCGGGTCGGCGTGGTCGCGCCAGTGCTCCCAGGGTGTGCTGTTGCGTTCCCCGTCCTGCTCTTCCGTGTATTTCCGGTGCAGCAAATCTTCAAGCCGATGCGGGTTCTGCACTTCGCGCATCTCGACGCCAGCCAGATTGACTCGGTGCTGCTCGAGAAAATCGTCCCGGCTTGCGGAGCACCGGTGTGCTGGGTCCGGCGACGGATTCGTCGCTTGCCCAGGAGGCAGCACCCGCAGGCTCTGTTCGTATGTACCTGCAAGAACGTCTATGTATCGGAAGACTCGCGTGCTGGTTGCGTCCGCAGGATCGAGCTGCTTCGTCGTTTCCAAATTCGCGATCACCATGTTGTACACCACCGCAGGGTCGTCTTGCTCGCCGGGTTGCAGCACCCCGCCGTGGGCCGGGTTGAAGTAGGCAGCCAGCCAGGCCTGCAGGGCCACGTTGAGCGGATCACCCGCGTCCGCGTTACTCACCGTTGGTCGCGGCTCCGGCTTGCCGGACGGATGATTTGTGGTACTCCGGGTTCTACTTGCGTCGTACTGCTGCAGGGAGTTCGGGTGGGCCTCCCAGGCCGCCTCGTTCGCTGCCTTGAACGCGCGCCACACGTTGCAGAAGAGATACGGCAGCGGGCTGCCGGGGGCGCGATTAGCCGGCGTGTCCTCGACGGCGGGGTTGTTGCAAAACTCGTTTTCGAAGAACAGCCGGAGTTTAGGCACGCGGAAAAGTGTTTGCAGCGCCGAATTTAAATAACAAGTGTTGCCGTAGTTGCGCAAGCCGTTTGGACCGTTCTTTACCACGACTGGCGCGTGTGCGTACGCAGGCGGAGGGGTGCCATCAAGCGGCCCCGGTGCACGAACACCAACCTGCAGTGCGATGACCGTGTCGAACGTGGACAAGGTGTGGTGCAGGTGGCAGAATATCCCAAGCAACAAAAGCGCGCGAAGGAAAGAATTTCTTAGCGAGGCACCGGCAGAAACGCCCATTTTATAGTCTAGGATCTTTTGGTCTTTGGGGGAATTACTTAAACTGTATCTCGAGATCATGTAGAAATGTCTTTACAAACGTTTGCTCACGCAGCAAGGAGGTAGCTTTATACGAAATGGCTCACAAACATAGAATCTTTGGTGCACTAATTTGAATCTTTTGTGGTCAAAAAACAAAACCGGCACAACCAAATCCAAAACCAATGAATTATACACAATAAACAACAAAACAATAATTACTTACTTACAGAATCGGGCTGTATGTCGATGATCACCACAGATGAAGTTGCCAGCATCTCGCATTTTTTCATTTTTGTCAGTTTGTTCTTTTGGCTTCTCGGGAAGTAATCTATATCGGCATCAGGGAGCGCAAAAAAATACAGCCAATTCCAATACTTCCTGGGCTCATTTCAGCCCTTCACGATCTGTATCCGAGGGATCTCTCATTTCAGTGACCGACCTTCATTGCTACTTCCACCTTTCATCTGCATCCGCGATTTCTATCCATCGCGTTCCACTTTCATCACTACTTCGCTTCCGTTTATTAACTAGTATACACTACATTCCATCCTTCATCACCTGGATCACATTTGTGGATCAATCTCTGTTCGCATTAACATAACACCACTCGATGCTTTTGATTTTGTTTTTGCGCAAGCGCGCACGGTCCAGCACAAAGACAAAACCAGACATGCACGACATAGACTTTAACCGAAATTGTTTGCATTTCCGCAATAAAAGCGCAGCTGCAACTGCGTCACTAGGCAGACAATCCATCATTTTGAAGCTGTAATGAAGTCATTTTCCAGTGGAGGTTGAGAACATACTACGTTCTTATCCATCCGTATCACTTTGAACTTTCGTGGCATATTTGCAGACGACGCCGCTGACAAGCCGGAAGATAAAAGTCACATCAGCACAGGTCGATGAAACGCCTCAATTCACTGCCGCCTGTAACAAACTTGATTATGATTTATCATGTGCATTTATTTTCCGCCGATGTAAAGCAACGTCCGAGTCCGTGTTGTGAAAACACCAGACTACGTGCCGCACATTCATTTGTAGCATTTTCATCTTCCACGAACAGCAGCTACTTGGCTAGTTATTATGAACCAGCTTATCGGCGTCGTTTCATCCGCACAAGCCCCTGATTAAGCCCTTTGCGGCAACGGCGTGTTTCCGGGCGTAAGGTCGGTCGGGGTCATCGCCGGCGTGACCGGAGTACCGGCTGCTAGAAGCGAGTCCCGCACGGTGCGGCGAATCCTCAGCTCTCGGTGCTTCAGAGTGGTCAAAAACAGCAGGAACCCCTTTGCCGCTGCCAGGCACAGCATGCCGGTAAACAGCACGATCGGGTACGTGGCAGGCGTAGTAGTTGATGTCGATGTCGGCGTCGAGGACAAGGCAGCTAGATACACGGCGAAGCAGTGGAAGCTGAGGGCCTTCAGCGCCAGAATCAGCACGGCAAGCTGGTCGTCCAGGCCGAGTCGGCCGGCCGCACCCACCCAGGCAACGGACAACGCGTTCATGAATGCGCTGGCAAGCAGGGCCGAGCATCCGGCGAGCAGCAGAGAGCACGTCGTAGGCGAGAGAAGCGCCAGTTCTACTCCTGCTGACGGCTCTGTTTTATTCACCCAGAAGTGCGCGGTCACCCCGCATAGGAAGAGGAGCACCCCCACGACGTGCAGGGCAGACTCCGGCAACTCCCGCTGCCCCCGGCCCCCGGACTCCTGAATCAGGGTGGGGTTGCCGCGAAGCGCCAAGTGCGCGCGAAGGGCTTCGGAAAACCCGAAAATCAGCACATTGCAGCCCAGCACGAAGATTCCGAACGCAAGGAGAACCTCTCCAAAGTTCGTGAAGTCTAATTGCAGCAGATCAAACTGGTGCGACAGTGACGGAGCGGTCGTAATCTTCGCGATGACTTCGTGATGTTGTTGTAACCCCGAGTTTACTGATGTCCTCGTAGTGGCGCTTTCAAGGCGGCGAGCGAAGGCAGCATCGTGCTGTTCTGAAGAGCCTCCGGCGGCAAAGGGTAAAACAGACCCCGAGTGGAAAATGAAGTGCGTTGGCTCTTGTTGTTTCATTTCGTTCCTCGTCGTAGTTTCGGAGGGCAAAGAAGCCGTGTACTGATCCTCCTGCTCATGTTGGTTCTTTAGAAAAAAAACGGCGCCAAGAACCTGCAACACGACGCAAATCAGGTTCACCAGCTCATGCTGATACTCCGTGCAGCCAAGCAAGAAATGCTCGCGGGCCCGAAGCGTGACCAGCATTTTGTCGTTGAGATCAGGAAACTTGTATAGCAAAGGCCTGCCGAAGTCGTACGCGCTGGCTTTGCGAGTCAATGGTGCATCCAGGTAGCGTTCAAAAAAAAACTGATGAAACGTGCAACTGAAAACATCAAAGTAACATAGACAACAACGGAAAGGAGGACAGGCCCTGTTCCTGAGACGAGCTGCGAGAATAAACGTATGAGTTTGTCTTTACGTTCAGGTTATGTATATTGGAAGACTGCGACCGGTTTAGTGGACTTCGCACGAGCAATTGCAGCCGCTGCTGGTACTAGGCACTGGAACTCTCTGATTCGTATCGTTGAATCAAGTATATTTGTCATTGCATCTGCAATAGAGCAGCGAACCAACGAAATAAATGCGAGCTTGCCAACGAGCTGGAGATTCGAGTTTCTCTTGTACGCGGTATCAAACATACGAGCATCCATGCGCTGTTGCCCGTAGATTCTGACTAGACCGAAATTTTCTCAAGGACGAATCTTCCCCAGACTTCAATTTTTCTTTTGGCCAATAGTTCGAATGCCCAGATGAGAAAACTCGATGATGTAAACACTTTGACATTCCGATTCTGCCCCGGCGCGTCCCACGATTTCAGGCTTTGGTAGCTTTACGTACTAGGAGAGAAAACGGCATCAAACTACAAACTCGCCCTGTTTTAGTTTTATGATTTGCTCATGAGACCGCATAAATGCTTCCAATCTATCCATGACTGTAGTCAAACCGAGGTGAAGCCTGCTATTTGGATTCCCCATGATGCAGCTTTCAGTATACTTACGTACGCTGAAGATGCTTGGGTATACTACGACAACGACCGTCCCCCTCTGGCTTATCTTCCTTCATCAAGTACATCTACACGACTTCGACTGCACACGGACCACACAATTGAACAGAACTCATATGAAGACACAGTCAGAGATGGTTCGCTTCAGCCCAGAGGCGGAACCCGACGACCAGGCGCTCGGCTACTGATATAGCTCTTCCTTGCTGATCGCTCCTCCCGCAGTTCCTTTCAAAGCTGCCGCGGACTTCATAGTAGCCCTCTTTTTTTCAGCGTCTTTTTCGGGCTGTCCCGCAACACAGACCAGGTTGATGCAGTACCTGTTGCCCTTTCGGTCCGGCAGGTTGTGTCCTAGATGGGTTCCGTAGGGCGTGACCACCTCGCCGGAGTCTGGAAGGACGCGGACATACTCGGAAACTACCTCCGCGTCGCGGAAACTCGGCCACCCGTGCTGCTCCGACTCCTTCAGAAAGTCGCCCCACGTCCGGCCAATCGGCGCGCGAAACAGCAACTTCGTCGGGTCTTCCGGGTCGTAAAAGTCTACGGGCTCCCCCTTCGCCACCTCCTCGGCCACGTCCTCTAAAAACATCGTGCTCTGCCAGTAGCCCGCGTACTCGGCGTAATGCCGGTTTTGGCAACAGATTCGGTTTGCCACCTCCTCGCTGCAGCCCCAGCGCAGGGCGGCTTGGGGTATCTTGTGCGCGCACGTGCCGTACTCACGCGCTTGCATCCAACTTTTCACTTCTGCAGCCGAGAAACCCTCCGCAATGTCCCGGTAGGTCTTGGTCAATTTCCCCGGTGTGGCTGTGACGGAGGTGGTGAGAGGGTGAAGAAAAATGATCACGGTAACTGTCGCTAAGGTGATCCCCCGGGGCGGCATCGGAAGCCGGCGTAACGACGAGCGCAGTGTCATTCTCAAAAATTTCACTCCAATAGGGGTGACAGACGGCCGCGGATTGCTAGCAGTAGTAGGCTCAACGAAGCCACAATGTGTTGATGCTGAAACTCGCAGAATGTTCTGAATCTGAATGGGGGAGAAACAAACACGGCGGGGGGGAGGCAAAGGCGGTCTTTTTTTGTGGGTTGACGTTCAGTTATTCCTGCCGAGAACTATCAAGCCCCTTTATCTTATGGTTCTGCATGCGATTCGCGTAGTGTCAAAAACGAACATACATGAGCATCCCATCTGTACAGAGTGCCCACACCAAACGCCGACAGAAACCGAATCGTCAGAATGAATCGCAAGATTGTAATCGCGATAATGATATGAGAAGGTAACCGGCCATGCAGCGAACACTGTAGCAGAGAATGCATGAGATCTTGCTGTGTCAGAATCGGAAATTCATCTCAACATCTTTCCAGACAAGTGTACATTTCGGCGGGGGCTCGTCTACTCGTCGTAGACCATCATACAAGGGTGTCAGACGGGTCAGACTCGTTCTTTTGGAATCTTTCTTCTTCTTCTAACATGTAGCGTGGGGTACTAACTGACATAATTGTACAAGTGGGGATTTTCGAAGTACTTCAAATTCAATTTGACATTTTGTATTACAACTGACCAACCAACCTCATTTTTTTCACATCAACTCCCCTTTCGGATCGGTGTCGCTGGAGCAGCTCCGGGTCCAAGAGCAGAGCACAAGCAGTAGAGCCACAAACAACCCCGCGGCAACCAGATTCCGCTCGGTACTCTCCGAACGCGCCTGTTTGTTGGTGTATCACGACCGTAACCGTCAAAAAGTTAATGCAACAGTCGTACTAATATCACAACAGCGAGTGCGCACGCAAAAATGCATAATGTGGTAACTCCAACTCCTAGTGCAGCAGTGCATGATGGATACAGTTTCTGGCAAGTGAAGAACATAAATTGATACCGCGTAGCCGATTTGCAGGTCTGGCCTATTTGCTTGCCCGTCCTCCTCCTCGGTGTCAGAATCTATCTCGTCGGCGTCTTCTGGCATCTCGGGGCCTCGCGAATCCGTGGCCTTCACTTCCGTTCCTGTGGACGCGCCAAGGAACTGAAAGTCCACCGCAGCGAGCGGCAGGTCGGCGTCGTCGACCACCGTCAGGATCTTCTCTCCCAGCGCCTCCGAAAAAGCCGGGTCTTGCGTGAACGCCATCAGAATTGTCGCCAAGCCAGGGTTGCTTTGCGCGTTCGCCTCGGACCACTTCAATGTGTAGTTTACCTATGCAGTTGGTGCGACAAGAGGCTGACGTTGATCACTATCCTCGGGGAGTTCCATTTTACTAGCAAGCAACCGAACTGCAAGACCAAAAGTCTCTTTTGAAAAGAGAGGCTGCATTTATAAGTACCAAAAGTGCCGCTGGTCCAGCAGTTGTCGTGCCATCAGCAGATTCGCGTCGCATCACGCGCGTTGTGAGCTGCGTGAAACTGCTGGAGGATGCCGCTGCGGCCTCTTCCAAGAGGGAACTCGAGGTGCTCTGCTGCGATGCCTCACCAGGGAGCGGCACGACCGCAAGTGTCAGGTTGGTCTGATTTGCGTTTGCGTAAAGACACATCTTCAACATCTTCCAAGGAGTTCCTTCAAACAACATGCTGTGTTTCATCTGTACAATTCCCTGCTGATTTTGAAGCTGCAGAACAAAAATGCAAAACATCCTGAGAAAATTAAAATACAGTCAGCGAATCGGTGAAGTTCGTCCCCACGAGCGCGGCTTGCTCCCCTGCTAGCGCGTCGTACTTTTCCAAGATAGCGTATCCCACGGGGTTTCCGAGCGCTGATCCGTATCCAATGCAGTCTTCCAGGGTGTCGTTTGCATCGTCCAGGACGAGACTCACTTCGAACCCTGCGGTCATGCAGAGGTCTTCCACCTGCAGTGCCGTCTCTTCGACAGACGGGACGACGACTACCTCTTCTACCTGCGGCTCTGGTACGGCGGTACTTGTCACGTTCAGGCCCTTGGCCTGCAAGTTGGACTGCACGGCACCGGCTACGCTCGCGGAGTAGGCACCCACGTTGTTGGTCATATTCGCGAGCGCTGCTGACGCCTGGCTATCGTCAATGTTGTTGACGGCAATCGTGTACTGCACCGACAGAGCCTTCGCTGTCTTCTTGGTCGAGCTCCTAGGCATCTTGCTACTCATCTGGACTCTATCGCTTTCGGCAACCGAAGATGAGGATGACGGCAACCAGTTGCGAGACTGCATGGGATCCAACGCTGTTGCTGCGCCTCGTCCTCGCTGCGCGCGATTCTGATTATCATTCTTATTTGCCACGGTGTCTCCGACAATCTCGCCGGTTCCCGCGATCAATATCGCTTCGCCCAGGCGCGGCGGCGTCCCTCTTGCTAACGCATCTGGCTTGGTCGTACCTCTGCTACCTGCCCTACTCGGGCGAGAAAACGCTTCGCCATCGGCTTCTCTATGATCTGGTGCTACTCTGCTTACGGGGCCGCTGTTGATCACAGCAGCTTTTCTCCTTCTTGAATCTCTTTCTTGTTCTTGGAACCTGAGCCTGCTATTCTCAAACCGCAATCTCGGAACTTGGTCGTAAGCTGCCGAATCGTCAGGAAGCTGTACCTGTCGCAACGATAAACCAGGTGACGCTAGAAAGGCTGCCGCCGCAGCAGAAGGTGTCGACGCGCTTATCGAGTCTATTGTCACGTCTTCCAGGGAAAATCCGGAGCCAGTTGCGACCGCGGCTTGCAGTGCGCTCTTAATGTCTGCTGACGCCATGAGCTCCGCGTCCGTTAAACTTGTAGACAGCCCGATCGCCAAGGCACCCACGACCTTCTCGACCTTGTGCGGTTCTGCGAGCTCGGAGGCCCTTTTCATTGTAGTTGGGGATTCTTCAACGCCACCGGCCGCCAGCATGCGCGCACTTATCTCGTCCAGATCATCTGTAGTCAGGTCTCCACCTCCGATCCCCTCGGAGAGGTTTCCTGCTGCGCGGAGTGCCTCAGAAAGGTTTCCTGCGCCGAGTGCCTCGGAAAGGTTTCCTGCGCGGAGTGCCTCAGAAAGGTTTCCTGCGCGGAGTGCCTCGGGAAGGTTTCCTGTTGTAGCATTTCCCTCAGAGAGGTTTCCCGTAGCGTTTCCCTCAGAAAGGTTTCCTGTGCTGTTTCCTGTACTATTTCCTGTACTATTTCCTGATCCTGTAGAAGTGTTCCCGGTATTGTTTCCTGTGCTGTTGCCTGTATTGTTTCCTGTGCTGTTGCCTGTATTGTTTCCTGTGCTGTTGCCTGTATTGTTTCCTGTGCTGTTGCCTGTATTGTTTCCTGTGCTGTTGCCTGTATTGTTTCCTGTGCTGTTGCCTGTATTGTTTCCTGTGCTGTTGCCTGTGTCGTTTCCACCAGTGCCGTGTTCGTTCTTTTCGCTGCGTGTCACGCTCCTGCCTCCGCTATTCGAGACTGCAGTGATACTTGTGCCTCGGAATGCACCCTCCTGCAAAGCGACTAATTGCTCTGCATCCTCGAGTAAGCTTGAGAGCCTACCACCAGCAAGTAGACAAAACAAAAAATGCGCAAGGAGACGAGAGACGACTCTCCAGTGCGCCAGGGCCGCGCCGCGTGCCGGTTCCTGAAATCTTTGCATTATGGTCACCGTCGCCAGATTTTTGCTGTGTGACAAGCCACAGCCATCGACTTCGGAGCGGCAGACGCGGTGGCGGTCGCACAGTTGTCTCACGCCAACCTCGACGACATACAGTGCGCGTGCACCGTCAGGGTTAGCATTTTCTCTGCGCAGGGTGGCTCTGATAACTTCAAGAAGAGTGTTAGCTAAAAGTAGAAATGGGTGCCGCTATCTCAACACCGGCGAAAGAAACATTACTATAAATCCAATACTGCTCATGTACTTGTTTCGTAGCGACACTTCTCACTGATTTGGCATTCGTCTACTTTTACGCCCTCTTCACCGGTAATTCCCGTGAAACACAGCCAGAGATACTGCACATCCCTAGCGCAAGCTCAAGCGCCACATGATGGTGGTGGAGAACATTCCTTCAGCACTTGATGCAATTGCGTCGCGATCATGCTAGAAACGACCTGCCGGCTCTTCGCTGACAGGAGGGTCCTGTAGCACAGGAAACAAGAGCGAAACTGTTTGCGCACAATGCGTGATGAAGATGATGTGTTGGAACAAAAACTGCGTTGAGCGTGGCAACATCCTCGATCAAAGTTTAGATCTTACATCGAGGTAGAAAAAGTAAAAGCACGACCAACCGCGACTTTTAGTTCTTTAGGAAGCTCTCTTTTTTTTCCTGCAGGAATTGGAAGGCGCACTTGGCAACAAACTGGGCGTCGTTGCTGTGTTTGTCCGGGTGCCACTCCAAGCACATCTTTTTGAACACCTTCTTCCGGTCCGCGAGGTCCTTCTCCGCGTACTCCTATCCAGGAAAAAACACCCATCCCCATCCATTTTTTGCATGACAAATAGTGGATTTTATGCATGTTTTGCATGACAAATTGGATGGGGACGGGTGTTTTTTCGTGGATAACTCCTGCATTTCCGCGATGAGCTGCATGATCAGCTGGTTCACCTTGATTTGTTCGTCACTCGCGTCTTCCGCCGAGGTCATGAAGTTCGCGTATCCTGAGTAAAAACGTCCCCACACCAGAGTCAAGTTGGGCACTTAGCAACACAAATCCAAAAGTTTTGGGAGCCACGCATGACAAGTTGCAGTCCGTAGTGTAGTGCATGTTAGCAAGGAAAACCGCATCACAAATCCATCTTCTGATCCTGTTTGCAGCATTACAAATTTCAAAACACGACTGGTAATGCCTCTCATGGAGATGCGCATTACAAGTCTTCCTGTCATCGCAAATCCGCATGACAACTCTGGGGTGGGGATATTTTGCTCAGGATATCGCGGCCGTCCGGCTCATGTCCGGCGGCGCCGATTTCTTGTTGTTCGTTCCCCCCGCATCATCGTCGCCCGGACTGGTTTTATTGTTCTCCTTTTGCTGCTGTTTCTGCTGCTGCTGCTGATTGGACTGTTGTTGGTTGAACTGCGGCTCCGTGCCCCGCCCGTCGCGCTTCGGACCGAAGGAGGGAAATCCGGGCGGGGCATTCGCGTTGGAGGCCGAACTACCTCCGGTGCCCCCGCGACTAGAAGTCCCCGCGGTGGTGGAGGAGGTGTTGCGAGAGCGGCTCTGCTTTTCCTGTTCCTCCTTCGAGATACACTGGTGGTATTGCTTCATGCGGTCGTCCCACCACCAATACACATTGTAGTCTGCATCAAAGTAGTAGTAATACCCCTCGTACCAGAAATAGCCGGAATTCGGGTTCTTTCGCCTTCGACTCCGCTTGTTGTTACCGTTCGCCTGCTGCTGCTGCTGGTCCGACGTGGTGGAAGAGCTACTCTGATGCTGCGAATTCTGGTTGCCCGACGAGCCTTGGTCTTGCTTTTGGTCTGAGGCCGGCGCAGACTTTTTGCTTTGCTGTTGCTGTTGTGCGTTTTGATTTTGTTGGTGGTCGCTCGAAGATGCGGCCCCCGCTTGCTGGCTTTGCTGGTCCGGCTTTTGCTTCTTGCTTTCGTAGCTTTGCCCCGTCGGGGCACTGCCCATCGCCGGGCCCGGCCCGCTATTCCGCCGTTGTTCTTGCTGAGCGTCGTTCGCCGAGGGCTGCTGGTCGGCGCTGGCGCCGCGACCCCCCATCTTTGCGCCCAGCCGCGAATAGAAATTCTGCTGTTGCTTGCTCTCGCCCGTGGCGTAGGACCGCGGCTGGTTTCCGTAATCGTCCCCTGCTGCAGTCGTGCCGCCTGAGTCGCGCCGCCGATAGCTGGGATTTTCCTCCTCCGCTGGTTGTGGATGCACTTTGTTGTACACTTTCGATTCGCGCGGCTCCGAACGCGCGTTGGCCCACCCGGCGGGCGTCGCGTCGCCCTGCGGCTGCTCGGGTTTATTCGCCTGCGAGGGCGCTTTCGACGCGAAGCTGTAGGCACTGTTGCTGCTTTTCCGCGCCTCGCCCGATGCGGTCGCGTCCCCGCCGCGAGGGGACGGACCGAGGTTCGGACCGGCCCCCGGTGTGACGTTTGGCGTTGGGTTGAACGTCTTGAACTTCTCTTTGCTCGCGTTGGTCGCTGTGTCCGGCCGCGTGTCGTACACATTGGAGGTGCGTCGCGCGGCAGCCCCGTCCGCGGCGGGAGGCAAATCGTCGTATACATTGTACTTGCGCGACGCCGGGGCGTCAGCACCCTGTGCTGTTGGCGGCGCGTCGTCGTAAATGTTGTACTTCTTCGGCGCCTCGGTCGTTTTCGTACTGTCGACGTGGTCGTAAATGTTGAACTTTTTCGGCTCCTTCAACTGCGGCCCCGGGGCTCCTCCTGCACCGCCACCGGTCGGAGGAAGTCCCGCCCCCGCGGCTGCGCCAGCGACCCCCGCTCCCGTCGCGGTGGTGCTGGGAGAGGTCTTTCCGCTGTGCTCGGGCTGCGACGAGCTGCTGCCGAGATCGACGTCGAGGAACTTGTCGGACAGAATGTCCCCGACTTTGATCGTGTTCACCAGTTGCGTGCTGAAGTTTTCCCGCTGCCGCATGTAATCGCGCAAGGCATCCTCGCCGTCGTTCACTTCCTCGCAAATGAATGGCGCGTCCTCATCCAGGGTGTCGTACACGTTCACTCGTTCGTCGGACGAACTGCTCACCTGGTCCATGTTCTTCTCCATGTTTTTGGCCGCACTGGGCGGAGGCGGCGGCTTCACCGTGTCGTAATCCCGAAAAGAATTTCGTCTTTGCGGCCCTTGGTCGGGGGGCGGCTCCTTCTTGCGAAAAAGCACGGCGAGCAGCCGACTGAAAAAGCCCACTTTGGCTTTTTTTTCAGAAGGTAAATCCTTCGCAGAACTACCGGGCCTTCCGCCCACACTGCCTGCACGGTCGAAGCTCGCGCGCCGGTTCCCGTCGGGCATCACCGGGCGGTTCAGCGGATCGCGAGTCGGGGGCGGCACGAACGCGGGGTCAAAAGAGTCGCGCCGTCCTGGCGGTCCTCGACCGGGAATCGACGTAACGCCGTCGTTCCCGTGGCTCCAGAAACACCACGCCCCGAATTCGCAGCGCCCCTCGCGGTAGGCGACGCAGATGGGCCTCCGGCTCGCATCGCCGGAAGTTCCGGTGACGCCCGGCATCACGGGCACGTTCTGCCGCTGGAACAACCGCGGCGAGGGACCGGCGTCCCCCGGGTTGTAATTATTGTTCTGTGGGGACCCGTTCGGCTTGTCCTTGCTGCTGCTTTCCACGCGTTCATGCCACTGGCGCCGCGCCTTGGCCTCCATCTCGGCCTGCGCAGGCTTGTAGTAGGCGTTCGGCATGTTGCCAGCCGCGCCGGTCCCGGAGCCGGAAGCCGACGCACTGGCACCGGCGGGCGAGTTCATCGGTTTTTTGAAATGCGCGTCCGGCGGCTTGCGGAAGTCAAACTCCTTCGACGGCCCAGCCGAGTCGTCCGCGTACAAACCGTGGCCGAGCACGGGTCCACTCGGGGCCGGCCCGAGCCCGGGCCCCATCTCAGCCTTCAACCTGCCACCGGGCCTGTCCGCGTCGGCATCCAGGTTCACCGTTCTCCCCTGGCCCCAATTGTTCTCTTTGCTCACGCTCGTACGCGACTGCCTCCGGTCGGGCGGATCCGGCTTGTCCTTCGAATTCGAGGAAAACAGCCGCTTGAAGAAGCCGCCACCGCTCGCGCCATCGTTGACTTCCGATTCCTGCGTCGCCGACGTGCGGTAGCTGCGCTCCTTCGACCCCGCCGGGGCGGTCGGAGCTGACATGACGGGTGACGGATCGTGAGGCTTGTTGTTCTTAGTCTACTTTCATCTGATGACTGGAGCAGTGGTCTCTCATGTTGTCGTGAAAAGTGACCAGCGCAGCTTCTAGAAAACCGAGACACTTCCTCTCTGTTTCGAAAAGTTCTTGTCGTCTCTCGCGCTTCACGGGATGTTTTGGAACGCTACGACCGCAAGCGCGAGGCACCCGCAATGATAGATTGATGCTGCACCCGCTCCAGACTCTCACTCTTCGCTCGTCCTATGATACCGGAAGCAGCAAAAGAAAACGGGTTTCACAGAAAAATGCAATCTGCAACTAGAAATCATCGCCAGAAAGACGAAGTGTATGTTGTCCGTGTCCGCTTCCGAAGAGTTCTTGCATTATGTGGCCGCGAAGTCTGCAACACCGCTGTTCTTTTCAACGGGTGGAATATGGGACTGATCAGAAGTCACTTCAGAGAAGTGTTTCGGTTGTGGAATTTTTGTATTACTTTTCTTGAAGCGAAAGGACCGCGACAGCTCAGAGCAGCAGGCTGATCTGCATTGTCGGAATCGACACCCATACGTTGGCGATGACGCAGCTGCCATGATTCACACTTTCCACTTGCCCTTCAAAGCAGGGTATTTTTCTTCCGCTCGTGAAAGCACTCGAGCAACTGGAACCACCTTCTGTAAACCCTTGGTCTGCGTACAGAGTGTCGCGACGAGCGCCGCGGCAGGTTTTTCCGTCCCCAGTATTGCGGCAACGCAGCGCTCATAGCCTTGCGGTGTCATCTTCGGCAGTTTTTCGCAGCACGCGATAAGCTGTTCCGTCGAGGGGACTGGCATCGGCGGAAACGCGTATGCCGGAAGCTGGCTATCCTGGTGCGGGAACGCTTGGGGTAACTCTTGTTCGGCAACCTTGTTTAGCCAGGCCGCCACGACGTCCGGATCGTGTGAAAGCGGAGAATCACCCAGGGCATCAAAAAAGTTTCGCGGCACCCAAGGGACCCCGCCCTTTGTTCTTGCGTCAATGCTCCCATCCAACAAGCCGATAATGTCGTCCTTCGTAATCGTGTCCGCGTGCTTCTGCGTAATTTTTGCTTCGGCCGGCCCGTTTTTCATTTTGCTTTTCTCGAAGGAGAGCCACTGCACCTGACGTGGCTTTTTGGCGGACCGAGCGTTTGCACTAGAGCTCTGACTTGGTTCGACGTGTTTGGCGGCACGCTTATTGGACATCTTTGAAACTTTCCACGGGTTCGCACTCCATTGAAAATTTTCGATCGCCTCTAGCATCTTGATCCGGGCCTCGCCGCGCTTACCCATGGTGCCGAACAGGTCCCTGCTGTGCTTCTGCTGCTCGTAGAATACCCACAAGGCACGCTCCGGAGAATTGACATCCGGATATCGGGTCGCGTTGGTCTTCACATAGTTCTTCAGGACTGTCACTTTCTTAGTCCAAATGTCCTCTGCAATCTCTGTCCCGGTTGAAAGAAAAGCGTCCCGCAATGCAGCTTCCGCATCTTCACGAGAAACGTCCAACATAGCTGAAATGTCTTCGCCAAAGAGCTTCAATGGCAGAGCTTTTGCGTACGCTGTCAGTTCGGCATCGGCGACTAGTTGTGGTGCTACAACGGATTTCTCTACTTCGGAGACTGGCCGATGGGCGCTGCTGTCAATCTCAGCTGCACTATGAGCTCGTTCTGTAGAACCAGACCGCACTAGGTATTTGAGAATCGCATCCTCCTCCTGGGAAAAGGCTTCACTCCGAGAAAACTTTTCCATTAGATCAAGCGCGCAGCAAAAGCGAGTAATGAACCTTGCTTCGACCATCTTGTCGGCCAGTGCCTCGCGCAGCCGGTCTTTCCTTACCAGCACGGTCTTTCCTTTCCGGATCCGCTCGAGGGGTAGCGGGATAGGCAACATGACGGTTACAGGTTTCGGTCGGGAACCAGGTTCGTAGCGCGGGTTGCGCATTACCCGACCGCACATCTGGATCCACTTGTCCTCATCGCCGGGAAGGTATGCAGGGGCGGCTACGTTTGCGTACGGAAGGTCGTTGCCCTCGTTCAACTTGTTGGCCGCAAACACGATCTTCATGTCCCCAGGCTGTCCTGGTTCTTGGAAGTTCTTCGTCACGCTTTCCACACTAGTGCGGTCGTCCAGAAAGTACATGTTCTTTGCGTCAGGCTTGCACCGTCTGTTCGCTAGCTCAGGATCGGTCTTCTTAACTTCCGCTCGTACCAGGTCAAGCACCTCAAAGATTTCGTCCACATTATCGCGAAATCCATTCACAGAGCTTTGCCCTGCGTCGCGCGCGTTCAAGAAGCTACAGAAAACAATCACAAACTGATATTCGTGTTTGCAAGTCCAGAAGCAGACGCGAAACAGTCGCCGGAGGAACTCCTTCCGATCGAAGCTGCAGCAGCCACCCGCTTCGTGTTCGGCCTGACGTTCTCCTGGTCGAGAAGACTCATCTAGTTCATCGGGAGCATGTAGCCTTGAGTCCTCTTCAGCCTCCTGGCCATTGTGGTCTTCCAGAGAAGCAAAGCTGCCAGTAAGCACCTTGTTCCCCGCGGTACTAGTCCCATCGGCACTACTAGATTCCGGCATCGCGACCATAACGAGCTCGATCCCACACAGCACATTCTCACCGACTGCTTTCCATGCGGGGTAATCACAGATGGTTGGAAGCGCCGGCGTGATTTTCTTTTTCACAAGCTTTTTCTGCAGCTTAGCTGGGGTTGCTGAGAAGAACAAGGTCCAGCGCGACCTCGCGCGCAATCCCTTCTCAGGTTCGAAAACGCCCCGGAACTTCTCTTCTCCCGCCGCACGGTGAGCTTCGTCCAGGACTGCGATGTCGATGCTCACTGTCGTGTCCTCGTGCACCGCTTCAAGCAGGGGCCACAGGGAGTCGTAGGTGACAATGATCTGCTTTGATCCCGGTTCTGCCAAAAACGCGTGTACTTTCGCCTTGTCTCGCGTTGCATTGCAGTACTCTGCATGCACCTCCCGCTGAGAGTTTGCCCGGCATGAGTCGAAGTACTTCTGAGTCTCGTCGCTGTCGGACCCCACAAAGAGGTGCTTCCTGCTGCCGCTGGCTTTGGCAATGACCTGGCACTTTCCCCGGTCCAGGATGTAGGCGGCCATTTGCTTCTGCAACGCTAGTCGCGGAGTGACCAAGATCGAAAGCCGGCAGCGCTGTCCGGTCTCATGTAGGTACAGCATCGCGGCAAACTGCAGCAAGCTCTTCCCGATTCCGGTGGCGCAATCCACGATGCCGCCACCACTCTCCTTGGACGCCAGAATTTTGTCGAACAGCGGCACCTGGTAGTCTCGCAAACCGTTTCGAATGTCTTGATTCGTGTAGTCAGGCTGGGACGGCGACGCTTGTGGTTTTTCGACAAACCTTTTTGCGCGGTGCACTACGGGTGCCGGAGATTGGTGGAGACTTCTACGGAGTGCTATCGAGCTCGAAGAGTGCTCTTCAGGGATCATTCGCTTATCCTGCCGACGCGCCGAAGAAGCGAGCACTTTATGCCTATTGTCGGAAAGGAAGAGGCTTGGGTCGTGGTCTTCGTGCTCATCCGGCGCAGCTGGATCCAAGTCGTCAAAAGGGTGTGGCGGCGGGCGGAAGCCCCGCCCTTGCAGAGTTTTCTTCACCTTTTCGAACCCTGCTCGATTTTTGAGTGTCGCATATCCCTCATGCGGGTAGAACAAAATTGCGAAGCGCCCGATTTCTGCCTCGTGGGTGAGGTGCGGGATGCGAGCATCGAACTGAACAGCCTTTTCGGATGTGTCGTGCACCCTAAACCACCACGATTTTCCGCGCAGGTACTTGTACTCCTTGAGGTCCGGTCCCTCCCGCGGAACCGATATTCGGACGTGCGCCGCCGACGGTGGATTCTTTGCGTCCTCGTGCGCAGCTTCTCTATCAAACACTGCCAAGGATCCCCGGCCTCCAACGCTGATTGCGTACGAAACGCCACTGTTCTTTCCATCAACGTGCACACAGCAATTCACACCGTTGTTCAGTGTGGTTGTCGTGAAGTGCACTTCTTTAGCGTCTTCAACCGCGCCGCTTTCCAGCAACTGCGGTAGCATCCAAGCGTCAAAAAACCTGACGCGGCGTTTCAACAATCAAAAGGCGGTCACATTCTGTAGAGGATGCGCAAAAAAGCAAATCCAAATTTGTGAAGGTACGGCAAAACAGATGAAACAGGAGCAACTCACAGAGGCAAAAAGTAGTGCAAAAGAAAAATACTTTTCTACCGATTGAGCAGCTTGCTCAGAGATAATGTAAACTCCTGGCATCCCCAGCCTTTGATACGACCCACACCCATGAGACCCGTATTCATGTACTTCTGCGGCCGCGGCTTGCCGTCGGTGACATTCATGCGCAAGGCGGTGGGAAAACAGAGTGTCTGCAGCACCCCAGCCAGCATAAGCGGCGTCATCGCCTCCTGCTTTCCAAGCTCCCCTAGAAACTTATCGATAGCCAAGAAATTTTCGTGTTGCTCGTTGAAGGTAAGGCTTTTGGTACCCGCTTGCCCTGCACGGCTACTTCCAGCTTGCCTCCCCGTTCCGGCTTTATCGCGAGGCAATGATGAAAAAGTAGACGACGCAAGAGCCTCCTGCCTCCCACCTGCTGCAGCGACAGAAGCTTCAGCGATTTCATGTCGGCCAAAGTCATCTTCTTCGATGGGTTCGTTTAGCAACAAATCTTGGTCGAACTCGTCCGACAGCAAGTTTAGATCTGGTTCGTCCACAGCTAGATTCTCTCGTTTCTGCATTTCCATGGTCGTGTCCAGTGCCTCCGGTCCGCTTCGTTCACGCGCAATCGAATCGCCACTGCGGTGCCCAGCTAGCTCAGGCAGTAACGCAGCCCCTGGAACAATGACTGCTGAGTTTGTTGGCGCTAGTGGCTGTGGCTGTGCCTTTGTTGCGGATAGTATCTTCTCCTCCGCAGTCACCGCACGCTGCTTCCAAACATCGCGCTCGGCTTCGATTTTTTCAAGCGCTCCTTTTTTCGCTTCACTTTCTTGCTTCAACCACTGCAACTCTTCCTCGTGTGCCTGTCGAAGGCTTTGCAGCTCTTTCTCCTTCTCCGCTAATCGTGCCCGGAGAACTGTTAGCTGCGGATCCTCGTCCTCGGCCGGAGCATGATGCTCTACCTCTTGTATTGATTCGCCCCCGCTCGTCTCCTGCGGGGGCACCAAAACCGTCATCGCGCCGACAGCCGGTTGGTCCGGAGATTTGGGAGAAGATGGGGCGGCTGGCGCAAGCACGTTAGCAAGTTCGGGCAGCTCGTGTGGCCTTTCGTCCAGCTGTGCGGTTTCAACGCAACCGTCTCCGAACCTTCCGATGTCGTCATCGCTGTTGTGCGCATGATCGTCCGGGTAGTCTTGAGTCTGCGACAAAGCGAACAAATGAAACATGGGGTCCGTGTCCCTGTTCGCAGGTAACGATTGTCGCGCGACATGAAACGGAGGCAAGGGCAGAGGCGGGAAGGGGTTCATGCCTTGCCGAGATGACGACGATGGAGGGAGGAACGACATGATAATGCTACAAGTTTACCTTTACAAGTGCAAAAAACCGCCTTACTACCTCCCTTTGGAAAAAAAGTACTGAGCGCACACTGAGTGACCACCAAAAAGTTCTGCTTGTAAGTCATATTCTAGTTTCTAATTCTGGACTATCGCATTCGCAAACACATATGTTATGACGACACTGATAACGCTGAATCGGCCAACCAACGACAATAACGACACATATCATGCGTTCCTACTTCTAAGAGAATATTGGCACTCGCGGCGGTCCCTATCAAGTGTGGACCTCTGAGCGGTCTGGTTTTGGACACAACGACACGGCTAGGAAACCTTCTTCTCAGACGATATTTCCGCCGCGAGACTGACGAGCACATTAGGACGTGATGAATATGTTGAACATGCGTTTGAATGTGGCGGATGAGTACATGGCATGGAAGAAGATTACCATACAGTGTTAGCTCATTTTCTTTTGCAATCTGCTGAAATTTGTGTACAGGTACGTGATAGTGAGCTGTTTTACCCGTCCCTCTTTATCTTCAACATCAGCAACCGAGGCTGACCCTGATCTGATTCAAATTGCGCTAGTAGTGTAACGAAAGCTCTTAGGTACGTTGGTGCATTTTAGAAAGTTACTGTTCCGCTGCGCATCAGGTCCTCCGCAAGTACGGGTGAATGGTAAAATTCTACAGTGTGGCCGCACCCCCGGGTCTACGCGATCACAGCATACGTGTTTCTGGCGCTCGTTTTAGACCGCGTGCGGCCACTAAATTCACCAAGAAGAGCATGTCAAAGATTGACACTCAAACCTGACTACGAATGGGCAGTTTCAAAATACTAGCTGAGATAACCGTAACGATATCTAGGTGCATTATCCGTTAAACTTAAACTTACATTGCGCAAAGAATGGAGACAATCTCCTTGACTTCGAAACCATAATCAAAAACGAGCTTTTTGCTATGTATAGCTATTCATTTAAGAGACGCGTACGAAATTTTAGATAAGTAACTGCGACGTGTGCTGTCTGAACTTACTGTAATCGTCCTATAATCTTGCAACTGTTCTGAATTTAAAGGTTTTGTCCTGAGTCTGACTTTGAACTGTAACTGATTTGAAACGAAGCTGTTCTGAGCTGAGACTTTGTAACTGTTGATTTGAGCATTTTACATTGGAATGGTCAAGAGTGCGATACTGCGAGCCGGTGTTGGGGGGATCTGTCGTAACTGATGGGTAGGATACTTGGGGGAAGAGTAAAGATTTTTTACATCGGCTTCACTTACATTCTTCCGTCGTCCTCTTCATCCCCATCAGTCGGAAAGCAACAGATCGTCGTCGCTACCTGCAAAAATTGAAGAAATGCGCTTACGGATGGAACCATGCAGAGTCAAAAAAGACGGGAATCAAATCAAGAAGCGCAAACATTCCATCGTTATTCACAAGGCATTCGGGACATATTAGCGATCATACATAAGAAGCACTTCACCGTAGCGCTACAAGTTCTTGTACACAAAGAAGAATATTTTCATCCAACAAAACAAACATACCCCTGGCATCATCGGGGCGGGTGCAGTTGAATTGCGTGGACCAGAATCCGTCCTCCTGGGCGAACTTGGCCTTCACCCGACCGGTCATCTCCATTCGCAGTTCCTCGAGGTCATTCTCCTTCTTGATGCCCCGCTTGATCTGGGCGCACCGCTCGAAAATGCCGTCGATCTTCGTCTGATACAAATCCCGCTGCTCCTGGAGCTCGAGTAGGTACCTAGTTTTCATCGAGTACAACCGAATAGAAACAACGCACTTGTAGTTACTTCTTGTTGCGGATACAACACGCTGACGTCGGTGCATTTGATTTTGCACGCCAAAAAAATGGAAGATATTTTGCTACCTAAAGGGAAAGCTAATGCTAAACCAACATCTTAGCAAACTCTATACTTTTTGAATTTCTTGACGTTGCCATCCAGTTCATCCTTTGCTTTGTTTGATGCCAGCGCTGGCAAGTTCGCTCTCCTCTTCTCGGCCCGGATCAGTTGTTTGTACCTGTTTTTTATAGGAACATGCAAGAATCGTGATGTGATCTGTTTCGCCGGTTTGCATGTTGATGTCACACGACCAGGGAAAGCCGAAGTAGATTAGATTCCATCAGGAACATTATGCGCAGGAAACTCAGTATGTCCGTACTACTATGCTAGTCCTAGTGGTGCACTATCAGTATCGCAAATAAAAACTGTGTGTAAGTACGTTTCCCTCCACTTGAGGTCGAAAATTTGTTGGTCGTAGAAGTAGTGTATCAGCTGCTTGCTCATGCTCGCGCACTCGTCGACGTACCTGCCGGGTGGTTTGGAAAAGGTTCAGGTTGCGTTTTGTTATCTTTGCAAGGCCAATAAAAGCTACCATCATGCCACAGAAGAATCATGTAAAGGCACGAAGTTTCCGTTTGTTCGAAATGCACATAAGCGTCGTACCTTGGGTCTTCAATGTCGATCAGCGAAAAGGCGTATTTCTCCTGGCCAAACATCTTCGGTAATGGCCATTTTGTGTTGTGGAACTCTCCTGCCTGCAGACCATGGAGATTGCCTGTTGACGCTGGAAGGTACCTGAATTTGTTTGAAAAAAGTGTTTTTTGCATTTCTGTATCATCTTCCACAGAGCTGTGCATTTATTGCAAAAGTGAGTGTACTAGCACGCTGTGTAGTCATCTATCGTTTCTCGCGTTTTCAGGATGCGAGGTGGAAAAAAGGCACATAATAAAATATCCATCATAGTTTAGTACCTTCGCTTCGCCAAACTTTTTGTAGAGAGCCAGTCCGGGATCGGCTCCGCGGGCACGATAGCTCCCTGCGAAGAGGTCATTTTTTCAGGATCTTCGTATTTGTTCAGTTGAGCATGCCACTCCGCCAAACGAGCGGCCTCTTGTCTTTCCTCACGTTCTAACTGTTTGCGTAGGAGTTTGGTATTGCAAATGTGTGGGGTTTTGAGTTCCTTCAACGAGATTACACGATGGGGCTCATCTTTCGGGTCGGAGACTCTCTTGTTCTTAACGGGGATAGGGGGCAGGGATACGCGCCGACTAGTTGTAGTGGATTTAGATGTACTTTTTTCTTTAGAAGTTGTAGTTGTAGCGAGGGCTGTACTGGTGTCTTCTGCGTGGCTAACAACGGGTAGTTGCTCGGATATTTTTGGTAACTTAGTGTCTAGAGTCCTGGACCTCCGAAACGTGTTATTCTTAACGCCCGGGCTGTGGGGACGCTGTCTACGTCTCGGGGACTTTTTCTTTTTCGGGGGCGCGGTCAGAGCGGCGTCCTCCTCCGCCTCGAGTCGGAGTTGTTTCTTATCGGGAATGGGGGTGTTCGAAACTTCCTTTCTAATGTTACTCAAATAGCGTTCCCGATCTTCTGTAGTGGCAAACACACTGCATTTACCGTACTTTTTCATTTCCTCTTTTTGTCGCCGCCAGTCAGCCTCATGTCCGACGAGCTCCTCGACAGAGTCACGCAATTCTTTGACTGTCTCAGAAACCGACTCTTGCGCCGCGGTGTTGAGGCGGTAAAGTCTCTTTTTCTCTCGTCTACTTAGTTCCTTCGGCTTGCGCCGAGGACTACCAGGCGACTGACTACGCTCGCGCTCCTGCATGCGCTCTTCAAAAGTTAGTTGCTTAGGAGCTAATGGGTCAGCAACGCCGTTCTTACCGTTGTTGTGTTGCACAACAGCGGACTCGAGCGACGATGCCTGCAACATCGTATTGCTTTGTGGGGGAGTAGTACTTCAACTTCTTTTTGAAAAGTAAAAAATTTTGTAAGCAAAAAAAATCGCGTAGGGGGTTGCCCTAGGTTTACTTCCAGTTCTGCGGAAGTATATATGAAGCGACTGCGCTACTAGCGCAAAGACTACAAAAAAAAATCCAAAAAAAGTTAAATGGCAAAGTGATGAAAGATATGGTTAGATCTATCTATGGGGGATACGCCAATTTCAGAGACTAGGGGTGAAAAACTGGAGCCTAAAAAAGCTACGTTGCCCGGGTTTCGGGGTGTCGGAATTGGGCTACATGCAGAAGAAAGGTTATTTTTCCCTGATGCGGTCGATAAGTACGGCAAAGTGCTTGCAGTTCTTTTTTTGTTTTACGTCCGTCACGGACGACATTAGGACGAACATCTCAAGAATACTGAACGACCCACAGACGCCTGTACGAACGCATTCAATCACGACCTTTCTGCAATTCTTGGTGACCAACGAGGAGATATTTAAAGCTTGTACGTGATGTCTTGGCTTTCGAACGACGAAGCACTTCGAGCATTTTCGATATGAAGAACATGAAGATCGCCCACAACATTCATTGCAGTAGCACGGGCGAGCACTGAGAGTGAGATTGACGACGCCAAGCATGGCCTTTGGGTTTTCTTTTGCAATTTTCCTTTGCACGACGATATGCTGCTCTGGTGAGGCCAGAAAGCCAAGTTATTCGAATCGTATTCAATTTTTCGCACTTGGCGATGTGTTCTTTTAGGGTACCTCCGAAGCTCCAGCAGCGAGGTCCGACGTATGTATAAGCAGGCAGTCCTGCAGGGAAAGCAAGACAAGACTCCATCTGCTTCTTAAATTTTTATTTCGTGTAAAACCAAAGGTTCAGGGAATCGTCATCGCAGCAAAAAGGCAATTACTGCAGAGACCTTTACTAATAATGCGTGTGTCAGTTACCAAAAGGCAGATCCACACCCTTCTACTGCTTCTCTTGTTTATTGTGTTTGATCTGACGTAAAATTTATTAATGTTGTGATGTTTGTCTACTGATAACTTACGTGCACCAACCGCAACCCTACCCAGCCTTTATAAAAATTTCACGCCCAGCTGCCGCTCGTCCCCGTGTGGACAAGGCCGGACTTTCCCGGAAGCCCGCGCCCGAACCCGGTAAGCAGCGTCGGTCGTGGCGAGCTGTCCGGTCGTTCCTGATAGCGGCGCCGTTCGACGCTCATGTAGTGTAAGGGTGCGGTGTTGGGATTGGCGTCTCTGTGGGCATCGTAATTGTCCATGGAGCCGTGCTTGGACACCAGCGTGTCGACCACCTTGTCGCTCCCAACCCCGGTCGCGAGCGGGCCGGCAATGTGGTGCTGGTTGCGGCGATTCGAGCCCCGGCCGCCCGCCGCCCGCTGCGAGGCGGACACCGAGGTGGGTTCGGAAACCTTCGCGGGCCGCGCTACGGCGCTCCGTTGGAACTGCACCCGGGCGGACTCCTCGGTGAGAAACGCGTGGTTGGGAACCTCGTACACCTTCTTGTCGAAGAAGTCCACGGAGCCGAACCGCTTCGCGCCCAAAACCGCCTTCCGCTTGTCCACGATCCACCGCTGGTCCCAGCCGTGGCGATCCAGCGGGTTCCAGCCCCGGCTGTGATACAGGGCCGTCTGCGATTTCTCGTGCGTCTTCTTGGAAATTTTATCCAGTGTGCTCCGGACGAGCGGAAGGGCGAAAAAGTTCGTGCAGGATGCTAGTGCCTGGGAGACCACGACGTCCTCCGTATCCACCGCTCGGCGGAGACGCGCGGCGGTGCGCCGACCCTGGATCATCAGCGAGGATGCTGCGCTTGTTGTCTCGGACAACGCGCTCGTGGACGAGCTCTGCGAAAATGCGCTCACTTGACTATGTCGGCGACTCGCAGCAGCGGTACTGGCACGAGGAGGTCCTCCTCCTCTGCGGTGTTGAGAGTTACTACTCTCAATTCCACTGTCGTCCAGCTGATTGCTGGGTGCGGTGTCGGGCCGCGGCAGATCGGCGCTGGGGCGCCTGGAGGCCACAGACGGTAACAGCTCCATAGTACCGCCACTGTCGCTGTTGAGCAGACTCGATGTTGTATGTGGTGGTGCTCCGGAGGAGATGCAGCTCGCGGTAATTGTAGAACTCTGTCCCGCTCCAATTGTGGTGCCGATTGACGACATGCTCAGGGCCTTTCCCTGGAAAACAGAGCTCGTGGTGACGTCGAGCTGCGGATTCGGGGCCGCGACTTCCGCACTTGCACTGCTCTTCTCTCGGCGCAAGGACGAGCCGAAGACGCCGAAGGAAAAGCTGGACCTTGAAGTGTTCTGCTCCGAAGTTGGATCGTCCCCGTGTTGCGCAGCTGGAGCTGTGCCTGCCTCGGCAGGTTCCTTGTTCGTCCCATCATCATCTAAATCACCCTGCTCCACGTCGTCGTCGTCGTCCCGATTGTTTGATTCCTGCATTCCTTCGGGAGCACCAGGAGGTCTTCGCGTCACCAGGTGGCGTCCGCCCCGCTGACCGAGAAGAAACCGCTGCGCCCACTCTCTCTCGGCGAGGCCTTGCAACAGCATGTTTGAGTACACGTGGTCGTAGTGCGAAGACAGAATGTCCCCGGTCTGGCGCGAGCTCTCCTCCGCGTTGTTGGCCACGCACCCGTGGTGGTAGTAGTCTGGCCCGTGCTTCAGTTGCAGCCCCACGTGCGGCCCGCGATGCGGTGAAAGCGAACACGCGGCGCTTGCATTTTGACTCGGACCGGAAGTAGAATGCGGTTGAGACGAGGACGACGACGAAGATGCACCTCCCGCACTGCTGGTAGCCGACATTGCTCCACCATTCGCTCTACTGCCCAACAATTCCCTCTCCACTTTCTCCGGCCCTTTCGCTGTCGGGAAGAAGTGCTTTTTCCGAATGCTGCTGACAGACCCGCGATGAAGCCGTCCCGCTGGTTTCTTGCTCTCTTCGCTTTTCTTCTCCCACAAATTTCTGGCGCTATTCACGCGCGGCGCTAGTTCTCCCTCACGATACTTCCTCGCAGTCGCGAGGATCCGGTCCGCTCGGTCCCGCTCCTCCGCGTCGTCAAATTTTTTCAGCGGGCTGGTGTCGAAGAGTGGCGCTCTCTCCAGGCTCTGAAAAAGCGTTTGCTTCATATGGTAGTCTTGCGCCCGGCACTTCAACACAGACTGCGCCGCGGACACCGACGGGTCAAAGTTTTCCAGTTGCGAAGCGGATTGTGGCTGGGCCTCGTCTTGCGCCTCGTCCTGCTGGGTAACAAGCGCTCGTCCGGCAACATCCGCGTGGGAAATCGCAAGTGCAGCTTCCTCCGCGTCGGCCTCAAGCTGCGATACAATCGCGACATTTTGTAGTGGGGAACTCGAAAGACTAGTGTTGATGCTTTGCTCCAACTGCTGACTGTCCGTGGTCCCCGCCAGCAACATTACGCTGTTTATTTCACCGTCCTGCGGCCTGCTGAACGCTTCGACATCGCGCGAATCATGGTGCTGCTCAACTCCCGAAAGCGAGTCCGACCCCGCACCATCGGCCGCTGCCGGCACCAGTGTGATGCTCGGCAGCGTCGACTTGTCCTTTACGGATGTGAAACAGTCGAACGGCCGAAACGTGTGCCCGGGATGCGCGCTCTTCGCCCGACCGGACACCCAGCACTTACTGCAGGAGAAAAATCCTCTGCGTTCCACGCATTGGTGCACGTTGTTCCCGAACAGGGGCGTCGCACGGCAGACGCCGCAGTGGAGGCCGAAGTGCACTGACGCATTTTTCTTTATCAGCGCCGAAAACCAGTGCCCCTCCTCCTCCAACACCGCGGCCTCCGCGTGGCGGCCCACGGACCGCAAGAACGTGCCATCGTCCACTTCCAGTTCGAATCTGCACATGGGACAGGTGTGCTGGCGGGCCAGCCAGTCGCGACAGCAGTCGAAGTGGAAAACGTGGCCACAGGGCAACCCGACGACTTCCTCGTACTTCGCGAAATTCACCTTGCAAATCGCACACTCCTCCTCGAACGCGGTGGAGGCGATGGTGTCGGACGCACGGGATGCCCGGCTCGTGTGGTAGTTGTGTACACTCCGGCGATTCACGGTCGTATTCGAAGAGGCGATGGACATGGTGCCAAAATTGGTCGCGCCATCTTGCTGGTTCGACGTCGGGTGGGCCCCTCCACCACACTCCGCCTCGCTCGTTGGCCCAGCTGAGCGGTACCTGTGGATCATAAGGTTCCGCGACATGTTACTGGCAGAAGTGTTGGCGGCCTGCGAAGTGGTTGTTGTATCCAAGATGTGTTGGTGCAGGTTCAGCGAGGAAGAGGCCAGAGACGCGGACGGGCGGTTTGTGCTTGCTCCCGCGTGAACCAGATGTGGAGGTTGAGGAGCTCCCGCGGTCGTTGTTGTTTGGGAATTTCTCGCTGTGGTCCCCCCGGCAGCCGTTGTACTGCTGCTCCCTCCAGTTGCTCCGCCCGTCGTCCCGGCAAGCGCCGTGGACGAAGCCGCGGCCTCGATGGCCTCCGACAGAAATTTTCCAAACTTGGACCGATTTTGCTGCTGCTGCGAACGCGTGCTGTGTCGCTGCTTCGTGCTGCTCCCGCTAATCTGTTGCGTCAGCTTGTCCGTCGGCTCAACCTCCGACGCAGACGAGATCGCCTCGGAGGCCGAGCTCTGCTGGCCGTCCTTGCGCTTCGGCTTTTGCCCGAACAGATTGTACACGTACCTTCGCCCGCGGTACGGCACGGGCAGAATGGAATCCAGCAGCTTCTGTGCGGTTGGCGTGAATTCGGGCACGACTTCGTTATCCGAAGAGGATACATTTGGCTCTTGCTGAGCTGCAAGCGCTCCGGACGTCAACACGCCTTCGAACGGCGAGTGATGTGCTGTCGTGGTTGATGTTCTCACAAGCAACTCCGGGTCTACTGCTTGCCGGGCCGCAGTACCCGTAGTGTCTGCTGCGTTCATGATCATTCCTTCTTGCGGATCCTCCTGATCATCTTGTCGTGTCCTCACTTGTCCACCTGATTCAACAGAACCTGCGACTGCGTCTCCTGGATTACTTCTTGCGTTACTATTTCCATTGTCCACGGCTCCTCGATGGCACGTCCGACCCTGTAGGAGGTGTGGTGCAGAAGTCGCAACAGGAGTACATATGGTGCGATGATCCGCACCAGTTGTACTACTATCCCGCTCACTAGAAGATATTCGGACCGGAGATTTATCCACGACATTTTGCTCCTGGAAGCGGTCATCGAGGTTCTTGATTTTCGGCAAGACCCGCAGGTGAATGTAGCCCGTCTGTTCGTCGACTTCGTCCAGTTCGACCGTCACACACTCCACCGCGGGTTCGTGCACGAACGAGTTTTGGGTCGACGAGTTGTCGACCGCAAAGGGCATCAGCTCCAGCGCCGTGGCTTCCCCGCAGGACGGGCAACATTGCGGGTGCTCGTACGAGCCCGTGGCGGGGTCGATCTGCAAAACCTTTCGGTTGCCGCACGAGTGGCAGAAAAGGTGCAGCTCCGCCTCCTCGACCTGCTCTTCCGGCTGGCTCGCCGGGCCCGTGGACGGACCCGCACCCATGATTTTTACTGTCAGTGAAGTTAGTACTTTGAAAAGTGCTGTCTATCTTCAAGTGGTCTTACCACCTGTTGATGCCGAACATGTATGGATGCGCCGGGGGTGGCTAGTATGTATATATACTTAGAAGACTCTTGCTCTTTTTGATGATCTCCGAGTGCAGCGAGCACTCGGACTCCCATAGGAGTCGCTTGTACATTTTTGAAGATCGTCAGGCGGGGGTTCCCCTTGCAGCTAGTGCCAAAAGAAAGTACTTACTATGAGTGCTGCCTATCGGTCCCTGATCAACAAAAGATGTTGAAAAAAATCGAGCGGGTCCCAATCGGAGGAACGTTGGACTGAATGAAGAAGATGTTGGACACGAAAGATCCACATAAGTGGTGTACGCGGCAACCTTTAACACCAAACCGATTGGGAACGCTGGCATTCAAGAAGATACTTAACCAACACCGAGCAAACATTCATCATAAACACCGAATGGAAGTCCATGACCAACGGGCTGATATAAAGGACAACAAACGAAAAAGGAAACTAGCAACACACCCGAAGCACGATGCGGGCCGTGACACCGATTTTTTTCGCGATCATGCCGCTTTCTCTCCGTACCGAACTCAACGAACTCCAACGCAACAGTACTACATGAGAGAAACCGATTTATCATGTTGTCGCCATGCATATGGAAACAAAAGAAAAAACTTCTACGAAGGTGAGGCTCAAGCACGACACACGAGACCTTGCCGCAGATGAAGCACCGAACTTTCGTCGCTTTCTTCATCTTCTGCTATCACTATGCAGGGAATTATATCCGCATTATTTTCATCTTTGATCGACCCTGCAAATGGGAACACGATCAGCGACCGCGCTTGGAGTCGTATTTATTACAGCCTCTTCATGTTCAGTGGCTGATGACTCCACATACTCAAGCTCAGCAGGTGCTGCAGATAATCACAAAGATGTGCCGAATACGTGACGCATCGCAACTAGAAAAATATAAAATTATGCTGGTCTTTCGAATATAGACAGACAACACAGCTCGTGCATCGGGGCGGAGCACGGGAGAAACATCGGCACGAACGTTATCTATTCCAGGAGAATGGTTAAGTTTTGCTGTGTAGAACAGCAAGCGCACGCGTTTGCTAAAACACAAGCTCGGACCGACATGGAAGATGAAGATCGACAGCCCTAGAGGGCGCAGCGCGCTGCCTCCCGGCGACCAGGTCAGCGACTGCGGTGGGACAGCAACAGCGTGGCGCATCCCTACTGGTACTATGGCTTCCGCGGATACCACCGGTTCCGGGTTTCGCTGGGCGTTTCCCGGTCAACCCGGCGCCGGCGGGAGCAGCAGTTTTCGCGCGGGCGGCCGGGGACGAGCTTCCCGTCCCGAAACCTGCGCGATCCCCGCCGGCCCCCCAGCGGCAGCCGGGCCGGCGCACGATCGCGCGACCGGGGCGACCGCGGGGGATGAGGTGGGGTTCGCAGTCTCCAAAACACCCGGCCCGGCACAGGCGGCGGGAGCTGGCTGTACCTGCAGCTGAAAACCTTCTGGTCATCTGCGTCTGCCCGGCGGTCTGCATTGCGGTCTTCGAGGATTCTACTTCTATCAACGCGGTCGGTGCTAATGGGAAGGTCTGCTTTCTGGTCAGGCTTGGTTCTTTTGTCACAATCATTGGGGGCTAACAGCACTGGTTGGTCCGGAGGCTTGTTTTCTTGAATATCCTTATCCATATCATCCTTAATGGGAGGTATCAAGGCTTTCGTGGTAGGAGAGCAGTCTTGTTCTTTTTCTTCGTCTCCTACAATAGGAATGCTGCAGCCAATCTCGTCCACCGGAAAACTGAAAACGACGTTCTGACTCATCTTCTCGAGTTTGATCGGAGGTATTAACGCCTCGTCCTTCACAACTGGCACGTCTAGTTTCAGGAGAGCCGGATCTTTCATCTGCTTGGCACTGGCCACAAGCATTTTGCTATCGGGCTGGCAATGACGCGATGTTGCTGAGACGGGCATCTTGGGCACGAGCGAAGAGCCCGAGAGCACAAAACTCAAAGAACTTGCGGGAACAGGATCCTGATCGAATGAAGCAACATGATGAAAAGTTAAACAGGCCGATCTCTTTTTGTAGTGCTCTGCTAGTATGACTGCGACTGGTTGCAGACCCGGATCCTGTGGTTGTGAGGGAGGGGTGGGAACACTCTTTTTTTCGGAGATGAAACTAATCTTGGAAGAACCCGCTGCATTTTCATCCCGAAGAACTAGAGTAGAGGTGGGCGCTCTTCTCTTTTCGGGTCGTATTTTTTCCCTCTCTTCACCAATCTGCAGCTGCATCATTCCGCAAGAATTCGCACAACCTCCTACTTGTTCATCGATAGCGCTTGCGCTAGTGCCTTTCTTCACGACCATAGCGGCATCTAGTCCATCTCCCACTTCAAGTCGATCAGAGGCCTTCTCCGCAGCCGCTCGCGCTGCACCCGCACCTTCACGCGACCTACGACTTCGCTGAGAATGCTTCACACGTAATGCGATCTTTGCCACGAGCTTGGCCACAATCTTGGCCGCCAGCTTGTTGATTTTTTCGTCATTTCTTTTGCCGATCTTCGTCTTCTTCTTGCCCGCCTTTGCGTCACCTTTATTTCCCAGGCCGATTTTTGTCAGCACATAATTTTTCGGCTCATTACTAGCTGCAGCTGTACTCAGTTCCAATAAATCGACTTTACCGTGGTGTAGTGCCCCACTTTCTGCTTCTGAAGCTTTGCTCTCCTTTGCGCGCGGATCCTTCTTGTTCCCGCGGGCGAAACTGGACTCCGCTGCAAGGAGTTCCGTCTTCCTTGCCCGCCCCTTGATCGATCCCGTCGGTCTGCCTTTTTTCATCCCCTTGCGCAGAGCGACCATCCGCTTTCTCGCGGATAACGCTCGGACAAGACGCCGGGCAATCGCCTTCCCTCTTATGGCGGCCTTGCGCCTGCTTAGTGCGATGCAAGTGATCATCGAAGAGAACTCTTGGCAGAGCACGGCCCGATTTTCCTTTAGCAGCTTCTTGCGGTGCCGCGTCTTCGCTCCCGCCACGAGCTCCCCAAAATACGCCAGCGCGCCCCCGTCGGCCTCGGCGACCAAGCTGTGGAACTGCGCCTCATCTTCCACCTTTAGCCTCCGCAGCTGCTGCTCAGCCGGAGATTGGAACTTCAAAAAGGCCTCACGGATGTCCGGGCTTATTGCTTGCGTGAACGCGCGGTGCGCCACCGCTTTCGACGTGCCGAAGTTCATGCACTGGCCCCGGAGCGAGAGACCACCCAGGCGCAAGGGCTTGATTTTTTGCAGCGAGCTAGCTGCTGCGCATTTGTTCACGTACGTGAAATATTTCCGACGCATCGCCCTTCCACACAGATGGACTTGCTTGATATTGATTGCGCCCTCTTCGAGAAGTTTTGCCTTCCTCCGAAATTGGTCCAAAACTCCGGTGCGTGGAGTATCGCCATCGATCCCCGGTCGACCGTGCGTCTCCTCCACACGACAATAAACTCGACGGATTCCCATTCGTCCTTCTAAGAGCAACAGATGACTTCAGTTTGAAACTCTGTTCCGGCGAAAAATGGGAATTGTGCTGTTAGGTAAATGTGATCAAAGTCAGAATCACATCATCACAAAAATCCGTCACTGCATGACCTGTATTGACACTTGGGATCGCGCAGAAGAGATAACAGCAGCGGTGTGGGTCTTCGTTTTGAGCAGAAAAGCAAACGAACCTGAAGAGCCAAGGGAAGCCAACAAATAATGTATTTCATTTGGCGAGCACAACAAAACGAATTATAATCAACCAAATCCGTCAGCAAATGTCCTCTTCATCTGTCCTTGTGGATACAGCAACAGCAATGCGAATCTTCAGAAAATCAAGATCAACAGGTTTTTATGCCTCGAACACAGAAAACTACTTTATTCACAAAACACCCTACTGGTACATAAGCGACAGTGCCACATAGAAAAATCTGTGACAGTTTCGACTTTCATTTGTGGGGTAGGCCGGACGGCTGACGAATTTCGTTTGAAGTCCACGGGCCGTGGTAGGTATGTTAGTACACAATGTGTGTTTTGTTACAATGCAGACGTCCAGGAAACAGTACATTCAACCCCCAATGACGAGAGCGGCGAAAAGTCGTTTAGGAATATAATTTTATACGCGGATAAATCCTATGATCTCAGCTGAGCCTTCGACCACACAACGTGGCGACACCTACACCTAGTCGGCGACTGTGGCGTGATCTCCGGCTGTAGGACAGCATGAGACATCATGTATATTTTGGAACGAATAGACACTACAGCTGCGCACTGCTTTTTCAAGCAATGGCTGTTTAATTTGCAAAAACGTTTGTATTCAGACTTACTTGTTTGTAATTGTATCGGATTCTAATCTAAAACACAGGTGCTAATTAAAATTGTGTTTTTGTAAACAGACATGGCACGACGGCCACGGCGAGCGAGACGACCGGAGCCTGCTTCTACTTGAACCGATTTCGTATGTCATCGTAGTAGCGCTGCAGGTTCGCGACTTGCTGACTTTGGTGCTCTTCGAATAGCTGTCCCTGGACGTTTTGGATCCACTCGGTCCGTGTGCGCTGCTCCGATATCATCTCATCGAGCCACTTCTGGTCCTGGGCGAGCAATTTGAAGTCTTGCAGGTTCCACTCTACTTGTCGCAGCTGCTCCAGCGCCAGGCATTCGGGGAGTAGCCTCATTTGTTTGTAGAAAGTACATCTGGCATGCTGATCGTGCTGATCTGCTATGCATGAGACACAGGGGGACAAGAAGTGTTCATCTCACAAGTCAGTGGGTGTTGGAGACAAGAATTATTAGCTAGAAGATATCAACAAATCTCTACCTGAGTAGTTCCAGTGCTTGCCTTTCTTCCATGGTGAGCGTTTCATTCTTTTCGAAACCGATTTTCGATAGAATTGCGTATATCTTCGGCCGGGAATCTTGGTCCACCCGAGCAGCAAGCTCCAAAACCATGGTACTGCTAGCAGGATTTTGCAGTTTGTGTATTGAAAGGTCCTCCGCCTTATGCTCGGCATCTGCAGTCGGCGACGCTGTTTTTTTGTTGCAAAAAAGCAAAGCAGTTGCAAGAAAAGTTTGAGCTCGCTTTCACAAAAACGTCCACACGAAAAGCACCTGCACAGAAATTGCATTTTGCGAAAACGAATTAGCGAGGCAAACCGTCTGCTGGTGGTGCGGTTGCGCTGCCTCCCGCTGGGCCGGCGCTCCCGCCGGTGGAGGCTGCTCCTTTTTCTGCGGCATCCGCCAGCGTGAGAGGGTCCAGTTTGGGGTTCAGGGGAAAGTCGAGATTTTGTAGTAGCCCCTCCGCGTTCACCGCTTCTGCGATGTCCTGTTCCTCGGCCCAGAATTCGAGCAAGATCTTCAGCCCGCCCTTCATGGTCTTGCCGCTGTTCCACTGCACAAAGAGGCTGGCAGCGTTGCTGTTTTGCACCAAGTCTGCAATGCACCCGAGAATGTGCCTCCTGAGCATGACCGGGGCCATCTCCAACGCGTCGAGGAGGGAAAACAAACCGCCCTGCTTCAGAAATCTCTCCTCGTTACTGGTGTCCCCCACGTATGCAGTGCAAAAGTATCGCCCTCGTACTAATTGCGATCATGCATCTAGACCAGCACTAGTTGCTAAGGCAAAACCGCATTACAAATTCAATTTGTACTGCAACTGCTCCTCAGCCAATTTGTATTGCAGTTTATACTAGTACGATACTTTTGCAATGCATACCACGATTGCGCACCAGACGCAGTCGACGACGTGCAGCATGAAAAACAAGCGATCCTGCAACTCGCCCCCCTGGGCGCGCCACCGGACTTCCTTCGCGACGGTCTCGACGCCCTTCGCTTTGCGGAACTTGGTCGAGTACGCCTCGTCTTGTCGGCACAGGCAGCCCAGTATGCTGCACGCGAGCTGTCGCAAGCTGAAGGGATTGCTCCGCTGGCTGAAGATCTCCAGAAGGATCTCGACGACATCTAGGTGCGACTCGTCCAGCATGCAGCATGGCGGTATGTCGATTTGCTCGAAACCTAGTGGAGGGGATACAAGAACATTTTTTGTTCTGGGAGCATTATGTTGCCGTGCCACGACATGAAGGCCGTGTCTTCAGTGGTGGAACACTGAGACCAATTGTTCGAATAAGCAATAGATTCAGTTTCCATCAAAGCCGGTGTATTAAACCGGTCTCAACAGTACCATCCGCTCTGGTAGACGCCAAGCACGAACGATGGAGCAGCGTAAGGCATGCTTTTTGCAGGTCCTGGTCCTGCGTCGTCTGCAGTAATCTGATTACTACACCATTTCCATCCGATTCCAAGTACGAGCTCGGGCAGTGTGGCACCTGAATTTTGGATCGTACCGTGGCTCTTCATCAATTTTTACGTAAAAAAAGAGTGAGCTTGACAGTTCCGGCTAACTAGCGTACCAAGTGAACTAGACTAAGTGGTCAACACGAAGAAAGTGTGAGTGCGACGTCCTACTCACTCCAATGCAGTTCGCAAATCTACTTACCACGGAAAACAAGACCCGCATGGCTTCGAGCTGCAGCTTTTTCCTCTGGTCGGGGCTCCACTGCGACTGGAAGTGGTCGAGGCAGACCACGTCTAAAAACCTCAAAAGCAAATTGGGGAACAGGAACTTTTCTATCAGCTCTGCGCACCGTTCCGTCGCGGCCGTTTTCGCGATGGCCCGCCAGATCAGAATCCGAAACTCCATGTCTTCGGCACTGGTGGTCAAGGCTATCGGAGCTTTCCTCGTGTCGTCCTTCAGCTTCCGGGGGAGAAAGATCGTCGTGGGCACGTCCTTGATGGACTCTAACTCTTCCTCGAAGATTTTACTCGTTTCCAGCATCTCTCGAATGGGCCCCTCGGCTGCGTGTTTTAGCAGTAAGCACACCAAGCCGGATCGCGCCGCGCTGTCGTGGTTCTCCGTCCGGCCGAGGATGAAGATCAACAACGCAAGCATGTCGTTCCGGAAGATTTTGTCCTTGTACCGGTAGCCCTCGTGGAGCACCGTGGTGAGAAACACAACGAACGACTCCATCACGTCCATAGCGCCCAGTGCGGCCGAGGCGTTATCAAATGCAAAAATGTCTGGGTCTGGAAACTTGTGATGCAGGGTGGCGTATTATGACGGGGCCACAAGTGCTGGCTCAGCATGACAAGTTTCTGAGCTTCTAGGTGTTGCCTATTCTGCATGACGAGCTGCGTTTCTGCATGACAGAAAAATGGCGCTCTTGGGTAACGTGCATGACAGATTTGAGAGTCATGCCAGACACGCATGACAAACATGGACTCTTCCAGACCCAGACATTTTTACATTTGATAGGCGTGCTCCCGGTCCAGTTCCAGCACGTTCCAAAGGATTTCTGCGGAAATCAAGAGGACATCCGAGCCCAGGAGGTTATTGCGAATGACCTGATATTTTTTCAGCGACAAAATTGTGGTGATCACCTGTAGTGGTAGAAGCGCAAGAGTTGTTTCTTGTTCGCGGTACTAACAAACTTTCTTCTGAGCCTCTTGCTCAACGTTCCGTAAACAAGGTGCAAGACATTTATACATAGTACCGCGATCAGATTGCTGAGTAGCCCGCAGTTGGTGATTTGCACGGCAAGTGGCTGAAACAAACTCATGTCTTTTAGCGCACCCAGCATGATCACTAGCGCCTCCGAGCTGTATATGAGAGTGCACAACGATCCCTCTACCTCCTCAACACTCATATAGCATGACCAGCAATACAAACACCAGGCAGAACACACGTATGCTGTGTATGACAGGTTTATGCACCGATTGTAGTGCTGTGTGGGCTTCCAGAATTTGTCACCGTCACGCAAACAGTGATACAAGGCAGCAGTGCAGCTGGATTTGGTTTTTTGCATGACAAACCAACGACAGGGACGGGGGGGAGTTGTGCAGTCGCATACTGTACTCGATCCGGAAGACCCGTGCGATCTCGGCGATGACGTTGGTTTGGTGGAGAAGTCGCAGACTCGGGGTCCCTGTGTACGCTACATTCTGAATCACACTGTCGTCGGGCCCTTCCTGTACCCATTCGTCGTCCAGCCCGTATCGTGCGATAGACGCGATCATGTACGTGATCTGATTTATTTTTGGCGTTGACCGTGCAAGAAATCTCCACTGGAGCGCGCAGTGCTGGCGAAGAAAAAACTCGCCCCCGATACAAAACAAATTGTTGAATACAGGTGCAGCCAAGAAAATTATCTTTTCAGTACCTCTATTCTAATCATGTCTCTCTGCGCATCCTTTTCCGGTTGCGCGTCTTGCAGTATACTAATCACCGCGTTGGCAAAGGATGGCAAATGTTTCCCAAATTGCAGCAGGTCTTCTGTTGCGCAGCTACTAAAGGGTTGTCCGCCAATCTGGGCGATCGCGCAAATGGGTTCGGCCCACTCCAGTTGCCCGGCCTTCCATCTGGCGCCGGCTATTTCGACAAGCTCAACCAGGAACGGCAGATGTTTTAGGAGAAAACCGTTCTGGCACTGCCGACATATTTTCATAACCTGGAGTTGTGTTTTCGGTCGCGAATCTTGATGATGACATGATACGCACGAAGATGATAACTTCAGCTCTACGTGTTCCATTCATTTTCGACGTCCTGATTCTGTCCCTCCGGTGATTGCTTCAAAAACCAGAAGGAAAAGATGAAAATGAGAAATTTGCAAAATGATAAATTTTCACCGAACAATAGACATCGTCGATCTCGTCCTAACTTACCGCTTTTATGTGCCGATCTACCACCGTTGCTGTGTGTTTGGAGGTCAGGAGCTCCATGACAGCCGGAAAGTCGATGTCTTCGGGTAGCTCGCGGACGGCATCTTGGATTTCCCGGAAATCCATGGGGGGCTGCGTGGTCGCAGCCGCAGCGTCCGCCGGCATCTTCGTTCCCTATGTATCCTCAGTGGGAAACGGAAATCCGAACTTCTCTATCCCGTGGAAGGCGAGACGAAATCAGTCCGCTCGTCGTAGTACAAAAGCTGCAGGTCGTCCACAGGCGCCGCCTATGTTGACAGCCGCCCTCGACTGAGGGCGGCTTCAATGAACGTCGACCAACCCCGGCTTTCCGGATCCAGACCCCTCATACTAAACTTCCATACGAGTAGCGAAATTGTAAACTAGTATTTTCACCCAATGCAAGAATCGCAGTTGAAGTCGAATATGCATATTGACAACAAAACACAACACGACACCAGACACCAGACGTGGTACAGACGCAATACGACACACAGACGCAGACAGGTCACTCGGTGGCAAAAGTCGACTGCAAGACCTTATCAACTACAGTGCTTGCTTCTTTATCTTTGCTCTCAAACCCGAAAGCTCTTCGCAGCTTTCCTTTTGCTCTCGAAAGAGACAATTTGGAATTCGAATTCGCACAGAAAAAATGCACTCAAGTCATACGTAGTACTTATTTGCTGTGACTTCTCCTCTCCTCAGTGGCCGAGATCCCGGACGAACAGCACGAGGATATTAGCGCGTCTGCGATTAGGCTCGCAAGAGCGGAGCTCGTCCGACAACTTCTATTTTTGAGTCAGGAAAAGGTAGAAACTAAAGGAAGCGCGGGGTAGCTAAGAGTAAGATTCACTTTCGTGTCTTACTGTTGTTCTTTGGGGATATTAACAGCATCAGAATTTCATCCCACATCAATGGGAACACGATCGTGATAGCAACTTCTCAAACACATGTGGTCAAACTTTTTCGAAAGTCGATGCTGTCTTAATGAGCAGAGAGTTATCTACAACAATTTCAGAAGACCATTTACAGGGTAAAACTGGTTTTCTGCACCGACCCTGGCACGGGCGGTTTCGCTGGGCTCGGGGCGCCCACGGTCTTGATTCCCGTGGATTTTTCTTCTTCTGCTTTCCGTTCTTGTTTCCTCTTGCGTCTGCTTTCCAACGCGTCCGCCATCTCCGACATCCCGCTCTTCCGGTGCACTTCCGGGTGGTAGCTCCCGCCCGAACCGTGCTCGTGGCTGTGGTCTATGCGGAAAAACAAGTGCTCTACCGAGTCCTCCCGGTGCAGGGCGACTTCCGGCTCCGACTCCACCTTGTCGTTATTCTCGCAGCCCAGCGCAGCGTCCAGGGCTAACGTTTGGTCTATGGCCTTCTCAACCTCCTCGCTCGCCGGCAACGCGGCCACCACCTGCTGCGCCGCACTCCCGATGGTTACCAGTGCGGCGTCTGCCTTTCCCAGCAGCGTTGGCAGCACCTCGGCCGCCTTTTCGACCGCAGGGCCGATGTTGTTGGCCGCCTTCTCCATCGTCGGCCCAATGTCGGTTAGAACAGGGCCAAGGTTCGATATCGTGCTGGATCCGATCTCGGTCAGCTGCGTCCCCGAAGTCACGGCCAGGTCGGCGACAAACGTTCCAAACTCGGATAGCCGCTGCAGCTGGTTGCTCGTTTGGTTCGTTTCGCCGGAGGACGCAAATTGGTAGGCCGGAATGTTCGCGCGCCCCCGCTCTACACCGGGAATCTGCAGTTGCACAGGTGGAATGTTCCGCAAAAGCGGGGCGTTGTTGCCTTTGATTTTCCTATTCAGCGCACTGGTTGTTGTACCAGCACCCGCCGTTTTTTTAGAAGACGCGACACTGCTAGTGTTTATTCTACTTGGCTGCTGCTCGCTCTCTGATAATTCTACCTCGTCCAGCAAATTCATGTCGCTTGGCTTTTGCGGTGCAGGCGGGAATGCAGTACGAGGCAGCGGCACGGAAGCCGCGCCACCGCGCGGCGTCGGTACAAGGGGCGTGTCTTTGAACGCTGGCGGTGGATGTTGCACCTTCAATTTCGGCACGGTGACGCGGATGCGTTTGTCAAGTGCCAACATCGGGCCAGCCCCTTCGCGGAACCGCAGCAGCGGTGTGGCGCTCGCGGCCCGCTGGCCCGCATTTTCGCTCTCCGCGTGACTGACATCTCCGTGCAGGGATTCGGAAACGGCGACGTCCGACGAGACTTCGTAGTAGGCGGTATCCGGAATCATCCCTGCCTCCCGCGCGGGACCCGACGCGTTGAAGGCGAAGAAGGGGTACTTTTGGGAGCTAATACCCAGCGCCGAGTCCGTGTCGACTGCCTTACCATCCGTTGCCCCACGGGAACGCCGCATACCATTGGACGAGGAACGGATGGAGAAACGGGAAAGAACCTGGAGATGTTGAATTGCGATAGTAAGACAACTAGGAAATGCACGTTGAATAAATCGTCGGAATCTGAATGTGCATGTTTATACTTACCCAATACATAATGCAGAAAACAAGAATTCGAATGACCCAAAAACTAAAAACAGTCTGTCCAACCTACTGGCAAAAACGAAAACTACGCCACTCACTACCTTATCCGAAGCCTGGAAATTCTCCGACCGCTTCGCCTGATGCACCACTTCGAACAGCAATTGGTTTTTCATTTCCGTCGCGCGGTTCTGGAGCTGCTCGAGCTGTTGCTCCGGGTGTGGCACTTTTCTTCGGAAAATGCTTTCCACGTCCTTGTGCAGCTGCTGCCCGACAGCGGCGAATTCCCGCGGACCGCGCAGCTGCCGCTTCACCTCTTCGGGCGAGTTGGGCGAATTTGACCGCGTCTGCGCCGGACTGAAGGTGGAAAACAGGCCTCCGCTGAACATCTGGCGGAAGAAGAGTGGTCGTTCCTGCTTCTTGCTCATCGCACTGTTCGTGATGAGTTCGTGGTGCTGAACTTCGTTGTCCCCGTTGTTGTTCAAGAACGAGGATCGGGGGGTGCGCAACGTCGGTGCCTGGTAGTTCAAAACTCGGGGCGTGAAAAGTTGCTGTTGTAGTTCCGACTGGTCTGTGAACTTGTTTACGTTGTATTTCAGCAGGCCAGCCGGGAAGTCCCGCGGGTCGCCTGCGAATTGGTTGCTTGGACTGCCGCTCCGCGAGCCATTATTCGCAGGCAGCTGCTGAGTCTGCGTTGCCGTGTTAATAGCGCTAACAAAGTTCGGCGTTTGTGTCGCGTTTGTCTGTGTTCTCTGCGTCGGGAAGACCGGCTGGTAGCCGGTGTAAGAACCGCGGTTCATTTGCTGGTCCCACGAGCGCGGCTCTCGGCTCGGCACGCGCTCGTTGTACTGCTGCTCGCGGTAGATCAGCTCCCCCGCGAGCAGTCGCGGGTCCTTCACCTCTCCCGACAAGCGCCGACCAGGGTACTCCTGAGCGGCGGCGAAAACGGGTGCAAAGCGGGCGTCTACCGCGGTTGATGTCCTATTTCTACTTCCGCGAGGGTGGAGGTCCTTCGCTGCCTCCCAAGAGGGGGGTACGGCCGTTCCAAACTCGCTGTGTCTGGACGCGGATACCCCGGCGTCGGCGCCAAAGACCTGTCGGTAGGCCTGATCCAAATCCAACGCCGAACCCGGGTTGTGGGCGACGACCGGCGGGTCCGGCATTCGGTCTATGGTGCGTGGCGACGAACCGCCGGAGGTGGATAACCTGGGACTATTCGCTATCGACTCGGGGAGCTCAACGTACGGGGCTTTGTGCCCGAGCAAAAACGCGTCGATGATTGCCGCACTGCTGTCGCGCACCACCTTCTTCGGCTGCAGCTGCAAGTCTGTGAACGCATGCATCGGGCGGAGGGTGGTCAGTGCCGTGGGCTGGTGCTCCGCGGTCTCCCAGGCAACGGACTTGCGCTTGCTCGTCGTACCCGTAGAGGTAGTCGTTGCAGCCACCGAATTCTCGAGCCCACTCTGGACAACATCAACTGGGCGCTGCTGTTGCAGAATGGGGCCACTCGGGGCAAAGGTAACGTCCATTCCCGACGCAGTTGTGAACGCAGGAAGCGGCAATTCACTTCTAGAGGGTTGTTGAACCGGTTGTGCAGCAGCAGCACGGGCCGTTCCTGCTGTCGCGCTGTCCTCTGGACTATACTTGTCCATATCTGTGAAGACAAAAACCGGGATGTCCAGCGCCGGATGGTCCGGCGTGGTAAAGTGCGGGACCACCTTCTCTGCCTTTTTGTGCACCAAATCCGTGTAGAGTGCTGAGGTCGGATGCTTCTCCCCTGGTCTGAGATTTCCTATTGGTAGAGGCGCCGGCGTCTTATTTTCATTGTACCTATTTGCCGACGGTTTCGGGACCGGAGGCTGCACGAAAGGTTTCTTTTTCTTACTGCTTTTCTCTGTAGTACTGGTAGTAGGTTCTTCGCCGCCGGAAGAACCAGTTAGCAACCCTCGATCGAGATCAAATAGGTTTTCTTCAGTAACTTCTCCAACCCCGGTGCCAAAGAGCCGACTGCTGTCTCTCTTCGTGGTGGAACCTGCTTCTACCTCAGCCGAGCTAGTGCTCAACATCGTTCTCGCGCTGATATTTGTTTTCGATCCTTTCGGCACGGGAATAGGAACTGGAAATGATTCAGGCTCCGGGCCACCCAACTCGTATGTGCCCTGCTCCGGAGGTGTCGCTACTTCTTCCCGATGGCTCATTTCGCACTTTTCGCAGCGGTGGCCGTCGTTGCCGTCGTGGTAGCAGGGGCCCTCAATTACTTTCCCGCAAGTGACGCACAGGAAGCACTGGGGGTGGAAATGGGCCTCGACATTCGGATCGCTGTCCAGCGGCGAGATGATCATAGCGCCCGTGATGTACTCCCCGCACCGGTCACAGTGGGGCAGTGAGCAGGCCGCGCAGTGCAGTCGCCCGTCGGGTGTGGCCACGTGGTGTGCACTGGTGATGATCTGACCGCAGTCGACGCAGCGGAAGCAGTTGCGGTGGAAGTGGTGCCCGTCCTCGTGGATCAGAAAATCGCTCTCCGGCGTCAACACCTCTTGGCAGCGGAAGCAACGAATTTGCCCTCCCTGCGCCATTACCGCACGCATCAAAGCCGTTTTGTCCGGCGGGGTCGGAGAGGTGGACTTGCTCATGCAGTCAGCGATTTGCTGTCTATCAAAGGAAAAATGGGGGGAAAGTGATTCTCTATCTCGTCTTCACATGTCTAGTGTTATATCGTCTAGTGTGGTCCTCCTGGGCTGGTGACCTCGTGGCTTTTTCAACACTAAGTTCAAACAAAACTTCATAGCTGTAGCAGGGGGAATGTTGTACGTGTTGATACTAGTCGCGGCCATGTATGTATTAGTTGTCAACCTGTCTCCTTAAATCAAATGAAAGCGATGGCTGGGGTCGACGAAAACAAGACACTGATAACGAAAGATCCAATTTCTAACAAACTACACACGAACAAACACAAGAAGTAGCAAACGAATTTGAACGACGCACGACTGAACCCAAAACTTCATTTTCATTGTGCACGAATTGGATATGACGAAACTTCATTTTCGTTTTGCACGAGTTCGAGTTGAAGACGAAACTGAGCTTGAATGCTGACGATTCACGAAAACCAAAAGCAAAATGAACGACATACGAAAATGAAAGTACCAGGATGGGCACAAAAACACAGAAGAAGCACTGCTTGGTCCTGTCATTCATTCCCATGGAGTTCTTCTTCTTTATCTTTCAGTCACAGAAAAATATTTGCCGCAGAAGCTTTTGCAGCCTCAAGCCATGTGGAAATCGATTGGGATTCGTCGTTGCATCCTCGTGCCTCTGTCTCGTTCAGATCACTTGGGGAGCACCCGCTTTTCCATGTCTTCGAGCAATGTTCGCGCCGTCAATAGGTTACTTGCGTTATTCTTCTGCGTCAATGCTAATCCAGCCGCCCGCAACTCTCTCGCGGTAGCTTCTTCGCAGAGCCGCTGCAGGATGTACAGAGACGGCTGGTCGGGCTTCTTGCGCAGCAAGTCTTGAAGCAGCTCCGAAAAAACGACGCCGTGCGTTTGCAAAAACGCCACGGTCTCTTCAGGAGAAGGAGAGCTCATTTTATTCCAGTTAGCTACGTGGTACTACCTCGCTTTCGCGATCTGTAAGAGGAAGAGGATGAGGAGCAATCGTCAAAAATAGCAATTCGGCGAATATAAACCCTGCCTTGTTTACATCGGTGATTCAAATAAGTAAATCATACACATACGCTCAACCTCTGCGACATCTATTTTTTCAGTAGTCAATGTTGCTTTTTTTTTTGCTTCTGTGGCGTTTCTTCTCCCTATTTTTACTCCCAGAACAGGACCATCGCAGCAGCGTCATCGGGCAAATATTTCCTCTCAAAGGATCGCCACCTTCTTGGTCCTGTTGACAGTCATTACTTTAGTTTTCTGGTTTCTATTAGCGATCTTAATCTACTTCTTTCTTCTACAACTTACTTCAAGCTGCTGCGCGAAACGCGATATGCCTGTCACCAATCTTTTTGCCCGAAAGTGCCCGCCGACAGAGAAATGCTGCTTTCCCAGAGTTCCACGTGGCGCGCATGACCCCTGGACGCAATATTGTCACTGCAGCAAGGTCGGCACCACCACTTTGCAGGAACTTCTTCACCATATCGACCGAAGAGTCTGGGGGAACGTTCGCCACTACCAGAGCCGAGGCTGTAAGTGGAGACAAAAGGAATAGAAGAAGATGTTCTTTGTGTAGCCAAACTAAGTTTGCCTGTACTCGCTTACCCTCACTGCTTCAAGTTCATCAGACTCAAATCTTCAAGGAACAACATGTCGGTATCTTTTACATTTACCTGCATAGAGTTTGTCGGTGTCATTTCCGTCGTTAGCTTCCAGAGCACCAGCCGTGTCTGAAAAACCCAAATCCAGCCGCGGATAAAGTTGGCACAACCCGCAATCCAAAATTGCATCTTCGAACCGCACCGTGCTTGCCGTTTTTCCTCCGTACAGACGCTTGCAACTCAGCGCCCGTTGGCACAGAAACCGATCGGTTGCACTCCTAAAGGTGACTTGGAAAGAGGCCACTGCTCCTCGTAGGCCGTCATCTTGCATCGGCTTTATTCCCACAGCATCACGCTGCTCCTGCGCAGCAAGACCAGTGAACAGAAAAGTGAGCAAAGTGCTCTGGAGCTTTTCGGGGGAAAGCCCCTCGGGTTTTGGTTCGAGGTACACGCGACAGCTGCTCGTTTTTGTCAGCAGCGTTACTGAACGCCGACGAGGACCAGCATGACTCTGCGCTGATGCTGGTTCTGCGACCACAGGCGCGGCGGCTGCGCTCGCGGTAGAGCCTCCTCCTGGAAAGAGGGTAAATTGAGTACAACGTAAGCATGGAGACTTTCTGCATGCATCTTGCAGCCAATATTTTGGCCCAACAAAAGCAAAACGTAGTTGTACCTGCACCTGCAGTCGTGGAACTGCTCGATTGCGCTTTTTGCTTCGATGCGACCGGTAAGGGAATCTTGTATTCCCCACGAAGTATGCCAAGGTCTTTCAAATACGAAAGGGCAAGCCGGGGAAGATCAGGATCGGCCATCCCGTTTACGAATTCTAGTTGTCACAAGGTGTGGAAGACACGAAAATATTTCCAGACTAGGTTAGGAGAAACTACGTACTGATCCCAAGATCTTCGACGAGAAGGGGAATTGATGTTCACCTAAGACAACAATTGTGATCTTGCAGAGAACACGGATACCGCACGTACTGATAGATCATGAAAAACCGACTGAGTCGAAGAAAAAGCCGCGTCCGCGGACACAGCTACGGAAGTGCACTAGAAACAGAACACTTCTAGAACGGACGATGAAAAAGAAAGTGGATTTTTATGCTGTATGGCAGGTACAGAAATTCGCGGCTTCAAAATTTGGTTCATAGAAACTCGGTGGAGTGCATGCTCGGACACAAGAACGCTTGAAACATCTTCAAAAAGCGGGCACGATTCTCGCCCCGGGGGGAGGAGGACCGATAAATGGTCCGAGCAGCCGCGCATTTGAAGTTTTCTGGCTCTGTAGTCGCGTCAGAAATTCGTGCTCCTGAAGGTCCGCAGGCGAGGCCGCTTTTTGGGCGCCCTGCGACCCGAATGCGCCGGCTGCACCAGAGTTGTTGCTATAATTGCCCTCAGCCGCATGATTGCGGACATTTTCCTTGTTCATCTGAGATGAAGCTGCTGCGTCAAACACGTTTTCGTCGTTGAACCTGCCGCTCCATCGCGGCCCGCTGCTGGCCTGCGTGCTTGTAGTCGTCGGCGGCGTCGGATTGCGCGAATTGCCTGCTTGGTCCGCCCAGTCGTCGCAATACGGATCATAATTTTGGTCGTTGTATTTGTGCCCTCTAGTACTTCTGGGATCTCCAAATAATTCTTCTCCGTCGCGATTGTCCCCACGACGCCGGCGCCTACTACTACCGCCGCGGTGATTTCCGCCGCCTCTTCGGCCCGAGCCGTATCTTCTCCGCCCGCGCCGGCGGGACGACGACGACCTCCTGGTCGGAGAACCCAAAGATGAAGAAGACCTGGAGCGGCTGCTGGCACGCTCCTGTTCCCGACGCTTTTTCGTCTTCGAACGGCTTTTGCTGCGAGCAGGACCGGGCGCATGCATGCTGCTGGGATCCACCTCCTGGAAAAGCCTCCCATCTGGAGCAAAGAACGTCACGGGACCCTCGTCCTCGTGCTGTTCCGGGGCCGGTTGGTAATACTCGTACGATTGCGTCCGCGTTACCGGGCGCATTGCGCCGGGTGCTGGGTTGTACGGATGCGGCTGGTGCTGGACGTGCGTCGTCGTGTAAAAGTGCGGCGCCGGCGGCGCGTGGTGAAAAATTTCCTGGCTGTAGTTGTGCTGTCTGCTCGATGGCGGCGGGTGAGGATGAGCAGCACTCGTCGGCTGTTGCGGCGGCACAGGCGGATAGGACGCGTGTTGAGTTGTTCTTCCGTTGTCTGGAACAATAGCTCGCTCTGGGGGCGGTGGCGGGGTGTAGTATACGACTTCTCGGGTGGAGTGCTCCACCGGGAGCTGGTGCTGGCCATAGTGGTATGATTCCGAAGGAGGCGGCGGCGCCGCGCGAACCGGATACGATGGTAGCTGCTCACCCGTCCTCGCAGTATCGAAATGATTGTAGTGCGCGAAGTCGGGCGGTGCATGCCGCGGCGGATTCCCAGGAGCGCCGTAGGAACTCGTTGGTGGTGCCTCTCCCTGAAAGGGGAAGGCTTCCGACTGATCGTGCACAACTGTGTGCGGAAGCGGATTCGTCGGATAGTAGAATCGGGTCTGCTCATCTGTATCTTTGCTACTGCGTCTCGTTCCAGGGAACATCAAGTGTTCGTCAGGTCGTAGTAGGTCTCCCCGATTATTATAGGCTGCTCCATCATCTTCATGGTGTGCATGCAATCCGGTTTCTGGGGCATAGGCGTATGTGGTGGGCGGTGCAGACGACCTCGACGGAGGCGGGTACGAGGCCGTTGTATGCTCGGTCCCCAGAACCCCGGGTCCGGGCTGGGGCTGCGCCACAGCCACTTCTGGACGCGCATAGAAGTTGTACTCCTGCGCAGGTCCTCGCGGGCGGCCGCTGGGGAACGACGACGGCGGGTAAGTCCGTACGACGGGCTGATGATCGACTGCTCGCGGGCGGGGCGTGGTGTCGAGAAGCACTTCCCGTGTCGTGGTGCTGGTGTACTCTGGTGGAACCGCTGCAGCTGGGCGACTTTTTTCCGGGTAGAAGTCGGTGCCGCGCTCGTGCCGAGACGGAAGCTGCGGGGCGCCGTAAGAAGTAGTCGTTGTGCTAGAACTGAACTCCACCGGCGTTGCCCTGGGTGGACCACGGGAAGGAGCCGTGCGGGCAGTGGATACTACAGGCTCTCGGCTGGGCGGGAGAAAGACGGCTCGCTCTGCAGTGCCAGTCCCAACACTTGTCCGCGGTGATGCGATATTAGCACCACGCGGCGGCTGTCCGTTCGCAGTCAAACTCGTGAAATGTTCTTCCCTCCTCACGAGAACCGGTGGAGGTTCAACACCGGTCCGAGCATTGCTTTTCGGGAGCACCCGTGTCACCTCTTCAGTCACTGCTCTCTGCGGTTCCGCAGTCGTGATGGTTTCACAACCTTGCTGCCGGACCACCTGCTGTGTGGCGCGTGGAACCGTGCGCACTTCCACTAGTTCCACTGATCCCCGTCTAGAGGACAGAGGAGGAGCAAATTCGTGCTGGACGACTTGCTCGTCGTGCCGCGCGAAAGAACTTGACGGCATTTCACTTCGGTCGCGAGGACCGCACGGCGCCCCATTGAAATCTCTATTAATATCGTTAGGCCGGGGCTGGTGCAACGGTATCTGTGCCGGCGGGCCGTCTACAGTGCGATAGTTGTACACGCGGGCTGTTGATGCGGATGAGAGCGGCGGCGCGAAGGTAGGCGCGCTGTCGAAGCCACGGTCCGGAGCCCCGGGATTTGACGAGGTGAACGTCTGTTTCTGTTCCTCCAGCACGTACCTTGGATAGGACCCACTAGCTTCATCTCCTGCATCAGGGATGTTGTTGTTGACAGGCCTCGTCGGCCTCCCTGGCTCGTGCGAAGTGGGGTTCTGATGTTCTACTGTCGTTGTGGTGAACGTCGTAGAGGACACGGGGGCAGCAGCGGGTTGTTCCGCCTCTCTAATAGGAACAACTCCGTCCTCCGCTTTTTGCTCAATCAAATCCTCATCGTACAGAACCACGTTGCTCTCCGGCGGAGCCACAACCGCGTAGTAGGCCGTGCTGACCGGGCGCCGCTCCGCCCTGGTGGTCGTCGTTGAAGTGGCACTTTTTCCCGTCGATGGGAAAATAAATCCGGGACCCGCTCTCGAGGAGGACGAGCTGCTCGAGGACATTGGAAATAAATTCTGATCCAGCGGCGTTCTGCTGCGCGTGGTGGTCGTTGTCACCTCCGTGGTCGCGCTCGGATACTGCAGCTCCGCGGAGGACGGCGCTCCAACTAGCGCACGGTGGCAATCGGCGCACGTCGGGGCCTTCGTGGCTGCGTCCAAAAAGTACTGACTCCCGCCGTCGATGATCTTCCGGCAGCGCTCGCAGTGCGGGTTGGCACAGCTGCGACAGAGGAACCCGTCGGGGCCCGCTTTGTATTTGTGCTGGATCCCGTGTCCGCACTTGATGCACCGCAGGCACTGCGTGTGAAAGTGCAGCTCCTCGTTGTCTGGCGTTTTCGCGATGCACACCGTGCCAAGAATCAGATTTTTGCACTGGTGGCACTGGGGAAGCGCGCACTCGAGGCACTGCGGGCCCTCAGGCGTTGGCTTGTACTCCACTCCGTCAACCTGATACATATCGATATGCATATGCTCGACGTGAGACGAGATGAAGCAGGTGGCATTAACTTTGTTTACAAGAAGAACTTGTCCAGTAGAAAGAGAAATATTACGTTCAAACTACGCATTCATTTCCAAGAGCGCTAGTCAACAGTTGTGCTAAGCTTTTTGGATTTGGACTACCTGCTTCCCGCAAGCAATGCAGAGAAAGCACTCCTGGTGGTAGCGATCCCCGGAGAGGCTTTCGATTATGAAGGGCACCCCGGTGGCAATGGCAAGCCCGCATTTTCGACATCCACTCCCAACGTACTGCGTTTCAGAAACGGGTCCTGCCCTACAATGGTTGCAAGTTTTGTTCTTGATCTTGGGTGAAGAAGAAGACAGACAAGCACGAGGCACGAGCATTTTTTCATTTCCCGAACAAGCTCGGATACAAAGAAAGCAGATCCAAATGCAAGGATGAAGGATCGCAATCGCATTCCCCGAAAAATAAAAGTAGTCACAGAAAGCCAGATGGATACGGGAACCGCATACTTACTTACCTGGAAGAGTGTTGCTGTGGCGCCAGCATCGCGGCGAGCGAGTGACGCGACTTGCTACCGCTTCTACTCCGGACTGGATCTGGGGGAAGCTGTGTCGCACTCTCTACAATCACACCGCTCGCGGTGCGTTCCTCTCGCGGTAGGCCCGGAGGCTCACCGGTGGACGAGCTCGAGCACGAGGAAATGCGCTCCGCTATACTCATCTCGGGCGATGAAGGCCCCGCGGACTTGGCAACGACCATCAAGATACTTTGACTTTCTTACTCACTTAATACACATGCTGGCGACATAATATTTCATTAGACAGGCGTCGAGAATTATATGCACAAAACGTCAAAAAGCAACTGGCTCCACCCGTTGTTTTTCTTACATTACTTCGCTACAGGCCTGGTTCCTGGGTAAGAAGATCATGATTAAATCAGTGTGCGAGCAATGGTGAAAAAATGGTTATGATGTGGTATAAACGTTGCAAACAAAAATCGTGTCCTTAGGTTCATCAGCAATCCTCCTGGTTACTTTCGACGCTTCACGATGACCACCACGAATATCGCTTTCGCATTCCATGAGACTCCATAAGTTCCTTGAAACGCAGGCGCCAAAGGCAAAGTTCAGGCTCCATTAAAAATTTGCATAAAGTCATCGAAAGGACGACGCGCGCGGCTGCGTCCATCGAGAGGCTGAACAGATACCCTGTCCCTGCTTGGAACTCTCCGCATGGTAAAAATGCTTGTTCGGTCGTGCAAATTCTTCGGTGGGCGAAAGCTTTTCGTGAGGGATGAAACATTTCTCCTGTCTTTGCCTACAACGTCATTCCTTCGTAGCGAAAAAAGTCAGGGATGATGTTGTCATGTCATTATTCATTCTTTCCCTATCACATGGTCAGATACGGATTTCATTTAAGTATCGAACTATGTGGTGAAGAAAAATCCTTTTCTGAAGGTTGTGGAAGTTGCGTAGTACACAAAAATACATTTCGTAGTTCGAAATTCTTTCTTTGAACCATGATACCATGTCGCTAATATGTGATAGGCAATTCATACCAACCAACGTGCCACCCAATGTTGCTGGGAATTTTTGTTCGCAAAATGTTTACCTTCGCGCTTTCAAAATAAACCGTTTTCGTCGCACAAGTGACCCAAATAAAACTGAGAAAAACCGAGCGTCTGTTCTTCGTAAGTAGGTAACAGAGAGACAGACAGAAATAAACCATGAAAAGGTGATGTCATAATCAATCTAGCGTAAAAATCAATCTGTAGTCAAATAGTAGCCGACGTGGTTTAAAGAAGCCACTTGCAAGTGGCCGTGCCGCTTTCATTCCTATATCTTTATCATTGAGGAGAAAATCGCAACTCCCGTTCAATCCTCCATCGGCGGGAGCTGCGGTCCAATGACGTTTGTTGGGGTGTCCATGTTCTCGACCTCCATTTGCTGTTCGTTCGAGCTGGTCTTTTCTTCTTCACCGTCGTTATGCTTGATACTCCGGATATTTTCTCCGAAGTCGCGGCGCAACATATTTTTGTAGTGTGTCGCCGGGTCCCCGTACGAGGGATTGCCATTTTTCAGGGCAAGAGTAACCGAAAAGTTCTGGTGCCCGGTTTGGATGATATCGGAAAGCAAGGCGACCTGATCTTGCGCACCGCTCAGTCTTTCCTTGATTCTGTCGTATATCACCACGCACCACTGATCCCATCCATCCTGGCCGCCCGTGGTAAACCGGCGCACTCGCTCCTGTTCCGTCTTTTCAAAGATGCGGTGAGCCATATCATCCTTCCACGCCTGCGTCACAATGCCGAACTTGTCCACGTCCAAAATCCAGTGCATGGTGAAAAAATCTGCACTGCTCCATTCGTAATGAAACGCGGACAGAACGCGGTCCTAAAACGTTTTTTCATTTCGATTACGATTCCTACGGTCAGCATAACAAAACTCAACGCGGTTTCTGTACCACCCGAATTACTTACTTAATTCATTTTCGGCGCTGAGGATGGCATTCCAAGTCATTCGTTTATTTCGCCTTATACTCTACTTGTGAGTTCCCGAAAAACAAAGCAAAATCTAGTTGGCAATACATGTTCGCAGCGGTGCGCCCTTTGCTTATCGAACCGTGCCCTGCTCGCATTGTACTCCTGGAAGGGTGGTGGCATTTTCTCGATTTTTCCACACAAGTCCTCCACCTCGTCCACCTTCACTTTCTTTTCCCATTTGATCACTTTGTCGGCCTCCGTGCAAAAATGGTTCGCCTGTGACACACAGTCATAAATGTTTTACCTCAAAAAGGCTTTTGATTTTCAAAGTTCGCACGATTTGACTGTTTGCAATTGCATTTGCAGCAGTTTGCAATTATTGCAGCAGTCTTTTCTTACTACAAGAACTGTGCGCAAAAATGGTGATAGTCCCATTGGTTCAGAGCACAAAAATTCAGCTTACGATCGAATCACGACGAGGGACGACCATCAACATCGGTCTCTATCATGAATTTGTATTAATACCGTTCGCTTGAAGAGCACTTTCAGGAAGGTTTGCCTTGTTTTCTGCCAACCTTCGCTGTCCTGCTTTCCCTCGACCCACATGACCAGGGTAGCTACGTCGATAAAATCCTTGAGCCGCAACATAGGTGCGTCTTCCAACGCGAGCAGCAACCCTGCCTCCAGTTGTGTTTGTTCGACCGAGGGAGGTCCCCCGCTACCAGCGGCGCTGTCTTTGGATGCGCCGGCGCTACTAGCCGCTTTACTTACCGGAGAGGCCTTGGCGCTCACCGCTGCGGGCTCACCTGCGGGGAGACTTTTGCAGAGCTTCTCGACCAGCTCCCTCGTCTGCTTCATCAGGCTCTTGTACACCTTTTCTCGCTGCTCGTCGTCCTGTCGGTTATTACCACCTCTGTTGTAGCTGTTTTGCTTGTGCCTTTGCGCCTCTTTGTGCTCCGCGACCAAGTTTAACACTAGCCGGGCGTAGTCGGGAAGCAAAATCTGCAGGTACTTTCTCCTCCTTGCCTTGGCCGCTGCGGTGGCCGCAGCAGCCTCCTTGGTCTGGCTCGTCGCCGTGCTTCCCTCGTCGCACGAAATAAACTCGCTGCCCGCAGCGGTCATCTCGACATCTTCGCTCACCAGTCCGCTGGTCGCGGCCCCCGGAAAAAGCTGCGCGTTATTGGTACTTGTCGGTGTGCCGAGCGACACCGGAGACGAAGCTCTGCAGTGGTTTTTTTGGTCCATAAGAAATGAAAGGTTCATCACTTCTTACCTTCTTCGCTGCGAAAAGCGAGGAGGGGAGCAAAAATGATCGTGCTCTTGTCGCAGTTTTAGCGTACTGCTTGTTCAAGTTCTTTTTTCATTGTCTCCATCGCCCAACCAGGAAGTTTATTGAGATTCAACCGTGATTCGGGTTAAAGTCGATTGGTATCTATTGTATAGGTCCATTTCCGTATTTGAACTAGATGTACATCACAGCCGTGATATTATTACAGAAAGCTCCTGCTCTACAAGAACACCAACTCATTTTAGTACGCATTCGTCGCTGCAGTTGATGAAGCGGGAAAGATTCCGGAATTGAGATACAAGCAGTGAAGGATTGCAGTCGCCAATTCGTACACTTGTATTGGTGTCGATGTCAGCCCTTGGTCCCAGAAGTCGACACGATGACCTGCTTCGGTTCCTGTGGAAATGAGTAGATGAATAAAAGCATCTCTTCATAATTCTTGGCTCTGAACAACATCAAGATCAGGAGTGCGGAGCAACGTGAGCTTCGAACCAAAAACAAACGCAAAGGGATAGACAAAGCTGATCGCAATCTACGCATACGAGGGGGGAAAAAGAAAATGGCACGCAATCACAGTCATGATCAACGAGGACGTGCCGAAATGCATACCGAGTTTGAAGTATTCCCGCAGCTTTTTCTTCCTCCACTCAGGGGTGCACATGTGCCAGGGCTCTTCCGTGCACACGGGTTTTCCCTTCTTAGTCCTTCCCAGGTACTTATAGCGGTCCTGCACAGCGATGTCCGCGTCCTTGGGCGCATTGATGAGGATCTGAAGCACTCGGCGGCCAAAGCTGCATGAACATGATGGAAAATTATTGTACGGGCTTGCGCTGGCTGGGCACCCACCAGATAAAACAAAAATAAACGCAAACTGGAAACTGGTGGTCATGGTGCATTTATTATGGTGCAGTTTTTCCCTTTCTGCGAGGATTATTTTGTGCTTGTGTTAAACGACGTCGAAGAAAAGTTTTTACAACAAAACGAACTGCGTACAAGACTATAGTACCCGATGACTCTGCAAATTTCAGCCAGAGGTCGGTATACCAGACAGGCCAGCTGCATGGGCTTGAGACTGGGCATGTCTTTCCAGTGCGCATTCTGAAAATCGTTCGAGACCTCCATGGTGGACAAGAACACGCACCGCAAGAACTCATGGTACGTAAGTTGCTCACGCCCAGCTCTCGCTCGTTCCCTTGCGGCCTCCCCCAGGGTGGGGTCGTCCTTTTCTTCCGCGGTGGGCGGCGTATACTGGTACTCTTGCATGAGATAATGACTGCGATTCTTCGAGGCGCCCGCTATGAAGTACTCCGATATCGGCTGAAGCATGTTGTTCGGAAAATATTATCAACAAAAACCTAGTCCATCGCGGCATACAACTCGCGCACAAGAAGTTCTTGATTGCTCAAGCTCCCGGGACCCTCGATACACGACGACATGATACCATACACGAAGGAATTTAACGAGCCAGTCGGCCCTCGTCGCATGTGTGAGACTACTGCAAGCATGTTGACCTATGCAAGTTTATTCGTGCGCGGTCGTGTTAGGGATGGGCTTTGTTTTCCCGTACAAATTCACTTTTGTGAATCTGGTTGATCGTATCCTTTGCCAGGCCGATCTCTTGATCCTCTTTGGTAAGTGGCTCTTCTACTCTGGCCCAAAGTTCCTCGCCATACGATTCTGTCCAGAGGCGCAGATACACCTGGAAAGGGTTCATATTCATTGTCACAATTGATTGTGATTCAGATTCTTACTTTCCCTGCTAGTAAAAAAAAGCAGCAATGACAATTATTGAAGTCTGCGTCTCTGTCGTCACTGTCGGGTCGTCTACTGTGAAATCAAAATGCAATTTCAATTTTCTGTACGTAAGCCTTGCAGTGTTCTGCGATGTCGCCGATGGCCATGATGCTGTTGATCTGGGTCGCAAGATCCCCAGGCGCAGCGGAGCAGAAGAGGTCAATGGGAATCCATGCCTTTGTATCTATAGTTTTGCCTCTTGTCAAGAGGTGCTTTGTCTTGAGGTCGTACACAATTTTACCTTCGACGGGAAACTCCGCCGTGCCCGCCGTGCTGGGCCGGGTGCTCATACCTTGTGTTTGAAGAGGCCTTAATCTCTATGTTCAAGTTGGTCATGCATCGTATTTCTCTTTGTCGGTCTCCCTTCAAAATTTTCCAACCCAATGAATAAACTGTCCGACAGTAGCAGAATACCACTATTCGGCCGTGTGGAGAGCTGGTCCTGGGCGTCGCCGTTAGTGCCGAACATGTTATTTGCCATGCCACGCAAGGTACGCACGTTGTCGACGATCTTCGAGGCCTGTTAAAAAAAAATCTCTGTGTGACGCTGCAAGCTCGTCGTTCAATTCTCCTTGGCGCGATCGCGTTTACAGCAGTACGAGAGTTTTATAGCATTCTAGAAACACATTTCTTCAATATTCATGTCTCTCAACTAGATTCACGATGCATGTCACCTTCTTTGGTTAGCTGAATCGGATCTAGAAGTAGTACTACAATCAATATACAAGTTCAAATCAGCGAAGTACATAAGATTTTTTCTCTTTCGCCGGCTGCTGCGCCTCCTCCGGTTTTACTGCGGCCGGGGCCTCTGCTGCGGCCCCCGCTACGGGTACTGCTTTGGCCGCCTCGGTTCCACCCTTCGCGTCCATGGCTCCATTGGCGCCGGTAGAGCCCGAGGACCGGGGTCTCTTCGGATTGTGCGGCTCGTCCGAGTCGTGATCAGCGTTGAGATCCTTTTTGCACAATACAAATCGGTCCTCCACCTGCTCCTTTACCTGTCTGCCCGGAATGTTGGCGTACACATCGCACGCCAGGGGCGGGATGCCGTGGTCCCGTTCCAACTGCAGCAGCAAAGCCTCCCGCTCGATGATCCTCTGCTGCCCACTTTTCTTCACCCGCGGGTCGTTCTCGGGGAATTCCACGCGGATTACCCTCGGGGTATTTCTTATTCGGTCATTTTCCTGTTTAGTCGTCAAATTCGTGTTCCCTGTAGCGGCGGCCTTCGGCGTTGCTCTCGCTGCCCCGCCTGCTTCCGCTGGCGGGTCTACAACTTCCCCGGCCGCGGCGGCCGGGCGAACTACGCCCGAGGATCCTGCAGGACTGCTGGGGCTGCTAGCACTTCTACTGGGGCCGACCGCGTCCGCCTGGTGCCGGAGCTCCACGTACAGGGTAGCCATACTGACAACTGTATCCTGAGCAAAAAAGTCCCCACCCCAGAGTCAAGATGAGCAATCTGCAAGACAAATCCAGGAACTTTGGGCGTCACGCGTGACAAGTTCCTCTCTCTATTGTAGTAGTGCAGTTTAGCAAGGGCCAATCATGTATCGACATCGCGTTTACAGCATTACGAAATGGCCCTAACGCGACCGGAAATGGCCCTCGTCGTAGGCATACGCATTACATTTACACGTCTTCCTGTCTTTGCATCTCATCAAATGCAAATCTCCTGCATGATAACTCTGGCGTGGGAACGTTGTTGCTCAGGATACACCGCGTCGTGGCTGCTAGGACTCCCTGAACGCTTGCCTCCTCCACCTACCTGGCTACGGGCCAGACCGGCCGAAACGCCCGAGGAAGACGCCGCAATTTTCCCGAATTATCGCGGGCTAGGGGGGCGATGATTACGTTCCTCTCGACGTGGTTTTCGTGCCGTAGTTGATACGATTTTGGTCTTTGTGACGATGTTGTTTGCTTTATTTCTACTGGTGTCTTCACTGGGAACAATACATTCAAGTTTGTGAAGATTCCTTCAGGATTGTATTTGTAGCACGGAATAAAAGCGCCGCTTGTCCAAGTTGTGGCTGTCGCAAAATTCTTCAAAAGTGCGCCATTCCTTTTCTGCTTCGCGTCAATGCGAATGTCCGATTGGAAAGCTTCGGCCATTTACCAGAAGCCTACTCAGCCACCGGTACGGTATCCTACGCCATTTTTTTTTCAACGAGCAACATATGTCGTGACGAGTGCTGTTGCTGTTCCCTTTTTCTTTATTTCTTTACTTATTTCATTTTCTCCTCAGAGTCTACATTATCATCATGATGAAACTACAGGCTGCTAGATCTACTCTGTAACGCGTCTACACTACAACACTTCCATCTACGTCTACCCATTTGAAAATGGGTATGCCGTGGTAGATCTAGAGCTGGATATCCGTGATCGACCTTCAACGAAAAGATACACAAAAGCAAAACGGGTGAAGTAAACGATTGACAATGACTATGAGAGGAAAGGGTTGAGGGAGACCCGCAGATGCTATAATGCTATAATGCGTTAGTAGTTGTCGTTCGAGTTTCGAAGGAGGGGACCTTCAATTATCGGAATTTCGGAAACTAGACTCATTTCTTTCTGTCCAAATCAACTTACTCACAAAAACATACGCAGCTGCATCAGGCACTGTTGTTGCTTTCGAACTGATACAGCTGCCATACCGCAAGGGTACTTATCGTTGTCAGCGTGAATCGGGTGCTGGCGCATCCCAAGTGTCATTGCAAAAAGTACACGTCCTTTCCTCGTGGGGTGGACAAGAAAGACCTTCTACAACGAGGATCCACCGCTCGATCTTCTACGCGACTACAAGAGGATCGGGAGAGATCATCTCAAGTGAGAGCTTTTAGCCGCGGTTGCGGTTCTTGCCTTTGCACAGAGAAGGGAGCAGTAACAGGTTAGTAGGGCTTTCCTCGGCCGGAAGCTATCTACTACGACGTTCTTGCTGATTCACAAAAATTCTGCGAACCGCTGCCGCTTCGGACTTAAAAGTGGGGTCGTCATAGGACAACGGGGGCCGCTTTCTTCTTTTTAGTGTTTGAGCACGAGGAACAAACATGCGACGGAGAACACCACGCGCTGAAAAAAAAGTGGGGTTGATGTGGGCATTGGCATCGCCATCTTCATCTCGTACCTTCGACCTTGCGATAATCTCAAGAAAAAAACACTGAACCGTTCTGCGTGCGCCATTGATAGATCATAGTTGTGTGGTTTCTGCTTTAGAAACAACAATCTTTGCGAAATATCACACACGCTAGGGAAGTCTTACTACTAATCCATCAGGAATTTTCGAAAATCAGCGTTGGACATTGGAGCGGACGCAACGCCACTTCCTTCCTCCACGCCCTCCATCGGAGCTGCTCCGGTTGCGGTTTCGGGTTGTTCTGAGCCCGCATAGAAGCCTTTTTTCATGCCGCCTTTGTCCTTGGACTTAACCGAACCTTTGTTTTCTTTGCCGCCGACCTTCTTTGCGCCCTTGAAGTCACTGTTTTTTCCGCCTTTTTTCTTTCCGTCTTTCCCAAAGCCCCCTTTCTTGCCGTCTTTCCCTTTGCTCGCGTTCTTGTCAAACGGCCCTTTTTTTTGTCCAAAGTCATTCTTTCCCGACTTTCCCAACATCTGTCCGTCTTCACTGCGGTCGACTACCAGTGCCACTCGAGCAGTGCTTGTTGTTTCCGCCTGCTCCTTTTTGTTGGTGATCGGGCGGTCCGATATTGCCACGTTGATTTTCCGCCCGTCGAGGTCCGAATTATTCAATTGTAGCGCCGCCGCCGCCTCTTCAGCGGTTTTCAGCTCCAGAAAGCCGAAGCCCTTGTTTTTTCCGTGCTCGTTCTTCATCAGGGCAATCTGCGTGATTTCGCCGTACAACGCAAAGTGCTGCCGGATCCCGTATCCTGAGTAAAAACGTACCCACACCATAGTCAAGATGGGGAATCGGCTAGACAAATCCACAAGTTTTGGCTGTTTTGCATGACAAATTTGGATTCGTAGTGTAGTGCTGTTTGAGCTAGCTCAGCAGCATCACAGATCTAGCATACCATGCTGATTGGAGCATGACAAATTGCAAAACACGACTAGAAAACGCTTCTCATGGGGTTCCGCATGAGAAACATTTTCAGCATGCAGATTTGCATTACAACTCTGGTGTGGGTACGTTTTTACACAGGATATCCCGGCCTCGGTGGTTTTCTTATTGAGGTTTTTCACGAACAGCGTGTTTTTTGCTTTCGCCTTCAGCGCGTCCAGGTCCCGCTTCCACTTCAGCTGGTCATTAAAACCCCCCGGTGCATCCTTCCGCGTCTTCGCGTATTTGTGTTCGTGGTTCTTCATCGGGATGGACCGCTCAATTTTCTGGATCTCCGGCGGGAGGGACTCTAGGTGGATGGCCTTCTCCACGGAACTCTCCTGCTCGAACTCAACGAAAGCGTTGCACGTTTGATGCTCCACTAGCCCTGTTGCAGAAGTAGAACTACTGCTAGTACCTCCGGCCGGCGTACTGTTTGTGTGGAGGTTCTGGCTCCCGCCTGCACCTCCTCCTGCTGAAGACAAAAAGCGCACGTCCTTGACGGCTAAGCCGTGCTGGGTCTGGAAAAAGGCGCGGAGGTCGAAGCCTCGGGCCACGTTCGTCAGGAAGACGACCCCGGGTTCGTAGAGTTGCTGTGTCGGTTTCGAGGGTTTGGCGAACAGTTTTCGGGAGTGCAGTTCCAAGTTGTGCAGCTTCTCGCAGCACAGCCGCACATTCTCTTCCTCGTCAAAGTCCAGGTATGCCCACCCCTTGGGGTTTCCCCGGAAGTCCCGCACCACGCGAACCTCCTGCAACCCTGGGACAGCGTGCTCGGCAACCTGCACAAAATTGTGGAACAGACTAAGTCTAAGCTTAAGCATCGGGATTTTTATTTTTACGGTGTCCTTTGACAAAATCGGGTACGAAGATCGGTCGGTGCAGCTGGCCTTTGAAATTGATGAAATTCAGCAAGCGATAAACATCAAAAATCCATACCAATCTTTCTAGCTCTGGCTCATCCACGTGCACATCGATATTGCGCACAAAAACCGTCTTCTTGGCTTCGTCGAATTTCACGGCCGCGTCTGGTCCGAGCGTGACCTGCAGGTAGTGCGCGCCGCCCTCCTTCTTCGGCTTCTTTGGCTGTTTCTTCCGGTTTCTTCCCGTATTTGCGGGTCGCACGCCTCGGGGCAGCCGCATTTCCTCCTGCGCGTCATCTTCCAACATATCTACGTCCCCGTCGGCATTTGGCCGTGGTCGCTTCTTCGGACGCACACCACTCGTCCCGTCCAGCACACCTACGTCACTATCCGCCTGCTGCTGCCGCTTGTTGCTTTTCGCTTGCTGTTTTTCCTCCGCGAGCTGTGCCTTCTTGCTTGTCTGCGCAAGCAGATGCTGTGCGTGAATCACCTGCTCCACGGTGGGGCTGACCTCGCACAACACGTTAAACAAGTCCTTTGCCAGCTGCTCGCTGCCGGTTTGCTGGATTGCCATTTTGTACAGGTCCGTCAGGATTCTCAGGTCCTCCTCCTTGTTCCGCACACAGTGCCGGGCGCACTGCAACACCGCCCACCACCAGTCGAAGACACGGTTCGCCGCCGGGCACTGCTTGAACATGTCCCGGATGCGGTGCTGCAGGTTCAGCATCGTCTGGTTCAAGCTGTAGGCTTCTGCCTTGACCCAAGCCAGGTGCAGCAGCGGCAGCACGCCGTGGTCTTTTTTGCTTGCTGCAGTGACGCTCTTGAATTTCTCTTCCACAAACTTCTGCAAGGAAGCGGTCGTGTTAGTGATACCACTGGTTTCAGTGCTCAATGCGTTATTTTCAGACGAGGAGCTGCCCTTTATTTCCCCGTGTGGTCGTGTGGCGGCCTTTTGTAGTTCTAGGCCCACGGCGTTGACGCCGAAGGGGCACATGGGATCATCCGGACTCTCGTCCCAAATTTCGTCGCCCTCTTTCACTTGCGCGTTGTGCTTCTGGCAGAGATTGCGAAACATGGCGCAAGCAGCTTCCAGATCGGCCTTCGTGGTTTCCGGGTCGTGGCGCAAGAGGTCAACGTACTCAAAGGCGAGCAGATCCGGGCGGTCCGCTACGCTGTTGACAAGAGTAAGCATCTTTGACAGCACCACGTCACGGATGTTCGAGCTGCTAGCCGCGCTGCAGAATCGGAGAGCTTTGAACGCGGTACCGGCCGCTTGCACGTCCACGCGCATGCTGGGCGGCCACACATGCGTGACCCGCTCGAGGCTGGCGAAGTTGTATGCCTCCACGCGCATCCAGTGTGCGCGAAGCTCGTACTGGCACTGCTTCAGCGGAGCGGCGAGATCGGCAAGCCCCTCTGTTGCCGCCGCTGCGCGCGTAGTGAGGCTATCCAGCTGGTCTAGATAGTTCTGATACAGTGAGCGCATCTGGTCGACTTTACCCAGGCATCGGCGCAACGCATCGCCGTACAGCTTTACGGCGTTTATAAAGCTGTGTAACAACGTAGACACTTTGTTCTCCGGCTCCGCTAAATGAAGCTGTGTCATTAAGTGAAACAGCTCCCGCTCATGCAGGGTCTCTACGGAGTCGCTCCCCGAGATCTGTTCGGCAAGCAGCAGCCGCTGTGCTCCAACGCCAGAATACCCCTTGCTCGCTTTCCGCACGCGGTCCAGGATGCGCGCAGCTCGGCGCACGTCGCGCACCTTGTCAGAGACGAACTCAGCGTACTCGACTGCGAGCTCCTCCGCCTCGAAACTGCAGTTGCTGGCGAGGAGACTCTCGCAACACCTCAGATACGCCCAATCCAGACGCTGTACGTCCTTGGACTTCTTTTCCACCGCGATCAGCTCTTTCGCAGCGGCGAAGTGCTGCTCCTTCTCGGATGGGGACGCGGCGGCAGAAGAACTGCTCGACGAAGCTGCACTAACCCCAACGAGCACTGTGGGCGGCGCATGAGCGCTAGGTGATTTGCTGGAATGACCGCTCTGCAACAGACTTTTCGTCTGATTCTCGAATTGCCCCTTTTCACAACGCAGTAAATCGCTGAAGGCTTTGCTCCGCTTACTCCACGCGGCCTTCGCCTTATCGAGCTTCTCCTGTTCCGACTGTGAGAAAGCGGCTCCCGTGGCTTTGTACTGGGCGGCCAACTGCTCCAGGTAGGGGCTCGGTATTTGCAGTTGCCGGTGCCACAACGCTTCCCGCTTTGCGGGCGTGCACGCGGGGTCCGCGCGATACGCGTGGAACAATTGGACCGACCGGTCCGGGTCCAGAGCGACGACTGCCAGCCCGTTTTCGAAACACCGGTGGCTGTGTTTCAGCGCTTCAGCCGGGTCGTCGTGCAACTGAGCCGTCGTGGTCGCGAAACGCGTCCAGAGGGACGCGGAGAAACCGAGACCGGCGCTGAGGGCCTCCCGAAACAAAGCCTCCAAATGCTGACGGCCGGCTTCTTGCTGCGAATCGGGCGCGGAAACGACGGCAGCCGCCTCCTCACTCAGAAACAACAGCCACTCCGCTTCCGAGACAGCGCAATTCTCGTGGTAGACGCGCATAGCCGTGCGGACCGCAGTTTGGTGTCGTCGTCCCGGATCCTGACGCAGCCTCTCCAGCAACACGCGACAGGCGTTCCCGTTTAGGAGTTCCTTCACTAAATTCATCTTCTCCGTGAACTCTCGCCGTGCCGCAGTTCCTGCTCTCGTCTCTTCCGTCCCCGGCGGCTTTGTTTCCGTGACTGCGACTGTGAAGATATTGTCTTTCGCCACGCCCTCCACAGTTTGCAGCGCTACCTCGAGCTTTTGTGCTTCGTGCCTGATCTCCGGCGGCTGCGAGAGGAAATTCAGTTGGACCTCCTTCAAACTCCCGCGCCCGCCTTCCCACAGGGCCCCCGCTACCGTTCCCGAGGATAAGAAACCTGCCGCCCCACCGCCGTCGAGCATGTCAAAGTCGCTGCTCTCCTCTTCGCTATCATCGTCGCTGTCGTCCTCCTCGTCACTGTCGTCGTTGAACACGCCCGGTCCAACATTCCGCCATTGCTCCTCCTTGTCGAAGGTTCCTTCATAGGGAAAAACTTTCTTCTGCTCAGCATTGTTGCTCAGCTGGATTTCCTCGTTTGATTCGGACTCCGATCCCATCTCAGCATCCTTCGAGGAGGCGGCTGGAGGCACAGCCGCACCGAAGTTCGGCGCGTCATCAAAGTTGTAGAAAGACATTGTGAAGATTGTTGTACTGTACGTCTGCCTGTGGGGACGAATTGCGTCTAAAATCATGTGTAGAGATAGTCAGCGCCGAGAGGGAGTCGACATCTTGTCGCGTGGCGTGGAAAACAAACTGGTTTATTGAAGACAGTGTCGCGCGTAAGTATGTACAGTGCTTTTGTCAGAAAAAAATTTCGAAAATGGAGGTGGGGACAAGATCTATGCTAGTGAGAAGTGGTCGCGTCGCTGCTAGAACATGATGAAATAGAGTCCTCCACAATGGAAGCTAAATCTTGGCGGTCTCCACTTGCACCTAAAGCTACTGTGTTGCATGGTCTTGCTGTATGTTGCCGTGACCTGATGAATGAATTTTCATTTCGGGCGATTGAACTCATCCTGATGTAGATGTACATGCAGTAATTGGACGTAAGTATAAAGAGGTTGGAGGCCGTTGGATTTCTGGAACACACGTATCAAGCCATAGGTGGTCCGTCAAGAAAACACCAAGGCGGTGTCTTTTTGCGTGTGCAGGCTTTCGTTCTACTCTGTCTCGCCAAAAGATCGGAGTTCGTGCCGCTAAAGTTCTGAAAAAAACCAAGCTCGTTCCTGACTTTTCTCCAAATTTCCACACACCAGGCCGTGCGGGGCGGGGCGCACTACACCACTGAAGAGGTGAAAAAATTCTGAACATCTACTCCAGATGCAGATTCGTGGGATTGTCGCCGTATCGGCGAAGTTGTTTCATAGTGTCTATTCAAAAAGTCGTGGTAGTTGTGACTGAAGGTACTTACTTAACAAGTTTAGAAGTCGTCCATGAAGAGGCTGGTAAAGTTTGGAAGCGGTGGCGGTTCATCCACTCCGGGACAGAGAACCGAGACGCCTCCGGACTTTTGCGCGAGCAGCGGAGCCCAACAGAGTGGCTCCGCCCGCGTGATGGTCGCCCGACACAACGGACACTGGGGGCCCATGGAGAGCGAAACTGCGCTCGGGTTCGGGTTACTGCTGCCGATGATTTGCAGACACTCGCAGCACAGCGTCTTGTGTCTGCAGGGGTAGGTGATCACCTCCACAGTGCTTTCCATGCAGGCCTCACAAAGCTTCGGGGGTTCCTCCACCACTCTGGGCGGCCGGTTGGGACTCGAAGAACTGCGTCGCGGCTTCTTCGCGGCCGGGGAACCATTGCTCGGCGACGCGGGCGGCAAAAGCAGCTCCTTCTTCGGCGGCGGTGGCTTCCGCGTGGTCAGGTGCGCCGAGTCCTCAGGAGCATCCAGCTCTGCGGTCGTGTAGTTGTTGGCGACCGAGGTGGTCCCTGCTTCCTCGTCTTTGCCCGTTGCTTTCTTCTTAGAAGTTTTCCTCGCCGGTTTTCGCTCCACTTCGTCCGGAGTCGCACTGCCGTCTACTTCCGCGGGCCTCTCGCCGTTTTTTTCCTCCACCGTTCCGGCGGCGACGTCCTCGGCGGGGAAGGAGCTTCTCCTGCCCTGGTTGTTCCGCTCCTCCGTGCGATCGTAGGGGAGGTTGCAGTACAAGTACTTCATCTGCGAGCTCAGGTTGGAGGGCCCAAGGCGCAGGCAAAACATTTCGTCCTCCTCGAACACGATCACTTTGCGCTCGCTCGGCGTGGAGTGCACCGCCGTCTTCTGGATGTCGCTACGCGCGTGCGTCCACGTCGAGCGCTTCTCGCTGCCCATTAAATCGAGAAAGTACCAATGACCGGAGGGTGCGTAAACGAGAAACCTGATGTGCATTATCAGATCATCATGAAGATCATTCCAAATTTAACTTATCTCCTATAGCGGATGAAAGCTACAACTTCCCGCTTCATTCTTGCTCTGCAAGTTGAAAGCCGAGTGGAGCAAAGCAAAAGAAAACAAAACCTGACTCGAACATGTAAGTTTCAGTTGGAGCTGGATACTCCAACCTACTACAAAGCCGAACACGAATAGCACTTACCCATCTATCAGCTCATTCGAGGAAGCGGTGCTCGGTGCGTGCCAATCGAGAAGGAGGTCCAGATTTGCGTCCACCACCTTGTTGGCGTCAGGCCAGCGAATGTCGCAAGATACGTGACTCCCGATCGATATCACCGGCTGCTCAAACTCAAACAACTGGCAGTTCTGTCCATACAGTCGCATTTTCGGCACTTTCGGTGGCTCCTGTTATTTTTTTGCTGGGATGAAGTTCAAGGTATAATGGCGGTAAGAGCATGTGGGATCATGGCGATTCCTCGACGCGGCAAGCGCAAGTTGGAATGACTAAAAGGCGAACACGGACATCGTCCCGTCAATCAATAAAATTATGCACCTGGTCCTTCTCCGCCAGCAGATTTTTGGCTGCGTCTTTTTTGCTCTCCTTCTTGCAGAATTCCACAAATGCCGGCGCGAAAAGCTTGTCGTACACTTTTGCGGCGAATTTGTCATCTACTTTGGGCAAGTCTTTTGATTTCGACTTTGTTTTCCCCGTCGTTACCGTCTTCGCGCCCTGCTGCTGCACGGTCATCGCTAGGTACAATTTGCGGACCTCGTCGGTTCCGGGCTTTGACAGCGTGCACGCCTGCAGGTAGGGGTTTTTCGTGTTGTAGGGCTGCTTGTTGGACGAGCAGGCGGCAGAGGACGAAGTAGTCGCAGCTAGTTTTATTGGACCCTTCCCTGCACTGCTGCTCGATGCCGCCGCGGCCGCGGAGCTACTACTGGGCTGTTTGTTGTTGGCATTTGTTGTTGTTATTCCCTGATCCTGTTTCGAGAGGAAATCGGTTGCGTTCTGCTCCGAAGAATTCTGGTCCCGGGCGGCGCGAAGCTTTTCCGCGATCTCCTCGTGCCTCTTTTTCGACAGGCCATCATTGACCAGTTTGGTGCGCTCCTTCTCGGTGAGCGCCTTGACGGCAGTGAGGTTCGCGTCCTGGCCCAGAGTCCCTCCAAATGTCGAGGGGAGTAACGCAGAGCCCTTGCTCGTGCCGAAGAGCGCGCCGCCCTTGCCCAGCCCCTTGGCGAGCCCGAATTCCGCACCTTTGCTGAAGATCGAGGCGTATTTCGAAACGGGCTTTCCCCCGGTTGCCTTGCTTCCCGCGCTGCCCGCTTTTCCCGCCGAGGACCCGCCAAACACGGTCCACGGAAACCAAGCGGGAGGTGCGCCTGCCTTTGCCTTTGACGACGATGAGCTGCCGGCGCCCCCGGGTGCAGGGGCCTTGTACTTTCCGGGGGCGAACAGCTGGAATAACTCACTTCCCGATTTTGCCGCGCCGGCGCCGCCCTTGGCTTTCGCACTGCCGGCCTTGCTGCTCGTGCTGGGAAAAGGAGTCGTGCTGCTGAACAGCGAGCTAAAGGGCGGGGGTGGTGCTTGATGCCACTGCGACGGAAAAGCGAAGGGATTACTACTTGGGACTGCCTTGCCGCCTGCCGCTTTCCCGGTGCTGGACGAAAGTGCCCCCCACGACACGGGCTGCCAAGACCCACTGGCCCCCGCGCCACTGCTTGTAGCTGCGCCGGCGAAAGGATTCGGTGGTGGCGGTTTCGCTTTGCTACTACTCGACGCTCCCGCGCCCCCGGCCGAGGAACTGCTTCCGAGCGCCGCGGTGGTGGAGGACAAGCCCTTCCCGATGTAGTCCAGCGCGTGCTGAAAAACGTCTCCCCAGGACGCGCCCGCCTTTGCCTTCGCCATGAAGCTGCCCGCGGCAGTCTTTGCGGCTGCCGTCTTCGCCTTCGCGGCCGCCTTCCCGCCCGCGGCTTTCGCCTTTCCCTTGGCCTTCGCTTTTGGCTGCAGAGGAATCTCGTCGCCCAGAGCCGCGGTCGCGAACCAATCGTCAACGGCGCCCCATCCTGCCCCTGCGCCGAAGTTTGCTTCGTTCAGGAGGTCCCCCAACCCCTCCGGCGGTAGGAAACCCGTGGCGGCCCCGAAGAACAGCGGGTCCGCAGCCGTCGAAGAACTGCTGGCGCCAGCGGGCGGGGGAAACAGGGGCAACCCGGCCGCGGCTGCACCCGGCCCGAAGAGCGAATCAACATAACCCACCGCGGCATTGCCGGACAGACTGACTTCTAGATTCATCAGGTGGTTCTGGATCCAGTGGCCCGCGGAGATCAGACCCAGGTCCTCCCACAGGTCCACGAAGTCCCAAAACGCATCAAGCTCGGCGTAGTCCTTGAACGCCGGCACGCTCTTCGAGCCCGCCAGGATTTCGTTCACCGTCGCCACCACCTTCAACTCGGGGAAATCGAGCTTCGTGATCAGGATGTCCAAGCTGTTGGCCATGTGCACGCAGTAGTTGTCTCTCATGTCGTTGAAGGCCATGTTCGTGATTTCGCACAACCCCTGCACGATGGCATTCATGTGGGCGCTGGCCGAGTGTTGCGTTTTCATCTTCGTTGCCTTCTTGTTCATTGGGCTGCTACCGCTCGCCTTGTCAGTTGTTCCCTTATTCGAGGACGCGACGGTGGCTGATACAGAAGTCTTGTTCGTTTTTTTAGTTTTACCTCCCGCCACTTTTATCGCTTTAGTCGTTGCGTTTGCTTTCGAACTTTTCTCTGCGGCGAGCTTCATCGGCTGCGGCTTCTTCACAGTCGTTGCCTTCGTCCCGGTGCTGCTTTTTCCTTTTGACGAAGCTCCAGCTGCGATGGCGGTTGATGTCGTGCCATCTTTTTTCTTGCCCTTAGCAGTTTTGTCGGTCGGTTTCACTTTCGTTGCTTTATTGGCCGCTCCAGATGATGACGATGATGATGCAGCTATTGCTGAGGACGCGGCTCCTGCACCTGCAGAAGAGTTCCTAGCAGGCGCTGACGTACTCTTCGCCTTCGATTTTGCTGCCGCTGCATCTGCCTTCTTGTTGTTGGCTTTCTTCACCTCCTTCCCCGCTGCCTTCTTTATCCCCTTGGACGACGCAGCCGCCGGCTGCTTCTTCGGAGGCATTTTCACTCGAAAAACAAGTGCCACTTCTTCACAAGATAAACTGTAGCCTTTTCTTGTGTCTCTATCATTTTTCGATTCGGTATCTACACATCAAAAAAAACGTATCTGTAGAAGTTCTTACACATCCTAAATGGTCATCGACTGTCTCGTAGTTTTGGAAGCCGCGGCTCTATTGCGTTTTCATGTAAAGCATTCTGCTCGCGTCGCTATTTACTTCACAGCAAAGTTTTCATCTTGTTCGTTTTATTCTCGTCTTTCTTTGCTCTTTGATGATGTAGCTCACAAATTCATCTTTTGCCTCAAGATTTCTGCGTTCGCTGCGAAACCGCTTCCGGCTCGCGTCAGCGATCGATTCATCGCCATCAAAACGAGCAGCAACAGTCGGAATCAGAAAAAATGCGCAACAGAAAGCTTACGCTTAGACTTTCATCATGACAGAAAAATCCGTGTCGTCGAACAGCCAAAAGATTCTATCATCCGAACTTCACGAGTTCTCGGACGTTTCTCCTTTCTCGGTGACCTACTTTTGAGTGGTCGTTAGGTGGTACTTTCGTCGATCATAATGATCATCGATCTCGGAGTTTCGTTTTTGCTCCGCTTCGATGATCATTGCAAGTATCATTTCTTCTAGTCGATTTCCAGCTGAGAGCGCGCGGCGCAACGTGCGGGTGCGCAGGCAAGTAGAATAGTATTCTAAAAATACTGATAGATCATACAAGCTTTTCTTCACTTCTTTGGTGTGCAGTTTCGAGTGAATCGTAATCCTCGAGAGGTGCTGTTACATTTCTTTGTGTCCTCGTCATGCGCAGCACCTAGCAGACCACTAGAGGCGGTGGACAGAACCGGTGGATATCGTTCACCGCCTGATTGCCGGCGACGCAGGTTTTTTCCGCCATTTTCGTCTCGACAAAATCGTGGACGCGGCGACAGTCCGCCGTCACGTGGCGCTCCAGGCCAAAGTTCTCCAGAATGTCATCGAAGTTCTTCCCCGGCCCCGCAAAGTGGTACAGGAGCGCCGGCTCCTCGAGACGTCGCCACCCGACCACGTGATTCATATCAACGTACCGGGGATCGATGAATTCCACAATTTTGCTACTTCGGTTGCCAGACGGCCCTGGATTGTTGTTGAACGTTCTCTGTCCCCGTGTCGATTCATTCGTTCGTTCTTAAAATATATGATGATAATCATCTTCCTCTTATTTTCCGTTTACAATATTCTCCTGCTCAGGAGTTCAGCGTTCATGCATTGCCTGCAGCGAGAAGCAGATGTATCAATCTGCATGCCCAACCACAACAGCAGAAAAAGCAAAGTCAACATTTTGCTAGTAAGTACTTACCCGCGAATTCTTTGAGGTTTTGCCACCAGCACATGGAGTAGGCCGCGATCTGGTGGGCGCCGTTGGAGTCCGGGAACAGCCAGGGCATGCAGATGCTGTCGTAAAAGTTGGGGTCGAAGCTACGCAAATCGTTCCCGCGAAACCAGGGGTCGACGTCAGGCAGTTTTGCGAAGGGGACAAACTCTGATGAGTTGCTATCATCTTCCGTGCTGTTTGTTTCGACGTCTCCACCGTTTTTCATACTGCTGTCACCGTCTGCTGGAGAAATCGTCGCTGCAGCGGCGTCGATTTCTGCCGCAGCTCGGGCCAGCGCTCGTTCGACCACACCGACAACTTCCAGCACGGTTTCATCGAACGCGCCCTGGTCGTGCTGGAAGGTTTGGATCCAGCTGATCTTTTCGAGCAGCAAATTCAGGAACGCCCGGCCCTGCGGGCTGTTGCGCAGCATGGTGACGCCGTTGTTCAGCGTCTGGGGCGGGAAAATGTCCCGCATCACAATGTGCTTGTCGGTTTTTAGCAGAATGTCGAAGAGAAAAGAAAACCGGTCCGGACCCCAGCACTCCGGGACAATGTACTGGTCAGGGTCGACCAGAATCAGCCAATCATACTGCTCCAGAAACTGATCGGCCATGTACCTGAAATTTAATGGAGAAACTGCTTCTTGACACAATTTGTACAGCCAGAACTTTATTTAAACTTTTTTTCAAAAGTTTACCGAAAGAACAGCGCTCCAAGTCCACACACTCACAGTTTGCCACTATATTTTTCGGCCCTAGTACAACGCATCCAAGGAAAACGACAACTCCGCGACGAGACCTTTTGTACGAAACAAGATCCTCGGATCAAGAATACCACCGAAACCAGTTTGCGGCGCGAAAATGTGCCTTCAAGTTGTAGTCGTCTGTTGGCGTGACAAACTCGATTTGGTGGTAGTTCGCGTAGCAGCGCCACAGATTGATGATCGGCTGATACCGCTTCAGCACCTCCTCGGCATTCGACACCCCGAGTAAGATTCCGACCTTCAAAGGTGGTGGCGTATCGCTGCGCGGCCGTCGGTACTTTAGCGTGACGTCCGGATTGGCGTTGGTGCCATCCCACTGCATCCACTCGTAGTGCGCCACGCGCTGCGCGGCATCGTGTTCCGGTATCTTTAGCGGATGTTGCGCCGACATGATCGCCTGCAATGGCGACTGATTCGGGCCGGTGGTCCCGGCGAGGCTCAGCTGATGTTGCAGCTTATCTTCTGCTTTACCTCCAACTATCTTCCCCCCCGCCGCGGGACTACTAGACCTCCTGCTCCCGACGGCACTGAGCGCGAACTTCTCTGCGTACACGAGTTGCTGCGCGCGCATTTGGCGCTGGCGCAGGCGCTGACAGGTGGCCTTGCGGCTGTCGAGCATATCGCGAATGTCCACGTGCGTGACCGACCACTCCTCCTCGGGTAGGTAGAACTCCTGCAGCAGCTCGCGACTCTCCTCGCCCGTGATTTCCTGCCCCGAGATCTTGGGCACTTGGTCCTCCGGCAGGTTTTGCTCCCGCGCGACCTTCCGGGTCTTGATGTGCGCGCCCATGTCGTGGATCAGCGCCACCGCGGCGACGAAGGGCAGGAACGACTGGCTGCACAGCGACATGTCCTCGTTGATCTCGTCCACGCGGAAGAAGTACAGGGCGTAGAAGATGAGCGACATGAGGCAAACCTGGTGGTAGCAGAAGTCGACGAAGCACTGGTCGCGCCGGGCCATGCCGTGGTCGGCCCACAGCTGCACGACGCCGCTGCAGTACTGCACCTCGGGGTCTTCGTAGTTATACTCATTGTCCATTACCAGCAACTTGGCGCACCGCTCCACCACCTGCCGAGGCGTCGCATTCCCCGCCCGCGGCTCGAAGGGCTCGTCCAGGCACATAGCGTGCTGCAGCAGGCCCTGCGCGTTCACCAACGAAATAGTACCTCCTGGCGCGTTGCTCACCTGGTGCAGCAAGGCACACAGTGCGAAGGTCCGCTGCCACAGCGTCTTGTTTCTGGTCGTCGCGGTAGGTGGGGGCGAGGAGGAGGAAGTCACACGGATGTAGTGGTTGTTTCCATCTGAAATTTCTATCCCCGGTCTCCGCCTTGGCCTGCGCCGCCGCGCTTTTCGTGATGCGGCACAACTTTTTTGCCTCCTTTTTATCCTGCCGCGGCGATGAGCGTCAGAAAACGATCGAGAAGCTCGCTCAGTGCCGAGGGTCGACAGTTCGAACTCTGCGCTCGAAGAGGTTCTGGAACAGCCATTGTGATTGCCAATCATTGCGCTGTTTGAATCTTCACTTTTATCCTTACGGTGTGGCTGCGTCGAGCATGCCGTGCTGCTCGTTCTCGCTTGTGGCTCATAACTGCTTGACGACGCAGTGATGGCGGTTCGGCCACCACCGATTTCCAAATACTTCATTTCTGCCGCCATTTTTTGCAATGCGCTCCAGAAATCAAGTGCACGCAAACCCGTAATCCTGCTAAGACATACATACGACAGAAAATATGGTGGAAACCAAAGAGCAAACGGAATCGAATTCAACTGATGAAACACACATCTTCACGAAAACTCAAACAAACTTTTCTTGACCGACGATTTGTGCGGGGCAAAGAAATAAATGAGCAAACAACAAAAGAAAACGAGAGATTGTGGATCTAAACATAACACGAATCACATCACACGATCGGATCACACTTGTGCATTCTGCTTCACATACCGAAAATCATGAAGGACACAACACCGTCATTGGAAATCAGGACAGCTTCGATCTCCACACGACGATCGGTAGGCATGGGCACTCAGGAAAGGGAAACGGAAGCGGAACCCCCACTAACGCTTCCTTTCGAAATCGATTGATCGCTGCTGGAAATGCAGTTCGATATGAAAATTTGTCTGGCAAATGGAAATCATACAGAAACAGGTTCAAAAGCGTGCGGGTCAGAAACAATTTCAATGCTTTGATACACAATGACATCAAATCCGAAACTCGCTTGCGATTATGAAGAAACCGTGATTTTTCACCTCCAGTCAGGATTGCATATTCGGAGAGTCAGCTGCCCGATTACAAAATGCAACACCTGAAATCTCTATAGTCATTTCTTCATTCAATAGGCGTAGGGGAAGGAAAACCAAAACGCTTGTGAGATACCAAACGCGGCGGCGCGCGCCGGAGTCCGGCAAAAGCAATTGGGCGTCGTCCGGCTTGTATTTTTTCCGTATCCTTTTCCTTAGTTTCAAATTAATGATATCCGGGTAATAAATTGATGTTCATACATGCTCATGTTTTACAATTCAAGTACGGGAATAGGGTAAGCGATAGCGAGAGATTTCATGTATACATATACCAATTTTTCTGACAACATACACTACTTGTTCTTTCATCACGTCGACATCAAAGTAGGTGACGGTTCGAGCTGCGCTATACCAAAGCTCCAGCCCAGGACCGCCAGAGGGTGATCACGTGCGGCAAAACGCTCTCGTGGAAAACGAAGACCAAAATGAGAAACAAGGTGTAGCAAAACATCCCAACGCCGAGCAAAAAGGGAACCCAGCCCTTGACGATTCCGAGGCCGGCAACTTTTCGTAGAATGCCGTATGGCCAGTTGCCTGTGTCCCAGTAATTCGGCGCCACAATGCCCACAAAGTAGAAGCACTGGTAGAAAACACACAGCACCAGAAAGTAGAACTTCGGGACGCCGTCACCCATCTTCGCGAGTTTTTTCATCGGCGTCGGCTCGTACCACGCGGCTGACGACGCGTCCCCCGACACCTGCAGCCAATTGGTCCCAGGTTGCAACACCGTGACTTCAATTAGGCCCAGGACGAGCAGCACGTTGTGACTCTGGTCTTGCAGCCTGCGCAGCGGAAATCCGAAGTCTTCGTCGTACCGCTTGCAATCAAATTGGAAGCCGGCGTCGGGCACCACCAGCAGCGCATACAGAATGGTCACGGCGGACCCCATCGTGGCGGTGAAAAACGACATTTGCGCACTGGTCCGAAGCACAAAAAGGAGCGTGGTGTCAAACGCGTCTGCGAAGAACCCCGCCTGTGCCCACGGTCGTGTCTGCGAAGTGCTAGAGATGCCCCAGCGCAGAGTGTCCGACGTCCAGCTTTCGGCAAAACGAAATTTCAATGCCGTGAACGCAAGCACCATCACTCCGTAGTGCACCAGCTGGAAAAGTTGCCCGTGCTTCGTAAAGAAGATTATCCTGCCACCCTTCCCCCACGCGGCGAGGTTACTGCTGCCCATGTGCGGAAAGGGAATCGCCACCATCTTGGCAAACCCCCACAGGAGCAGGTAGAAACAGAACGCCGCGAGACAGCATCGCTGGGGTGTCACGAACTCGGAGATTTCAGCCAGTATCGCACGCTTCTCCCCCGTGAAATACTCACCGTCGAAATCGTATTGCGAGCGCAGCGCTTGCGCGGCGTAATCGCTATTTGATGCCGCCCCATCGTTTGAAAAAAACCACGCCAAGTAGCTTGTTCTCGTTGTAAAGTCTTTCCTTAATATTCCCAACCACAGTTTCTCGTACATCATGTAAGGCAGCGCGAAGTAGGCGACTGAAAAGAACAGGAATATCCACGGATCGGCTCGCAGTGCCAGGTTCCACACGTCATACTCATATTGGTTTCTCGGTACGTAGATATCGGTTGAGTCCGGATCCCAGTCCGGTGGCTTTCGTAACCTATTGGGACAAACCCAGTTGCCGTAGGGCGCATAGCTGATACGCGTCTTCAGCCGGCCAGTGGACGTTCGCAAGGCGCTGCCCGTCGTTAGTCTCGTGCTACCAGGAACACTATGAATCAGAGAGGGAGAACTGCTTCCGTAATTTTTACTTGTTATAATCTCCTGCGCAGCTTCATCTGGATCTACTTCCAGCTTATCGAGTCGCGCGAGCTCTGTCGGCCACTCCTGCATTTCTACTATGGAGCCCGCACTTCTACTTGCACTGTTGCCAGCAGCCGACGACCTCCGGCGCGGAATCGCGACGCCATACGACTCCTCCAAAATTTCGTTTTTGCTTTTGGTCATGATCTTCTCGGCAATAGACGGCTGCTGCTGCAACAGAGACTCCTTTTCTTTCTGCCTCACCATGCGCTCCTGCAAGGTCTGTCGGATTGTCGTATCGGACGAGTTCGCAACATCCGTGCTGCCACCTCCAGCGGCGGCGCTACCATTTGCATGCGAACTGGCGGAGTTTCGACTCATTCTTGCTTAGTCAACGCGCGAGCTATCTAAAGAACTAGACAGAGAGGTGCGGCGCACACAAAGACCAGACGACGTGGCTCTGCGCATAGACGTTTCATTGAGATTAACGACTCTACACATGCACATCATAGCGTACCACGCACCGGCTCTGACTCTTGCATAGAATTAGATGTAGTTGTAGATTCATCCACCTCAGGAATTTCCAGTGGTAGTAATTTTAGAGGTGGGCGTGGTGGCATCGAAGTATCCACATCGCCTGGGGATCCTGTTCCAGTATTCATCATCATTATCATGTCTTCAGCACTATTCCGAAATGGGTAAAGCAGATCAAGATTTGTGGCACTTTTACAACTCCCTGGCACCTTCCTCTTTCTGCAAAGTGGTAGTGCGACTGCGTGGCTAGGGCAGCTAAAGAGAGACTGAGACCGACAGTGTCTTTCCTTTTCTGAAAGCTTGATCCTGGCATAAGGTTTTATTATGGTGTTGTACACGACCGAGCATCGACTAAAATTCTCATTCTTCTATTTTGTTCTTCGTGACTTCGCTATTCATATTCTTGAACGCGAAATGCAAATACAAGTTCCGAGATGAACACCTGGGCATTCTCATACCACATTCACAGAAACATAGCTTGAAGGCGTTTCTTTTTATTGATTCCATTCTTTTCTCATTCATAAGCGGTCGCTGTTGAAAGGTGAGTCCTATGCTAATATGGAGGCATGTAATGTCGCGAATAGAAGGAAATAATCTCATGCAAGAAATGACACACGTCATTCTTTCAGGTGGAGAAAAAATGCTAGGTAGGAGTCGCCAAGGTGTCGTCCTGGGGAGGTACTATGTATTACAACTCACCGGCGCGGCTTTTCCGAAACCTGCCTGTAGCTGTAACTCGTCCCTCCGTGCTACCAAGTTGGGGTGTTGCCGAGAAAGATGAAAAGTTCCTGCGTCTGAACCCACTGGTAAAACTGCCCGATCACCGAAGTGCTGATCCCGCGGGGAACGGTCAGGAACATCCGGAAATCTTGCTGCAGCCACACATAGAAACACTCGCTGTCAGTGGCCACGCAGATCTGGCTGGGTCGTGCGCAGTGCAGCATCAGTTCCGAACACTTGGAGTAGTTGCGAAAAATGTACTTGGGGTCGTAGGGCTCCCGGACTGCACTCGTGAAATACTGCTGCGAGGCCTGAAAGGTATGTAGTTTCACAAGACGGTGTAAGGAGATACTTAACATTTCCATAAGTAGTGGTAGAGCCAACAGCACGCGCAGTGCTTCAAGCACTGCTCTACGAGAAAAACACAGCCACTTAACCTTCACATTGCCACCTGAAGACAGAACAAATACACAAATGAAAAGCATCAATTAACAAATCCGGTTTGATATAATATTCGTACCTCGAGGAAGTAGCAGCCGTGGATGACGTTGTCGAGCAGCCAGGCCAGCTGCCCCTGGAAGGAGTGCGACAAGTAGGAGGGGGCGAGGTGCATGTGGCGGAAGCTGCTGGAGATGAGGATCGGGCACCCGGCCATGGCCTCCTCAATGGCCTCCAGCACCTTGGTGTCCCGCAGCTGCTGTGTGATTTTCCGCGCCGCACTGGAGATCGCCATGAACTGCGGCCCGGCGTTGTCGTAGGAAAAGAAGATCTGGCACACCTCCGTCTTGGGCACGTACCCAATGTACGCGTACGTGAACGCGCGGTCGGATACTATCAAATGCAAAAATGTCTGGGTCTGGAAGAAAGAACTTGTAATGCTGTCTGCGGATTCTAACAATATCTGTGTTGCATGAGCAGCAAGAAGAGTCAGCTCTTGGCACGCGGAGAGGGCATTTCTCATGCGTAATTAGCATCGAGCAGCTCTCAAAAAATCTGTGATGCTAGCACCAGCATCACAGAGCTCACGGGTCATGCAAAATGTGCATGACAAGTCCCGACTCTTCCAGACCCAGACATTTTTGCATTTGATAGATACGGAGGGCAGGCAAATCGGGGTCCAGGACTCCGACCCCTTCAGGGAGTTGGAGGACAGGATGTAATTGATCACGCACACCAAATCCCGTTTTATCGACGAGGAACCCGACGCGCTCTGCTTGGTCTGCCGGTTGGTCACGAGGGAAACCACGCGGTGGCCGGCGATCACGCAAGCCAGGAGAAGGTTCGGAATCTTGCGCACGCCGCGCAGAGCCTCCGTGACCACGTTGCGGTTGGCCGGGTCGAGTGGGAGCGGCTCGATACCTAAAGGGAGTATGACATATGATTTCATTATCATAAGCTCTTGCACGAAGAAACAAAGCCCTGCGCCTGTCTCTGCCAACGTGAGCGAAATTCCGAACCCGAATCTTGTCGTCCGTTTGTGGAACAAAAAAGATGGATCTGTTGCGGTACGCTTTATTTCGTTCATGTCTCCTCCACGAAGAAGTCCATCTAGAAGCTTTTCATCGAGTCCAACTTACTACACCTTCCAGCACTTTGTACTTTCTTATACAAGTGATTCTTACCTTCCACTTGCAGCAGCATGTCGTTGAAGCCCCAGCGCACGAGATTTCCGATGACGTGCTGCGTGCCCGAGAGCAGGTTTCGGATGTCCAGGTTTGGGCGCTGCATGAGTTGGCGCTCCACCGTGGAGGTGACAATGGTGACGAACTGGAGGTACACGCGGCTGAGCAGGTGCTCGAGCGCCTGGTGCGCGAGCGTGAGGTGGCCGGTGATGCACACCATGATCAGCGGCCCCTTTTCCAGAAACACGAACCGGCGCTGCGTCGTTGTGATGCTCCGCAACACGTCCTTCCCGTTGCTCTGGTGGAAGAAAGCCGCCATCTTGGCGGCGATCACCTGCAGCACGCCAAATTGCGTTATTTCCTCGTCGTTGCCGTACCTGGTGTAGACTGGCTTTCCCGAAAACGTGAACACGAACACGTGGTTCCGGTGCTTCCACCAGCGGGCCATCTCGTCCGTCTCACCCAGGTGCCTGGCCTTCTCACTGTGCCGCCATATTTTCTTGCCGCGCCATGACGACGACGACGAGGAGGATGCGCTGCCGCTGCTCGTCGGCTCGAGAGGCGTTCTTCCCCGACTCTCGTCGTCGGGGGAGGTCGCTTGTGGCTGCGATGTTGATGAATCCGCAAACTGCGACGTCGAGATGGCCGGTCCTGGTGCAATGTGTTCCACTTTCACCAAATCCGGGTCCTCCACACTGCTGCTAGACTTCGACGCCTCTGCGTTGCTGATCTCCAGCTTCACATAGGAGCTGTCCTGTGGGTCGGCGAGAGGGACAGACGCGGGAACTTTGATGTTCCGTGGTTCGCGCTGTTGACCAAAGTTGTTATTCACAACCTCCTGCTCGTCCTCTTCGTCGCTGGCGGCGCGCCTGTAGTTCGGGTTTTGCCCCGCGGGCTGCGCAACCACGACATCGTCGTCAGAGTCGCTGTTGTAGGCAACTGGATTGTAATTACTGTCTCGTGCTGTCGGTAGTTGCTCAGGGGCCTGCATGGGTTCTTCCGCACTCCCGGCCGCCCAAACCGGCGTACGCACGGAGCCGTCCAGCTCCGACTCCGGACCGTCGTGCTCATCATGCTCGTCGTGGTCGCGTATCACCGCAAAGGCGGGCTTGACCACGCGCTCCTTGGAACTCTTGGCGCTTGCGGTGGCCGACGTTTCCGGACGACGCTCGGGATCGACAGAGGAGCTGGGGCTCGCACCCGGCGAATTGTTCTTCACCTCACCGACAACCATCTTACTCCGGCTGGCGGCCGTGCTTTCCTTGGACTTGTTCGTTTTACTCGTCGTCACTGGTGGCACTGATGGTTCTTCGGGTAACTGTGAGGTTTGCACCGGAGGGGGTTGTGTCTGATTGAGATCCTGCGATTCATCCACTCGCGCATTTTCTGGTGCATGAGCGTTTCCATTCGCGAGTGCCGGTTCTCTCGTCTCGGGCACATTCTGCGCCGGAGTGGTGTCCAAATCCGCAGCCAAAATAGGTGGCTCCACTGGCGGATCAGCACCCTTTTTTGGCTCCACTTGCGGTGACTCTTTGGACTTTTTGTTTTTGTTTTTCTTCTTTCGCTTGTTTCCCTGCGGCTCTTCACGCGCTTCAGCAGCCGGATGAGTATTCCTGTCCGGTTCTGCTCGTTCCGCACCGACGTTGCTGTCCGGCACTGCAGATGCGGGTGCAGTCTCTTCAACTTCACCTACTGCTTGGACCGGTGTTATTATTTTCGTCTCTTCGGATAATATTCGCGTAGTTTCCTTCGAACCTGCACTACGCGTTTGATCATGCGCGCTCTCGATGTTGATCGCCGCATGGGTATTACTCGCAGGTAGTTCCTCTGCTCGGAAAGCATGCGTGGCCGCCACTGCGCGGAACCCGCCGGACACCTCCTCGGGTGGCGGTGCGCTCGGGTCCTCGTCTTCTTCTATTACAGCAGCAGACCCCGCCTGCTCTCGCCCCTCCTCCGGCTGCGAGGTAGTCGCGGACGGTAGCCGCGCGTCGTCCCACTCCCCGGAGTCGCGGCCGGAATAGAACGATTGGAAACTCTCGCCCCCATCGGAGTAGTACTGGTCCGGGGTAAAGGTGGCAGCACCGTACACGGACGAGTCCCGGCCCCCATCGTCGCTGAAGTACTGATCACCTGTGGAAGATTTCGCGTCGGTTGAGGAGGAGGGAGGCGGAGACCCCACACCTCTCACGTCGACCACCTCGTCTGACCCCATGCTTTCATTCTAAGTGTCTCCAGGGGATAAGACAAACATTGTTGCTTTTTGTTCCCTGTGTTTGTCAACACAGTACTCGAGGTAGAAACAGATGAAATACTTGAGTGGCCAATTTGACTGTACAACTTTCAGTTTGGCACGGTAAATTCCAAAAATTAAAATACTACAGGCCCTGTTGCGAATGAAAAGCCAAGCGAGGTGCAAAATGATGTGAAGTAGATCGTTTCTGCAGTAGACGTTAGATACCTTCAGTGGTGTTCCCGTCGCTAGGGCGCGTAGATCCTCTCGAAGACATGACTTTCACAAGTCAGAGCAGTCGTGTCAAAACGGCCTTCATTCTTGGGAATCTACTGTATCACTTATGATCTGCTTTTTGTCCGTTGAAGTTGATTTCTTGTTTCTCTTTCTGTGCAAGAGCAAGATTCATAATCACGTCATAAATCATTTTCCCTAGTGCCGGAGGACGAGGGACAGGAAGCATCGACGTTGCATACTCACCGACAGCAGACCAAGAAAAGTAGATTGGTCACGCACTTCTAGGAAGAACAAAAGATACATCAACATTTACAACAAGATGTGTGACGATAAATCTTGCAATTGCAAGTGAAGAATTGATCGCGTGAGATCGAACACTGCATAGTCACTTCCCCAAGGCTGTGGCCAAAGCTGCAGCTGTTATCGAGCATTACATTTTTACTTTGCTTGATACATCGTGTCGCTTTTTTGAAGGTCGCTTTTCCGAACATCATCTCACTTTTTTCGTTCGTCGCTTTTATCTGGATCGATCAGTCCGCCCCAGCTACGCGGTAGCGTTGGCCGGACAGCGGCTAGCACTTTGCGTGTTCAACACCAGCCATCTCGGCTTACCCAGCGGCCTCAGTTCGCCCTACTCACCAGTTCAGGCTTTTGGTCCTTCGATTCTTTGGACAGAAACACGAAGAACCGAAACGCTGTGGGGACAACTTAGCCAGTATCCGTTACCCATCGCTGGAGTCACTGTAGCCTGATATTCCAGCGGGCTGCTTCGCTGGTGGAGCTCCTACTGCAGCATCCCTCTTCGGACTTCGATCCCTCGCCGCTGCTGCTATTCCGCTGCTTCCAGCTCCAAGACCAGGTTGCTTTTTGCGCTGGAATTTTGGCTTTTGCCGGATGTCCCGTAGCTGCGGCTTTTCCTCTACTTGGTCCGCTTTGTTGCCGAACATCCCCGTGTCGCTTCTGTTTTCTGTCTTGTTCTTTTTCATCTGTGCCGCGGACTCCGCTAGTGCCGGCCCCACGGTTTGGCGGAACATGTCCGACTTCACGCCTAGCTGTGCTGCCGACTTCGCGGAACAACCTTCGCCAGTCGCCCCGCCGCCCAGCTCCCAGTCTATTCTTTCGCGCCGCGCCTCCCGGGCCTCGTCGCGCTGCAGCTGCATGAATTCCAGGTACTGTTCGAAATCCATGGCGGCCGCTTGCTGTTCCTCCGCCTCTGCCTGCTCCTGTGCGGCGAAGTAGAGGAAGTCCAAAGCTTCGAGCGCCCGGGAAATCACCGCGTCGCGGTCCCGGCCGCCCCGCCGCTGGATGGCCATGGTTTCCTCCAGTGCGTTGTACATTTGCATCTCGTCGGCGGCCTGGGCGGCGGCCTGCTCGATCCGCTTCAAATCGGATTCCTGTGCCGCTTCTTTTTCGTTTTTTTCCAGCAACTCCTCCCCCGCGGCCACGTCCTGCCCGTGCTCGTAGGTACGTTTTCCGCCGCTTTCCAGCGTGTACCCCTGCGTGGCCGGGTCGGTTCGAAAGGTGAACCGCGCGTGGCAATTCGGACATTTGGCGTAGAATCGGTACACCTGGAGTCCGCACTCTATCCGCCCTCGTATAGCCTCCATCTCCATGCGAAGTTTCTTACCTGAATTTCATTTTGATGTTTTGGGGTAAATCAGTTCCAGGCCCACTACTTCCGACCACAGGACAGAGCAATGGGAAGATGAAGGGAGGAAAGCAAAAGATAAAGAACGTACTTAATGATAAAAAAAAAAAAATCGTACCTATGTAATTAAACTCGCCGCAGGTGGTGCAGATGAAGGTGAAGGGGATGATCATACTGATCTCGATCATCTCCTTCTTGTACAATTTCATCTTTTTCAGCCGCAGCTTGTGCTCGTAGTCCTTCTTCCGAACCTGCTCCGGGTCGTAGTCATGGCCGTAGTGCAACCCCACCGTGTTGGTCCAGCCTATGTAGGCATTCTTCATAAACTTCGCGCTTTCGTTCGCCATCTTGTCGGGGGGAGGGGGAAAAAGGCTATCTAAAGGAAGAGAAAGTAAGAGAAAATAAGAGAACTAAAGACACAGATGCTCGAAGGGCACCAAAAGCGTGTGTGTGGGTAGTGTCCAAATTGCTATCACAAAAAATATTTCAATGCGCGTCGCTCGATGAGGTCCTGTTTCAATACAGTCAATGTGTCGTACACTTGTTTTTTGGGACCATCATCAGAGCATCACTGTCTTAGATTTTCATGATGCTCCTGTCAACTTTGATACCCTACTTTTATTGATCTGTCATAAGGCCCATTTTTCCATTATTTTTGCTATTGCTTGATCCAATTTCCATTTTCGACCGACTATCCAATGTCATGAAGATCGCCGTGTGTAGATGAACATCGGAATTACGAATAACATTTTAGCCATTTTGTGTTAGTTGCCTTCATCACGGAAAAACGAATCGTCATGATAACCCGGAACCTTACCGTAAAAACGATTTACTCCTTGGATGGCAAAGGCGACGGATTGAAAAAAACTGATTGTCCAACTATCCGAAGCAAAAAACAGGTCTCATCCAATGTAAAAGTTCTCGAACTGAAAATGAAATCTGAAAAATTCTACAACGAGAAGGAAATTCATTCGGTTTGAAACTTGTCAGATTGCTCAAAGCTGAAACAACGATGGTGTTGTCAAAGTAGCTCTACTGTGTCGCAGAATCAAAGCGGGTAATCACTTGAAAGACATTTAGCTGCTCGCGCCTTAGCCAAATAACCGCGAAGGGACTTCCACAACATGCGGGCGCAAAGCCAACAGAATCGCAGAAGGAGAAAAAGCAATTTATACACGATAGAAGCTCACGACGAGAATTACTTAGACTGCAAACGCAGTCCTGCAATGAAAATATTTCCACCGGTTTGGTATCTACTTTATCTACACGATTAAGATTATTTTGAAATTGCCGCACTATTGCGTACATCGTAACCACTCACACGAACGAAACGGATGAATTCGAAAAGTGGCAACAACCAACGCCTAGTACTCGAGTGCTGACGTCGAAGGGCAATTGTAATTCATTATACATTCATAGTGACACATCATCGTGGCAACTTTATTTTGTTACAATTGAAAAAATCCTAGAGGTTTTTGCTGCTTTGGCGACTGGGTTGCTGGCTACAGCTGTTGCTCGCATCTTCGATCTCCTGGCGTAAGAGTTCCCAAATGGCCTGACACTCCGGCAACTGCTCACTTTCCTTTGCACTTTCCCGCTCCAAATCCGACAGACCTGTGCCGCCCATACGGTCCCGGAACTGAAGCATGGCGCTCAAGGCGTTGCACTTTCTTGCCTGCACTAAAAGGTACCTGTTTCAAAATTTAGTTTAGTTTAATGGTAACATTTGGTTCTGCCCTATTTACTCAGGCCGGTATTAACATCCTTACAACCTTGACGCGCATGCACCCGCTCGCCCTGCACAGGTGATGATTTTCGAGCTCAAGTTTTCCTTTCTTTACTTTTCCCACATGGCAAACACCACAAAAATCACAGTGCGTGTAAGTAGTATTTTCGAATTCATCGAACAAAATGACAGCATACTACCTGACATTCTTAAGCGCCCTGCAGCTGACCGCGAGATGAAAGCAGGTGCGCTTATCGTAGTCCGCACCCAAGACTAGCTTTTCCGGTATCCAGAAAAGAAACTGTGTTAGTGTAACTCTTTTGGGGAAACAGCGTGACAAATCTGTCTGGCATGACGCAGTTCGTTGATACGTGAAAAGAGCGCGTATGAAACTAGCCTATGATGCATGTCAAGCCTGACAAGTCTTGCATCGCTTGCAGCACAGAGCTACACTCACACAGTTTTTTCCTTGCATATCCGGGCCGTGCCGCGCATTGAACATGATCAATTCGTCCAGACTGGATTCTTCTTCCCGCGAGGCGGTCCACAGAATCGGCAGTTCCTCGTCAGAAAACTCCAGGTGCGTGTTATGCAAGACAAAGTTCCTGTACACGTACAAAGTGTAAATGCACTACAAATTTCGCTAACTCGGAGCCTACGACGGACCTGTCATGCTAAATAGGATTGGAGGATGGAACGCTTGGTCATGTAGATATTACCGCATTCGTACAAGTACGTAGTACGGGAAATTTATTTCCTGTGGATACGTGTAGGCTTCCGTCATCCCGTTTTCGTGCAGATCGGGCAACACCGGGTTCTGCGGAAAGACGTGCGCCTTCTCCAGGATGCGTGCCACCCGGCGGTTCGCCACCCCGTCTGCTGGACTTTGCCCCCAGCGGTCCAGGCTGGTCTGCTGCTCCGGCTTCAACACGAGCAGCAAAAAGTGCACAATGTTCGCGTGGCCCTCCGCCGCGGCAACGTGCAGCGCCGTCCGCTGATCGTAGTCGCCCGCACTGAAATCCACCCCCGCCTTGAACAGCCGGGTCAGTTCCTGCACGTCGCCCCACGCGGCGGTTTTCAACACGCGCGCCACCTGTTCCTCCACCGGGTCCGTACCCCGCCGCGGGTCGAACGCCAGCTCATCGAGCACGTGCAATTTGCCGTTACTATTGTCCTGCTTTGCCTTATTCGCGACCGGCGGCTGGAGCGAAGACAACGTGTTCAAATTCAAAGCCTCCGAGAGCCGCGTGCAGGCGTCGACTCCGCGGACGGAGTTCCCGTTCTGGTCCAACCGCGGGCTGAACACCGAAATGCCGCACAACCCCGGAATCACCATGTACACGCAGCCACCGACCCCGGATTTGGCCGGAACCCCGACGTCGAAGGACCACTGACCGCTGTAGTCGTACATTCCCGCCGTAATCATGATCGGGAGCACCTGCGAAATCTCCTTGCGGCCGAAGCACAACGTGCCGGTGTACACATTGCGCCCGCAGTTCGCCAGCGTGGCCGCCATCGTGCTCATCAGCCGGTTGTTGCTCATGATGCTGCAGGCCTGGAAGTAGGTTTCCAGAGTCTCCTTCAGCGCCAGCTCCGTGGCCGAAACCGGGGCGGTGGACTCGGTAATCCAATGCTTCGTGGATTTCGCCACGACGAGAACCTCTTCGTCCTCGTCCTCTTCTTCGAGGCATGCGTGCCTACCGCCGTTTCGCCGCCTCGGCGGACTGTTCACGGTTTTCAAGTGTGCAGCGAATTCCAACATTTCTTGCCTTCGCTGGTTGTGCCGCTTCACCAGCGCCTCGCCCTTGGCGTGAAAGCACGGCGGGAAACTGTTCCGCGCGACCATCAGGTGCGCCAAACACCAGTTGCCGTTGGCGGTGAGACTCTCCGACTCATACATCGCCCGATTAATGTGCATATCCGAGGCGGTCAGGCACTCGACGCGGTTCTTCTTGAAAATCTTTTCCGGATCCCCGTAGAGAGATTTTTCCTTGACCGACGAGGCCGAGCGCGCAAAATGCATGTTGTCTCCCGACCAGTCTCCGTTCTCCGTCGTGCACTCACTCTGCAGCGCGAAACTTTTGTCACTGGCGTCCGAGAACCGCCGGCCGCCGCGGCCGGTGCAGTGCTTGGGGCTCAGCGACCCCTCCCCGCCACCACCGCCGGCAGCTGTGTTTTGGGCGCCGGCTCGGAAGGAATTTTGCTTCTTGAAACGCGTGTTCTTTTCCATCGACTTCTTGCAGGCGCGCACGTGTGCCTCCATCTGTTTCTGCACAACGGCGTCGGCGAGTTCCTGCTCCGCAGCCTCGTCCTCGTCGTCCTCGTCGCGATCGTCGTGGATCGGCTGTCGCTGCAGCAGCGACCGCGGAACGATATCGGCGACGGTCCCCTGGCGCTGCAGCAAGTTCCCGGTACTCGCGCAGCCGGAATTTCGCCGCAACTCCCCCGGACACATCTCACTCCCAGGGCTCCCGAGGGAGGTACTAGACGCCTTTGTTTTCGAATTCATTTCCACGGAGGGTTTGCAGTTTTCCTCGTAATCGAAGGGACCGTAGGGGACCGTCTTCCCCGCAAGATCGTCGCACTGGACCGGCCGCAAACCCCGACTCAGCGACCGCCACACCTCCAGGAGCTGCAGCAGGCGGTCCGACTCCTCTAATTCGGGGTACACCATAGACACGGTGCAGATCGCGCCGGCGTTGATGCAGGGGTTGTGCGGGATCTCGCGCCCGGGCTCCTTCTGCTTCAGACACACCTCGTTGAAGGGGCGGCCGCTCGCCTCCACACCCACCGCGTTGCTGGTGTAGTCGACGCCAAACTGGCGCAACGCGCAGAGAAAGGAGATGGGTTTCGAACAGCTTTGGATGGCGAAGGAGTTCAGCGAGTCGCCCACGGAGCAGTGCTGGCCGTCGATTGTGGTCAGCGAGATCGCAAACTGGTTCCAGGGCACGTTCTGCTCGCTGAGCTGCGGGATGTAGCTCGCGTTCTCCCCTTTCTCGTTCTGCCTGACGAGTTCGTGGATTTCCGACACGACCTTCTTCAGCCGCCCGAAGTTCCGCACGGCCATCTGCCCGTGCACGGCCTGGCGGACGGTGGCCAGGCACACCTGCACCATCGCGGTGAACTCCTCCTCCTGGAGCAGCAGGTCCTCCTCGTCAAACGAGTCGTAATTTGCGACGAGGAGGTGGAACTCGTGGTCTGGTGGATCGCTGGTGTCGCTGACACCGCTGCCACCGTTTTTCGAGCAGTACTCGCAGAACCGCCACAGCCACTCGGCATCGAGGCCCTGGTCCTCCACGAGAAACACAAACATCGGGTGCAGCCGCATGTCGATGTGCAGAAATAGCCCCTGCCGGGCGAGAAACGCGATCACTTCTCGCACGTCCAGTGCGGGCAGGCCATTCCGCCGTTCGCCCTTCGTGTCCAGTGCGTGGAACAACTCCACTGCCGCGGCCGCGGCGCCCCCCTGCGACACCGCAGACATAGTGCCATCGTGCGCGTTGCGTGGCTTGCTTGGAGAAAAAGTGTTGTCGCCATTCCGTTCCGTTGCGTCAGCTTGTCGGCCTTCCTTGGACCTCGGCCGCGGAGGCGCCGCTCGTCCAGGAGCGCGCACTGCCACGCGGCTGCTCGTCGTACCCCGGCATGCGCCGTTACCCATCTAGTCGCGGGGACGACCTGGGGCAGTAGCACCGTCTAGGAGCAGTGACGCCGGGGTTCTTGTGCTGTTGCTGGTGCACTGTCCGGCGTTAAGGCTGCTGGTGCACACAGAACTATCGGAAGGTCATTGGTCGTTGGACTATTCGTTGTTCAAAAAATCTAAGGTGCGACAAACGGGCAGCTTTGGTTACAAAAAGACTCTTAAAATATGTCGCAACTACGCCCGGAAAAAAAAAACTTTCATACACAATCACGAATCAAAGACCTAAGGATTTTCTCATGTATGTTTTGTCGTTTTGAGCAAGTAAAAGTCGACTTCAGAATAGCAAAGATTTCAAGAGAGCGAAGCCATGCTGCATGCTGTCACTACCTTGTCCCGTCAGAGTTTTGCTGCATTTTTTTACGTCGACGAAAAAGTCACGAAACTATCTACTTCGAGGCACTTTTCAAGCAAAGGAAGTTTGCATCGAGCGGCAATCAAATTATCACTCAAACGAAATTCCAGAATTTGGTAAACGATCACGAAGAGCACAATGGAATTGTTGAGAATAACACACCAACAACGCGAGTTGCCGTCCAAAACTGGAACTTGATGGTTTTGCGTTTACGTACCCATCGAAGAGGGGAGTTTTTTGATGCCGATACTTGAAAAAATAAGAACGAAGTGCTCCAGTCCGCGTCCGGGCCAGGAGAGCCAGCACGTAATGGCAATTGACATCCTGATCCTTTTCAACACTACAAATACAAACGATGCGAGATGACACTGCAAGAACATCTACCGCGAAAAAAACTGCCGGTCTTTTTTCTAACTTCTTCGTCAGCGGAATCATGTCTCTGTCTGTCCCAGACCCCGCAGATCCAGAACGCACGCTCCTCCGAAGTAGATGGATGAAAGCTGTTCTTTGTGAGAATGACTGCCACAGACGCGGCGTTTCCTGTCGAACGGGGAGTCAGTGGAGAAAATATAATGTAGTTCTTCACTTGGAAGTTTTTTTGATGAAGACAAAGCCGCCGCTGGCATTTTTGGAGCCGGTGTAGTTTGCCTTCAAGTGGTCCAGGGTCTGTCGCCATTTGGGAGAGGTTTTCGCGGTTTTTCCGTCGATGCCCAGGGCCTTCATGATCTCGCCAATGCCAACGACATTCGACTTCTCGAAGAGCTTGGCGATCTGCTCCGCGATCGTTAGCGGTTTGCTGTCTACCGGAGCAGCCGCTGCCACCTGGTCCATCTTCCGGACAGGGCCGTCACTGCCACCGACCTGGTCGACCGCCTTCTCCGAGTCCTTCTCTTCTTTGATCATTTGATCCAGCCGGGTCACCGCTGTAAGTAGGAAGATCAGCATTATTCATACATGCGGTGCGTACATACATTTCATTTCGGTTGTGTACAAAAACGTCTCGGCAAAGTGGTACTAATTATGCGACCCGTCGTTTATTTCATCAGTTGCGTATGCCTATCTATAAGATGGGAAAGGCAGAACCACTCCCTTGGTTCTGTGCATTTCCATTTTCATACATGTTTTAGAAGTATTTCATCCAAGTACTGCTGCAACATCAATATCTAAAAAGCAGCTGCACTGCTGGATTTTTCTATACCGTTTCCCTCCCCCGCGTTGTATTTGTCGTCCTTTTCGAACATTTCCTCGTCGGCGAGCGTGTTGTCCCCGGGGTGCAGTTCCGCGGCCGCGTTTTCGTCCTCGCCGCCGTCGTTCCCTTCGTCGTCCGAAAACCGGTCGTTTTCCTCGGCGTCCCAATCAAACTCGTTGTCCTCAGTGTGCTTCAGAAAGTTGGCCTCGTGCGCGGTCTCCGGCACGCTGCCCGCCGCGTCCAGCTTGCGCGCCAGGATGCGCTCCTCCATTAGCTTGCGCTTCTTCCGGAACTGCGGGTCCTCCTTGCCGAACTTCTGCTCCGCCCGGGTGCTGGGGTCCTCCAACGACTGCAGGTACTGATTCTCCTCGTCCAGCTCCTCGCAGCCCGTTCGCACGTACGGCCGCTTGGTCGCGCCAGCAAGATCAATCTCGGTCGTGGCCGAGGGCTGAGGATATAAGATTACGATTAAGGAAAACGCTTTTTTCACACAGATCATGTCGAATGTCGTCAATCTCTAGTCGCCTCTTTGCGTTTATTTCTACTGAAGCGGATGAAAGTTTGAGTTGTTCCTTCGTTCACAAGATAGTGCAACTGTAAACTAAAACCTATGCAAATCCATACCTTGGTTGCCCTCGAGGCTTCCCACTCCTTCCGGTCCTGGACGGGGAGCTTGTCGCGGGCCTTCATGCGGTCCATGGCGGTCTGGAGGTCCCGGTCGGTCTGGACCCGCTTCAGGAAGGAAAAGGTTCCCTTAGCCGGGAACAGGTGCAGCTCGTTGCCCACCCGCCGCGCCAGCCACTGGTCGTTCTGCGCGGCCTTGGTTTGCGGGGCGTCGAACACAAAGTTCGGGGCGGCGTCGGTCTGGAACTGCTGGTCCGCGGACTTGCTCAGCAGCCCGAAATATCAAATGTAAAAGTGTCTGGGTCTGGAAGATTGGAGCTTGTAATGCTGTCCGCGGATTCTAACAATATCTGTGTTGCATGAGCAGCAAGAAGAGTCCCCTTGGCACGCGGAGAGGGCATTTCTCATGCGTGATAAGCATCAAGAGGCCCTCAACAAAATTGTGATGCTAGGACCTGCATCACAGACCTCACGGGTCCTGCAAAATGTGCATGGCAAACCCTGGTGACTCTTCCAGACCCAGACATTTTTGCATTTGATACGAAAAAGGGCGCCTCCTCGTTTTCGTTCACCCCCGGGACCTGCGCCAGGTCCTGGGCCTGGTAGGGAAAAACCCGGACCCGCATGCCGGGTGCGGCCAGGGAAGAGATCGCGCTGGCGGTCGTCGGGCGGCTGGAGGACGAGGACGTCGCCGACGCTGCTTTAGTACTATTTCCTGCGGCCCCGAAAGAATTCTTGATTACCGTGTCCTGACGTTGGGAAACCATGGGGAAGCTGTCTTGTCGTTGCGCGTCGGGCTCGGGTGGAAGCGGCAAATAAAATGTCTCTTGTGGTGAGGATTACGCCGAGCGTGTTTGAGATTTCAATTCGATCCGCTACGCGGGTCAAAGGAAAAGTTTGTACACGTCGAGAACGCCAGACACCCGAACTGCAAAGCCGAAGCGGGTCGTCTTGAGTGTCTTTGTCCTCCAGACGGTAGCTGCAGAGGTGTACAAGTACTAGTACAAGCAGCGCAAAAGCCGCAATAAATGTGTTGAGAATCTTTTGAAAATGTTAAGTATTATACGCACCCACTTCTGGGCTTTTCAAAAAATTAACCGTAGCGGGTGCTAGCTTTATCAGATAGTTTATCGTATTTAAAAACGTCCCCCCCCCATAGTTGTGATGCAAATCTGCATGCTGAAAATGTTTCTCATGCGGAGCCCCATGAGAAGCATTTTCTGGTCGTGTTTTGGAATTTGTCATGCTCCAATCAGCACGATATACTAGCTCTGTGATGCTGCTGAACTACCTCAAACAGTACTACACTACGAGTCCAAATTTGTCATGCAAAACAGACAAAACTTGCGGACTTGTCTAGCCGATTCTCCATCTTGACTATGGTGTGGGGACGTTTTTACTCAGGATATAGTTATTTTCAGTCGTTGCACTCCAGCAATCAACACTGACGACTGTCTATATCCGACTCTGCAGCACTCCAGTCTTTGGCTACTGTGAGGTGGGTGTGAAGAATGGAGTTCGAGTTATTAATTGACAACAGCACGCACAAGCAAGTCAGTGCTGGCCAGGTCGACTCAAGCGAGAGAATCTTCAACACGGAAACTACTGATCTCTGATTTAGACACGTGCTATTACAACTTATCATACGTTGCTGGTGCTATGACTCTCAGTTGTAGTTCAGCGGCAGTGCCTCCGTGCACCATCGTTAAAACCTAACACAGACGAGGTTGAAACCATGTTGCAGGGTGCGGCGACTGGATTTGAGATTTACCCTCCTGCGGATGAGGAGATGCATTCAGTTTCGCTTTATGCAAAGAGACGGAGACCATCTTCATTTAGGCATTTTGTAAAGGGAAAAGCGCAACTGGGATATTGGTTTCATTGCGAGATCAGGATGACTTCATTTTCTTCAGCGACATCTGTCTTCACATACAGAGGTATCAAAGCTTGATCAATCTCTATGTCCATTCTCTGGGTACGTTTGTAATCCATTGCTCAGGTGGAAATCTTTCCACTAGCATGCGATGACTTGTTGTTAAATCGTAATCGTTTGGTACACGTTCATTTCGAAGTCGCGGCTCACGTAGCTCCTTGTAGAACTGGTTCGTAGATTTCCCTCATCATCATCATCATACAGGTTGAGATAACGCTACTACTTACAACAGTTCTCTGCCAGCACTGTTGCTTGCGGGGCATAATGCGTCCGACGCCACGGCCACCAGACACTCCGGTCACTCTAGCGGTCAAGACGGCCTGGAAAATACAGCAAAGCACGGCTGGCTCGATGCGACTGCTGAGGAAGCCCCGACGCGAATCACTGCGACCTGCGGCCTCCAGTTGTATCATGGCCTCCGCGCATGGCAACGGGCTCTGAGCGGAGAGAGCCCGTGACTTTCGGACCTGCACCCACCGCCCTGTTCATCTCGCCTGGCGGTCTCCTCTCGCTTGCCTTTCGCGAGTTCTGATACTGGCCGGGATCCGCTTGTTCGGGCAGCATCGGGGAGCTGTCGGCGGTGCCTGACATTTGGAAAAATGATGCGTCAACGACGAGAATGAAAGAAGCCAAAAATAAGCTAACCGAAAGGTACGGCTTTTCAACGGTATTTTGTTTTTACTTGCATACTATATGTAATATGTAAAATGTCTATAGTCTAATCGACGACGCAACACTCACAACCAGAAACGCTCACGCACCTTCCTCCGCGTGGCGGATTTCCGACACCTCGCCAAAGGAATCTTCCGCCGTCGCACTTTCGTCTTCTTCATCGTCGCTCGGCGTATGGAAGGGCTCGCTCGTTTTTTGGACGACGTCGGGCGCGGCACCGTCAGACGCGGACGGGAAACGCAACTTTTCCGGGGAGATGTTGACGGCGTCTGCAGAAACGCTGTCACCTGGGTACGCGTTGTACACAGAGCGGCGCTGTGAAAACGGCGGCACCGTGTCCTCCTTGTAGCTTGGGCGTCGCGGGCGGTGGTCGTCCGGACTAGCCGCTCCGTACTCGCCTCGTGTTTGTTCGTGGTCTCGCAAATGGTCCGCCGCGCTGTCCTTCGCTACTTCTTGCGACTGCGAATCGGAGTCGCTCTCGCTCTCCTCCTCCTCCTCCAGGGCGTCGTGCTCCTCCGCTGGGTCACCTGCTTTTGCAGTGGCGGAAAACGACCTGAGATGCGCGACTTTGTGCTCCACCAGGTCCAAGCGCGACGCCCAGGCGTCCTGCAGCTGGAAGAGTTCCTTCCGCACCTCCTGCAGGTCCTTGTGGTTGTCACGGCGGTAGCTTTGGGCGGTGTCGAGGACGAGCTGCAGGCGGTCTTCCATTTTTCGCATGAAGTCCGCCAATCCGACCTCGAACGCGCGGTTGACCTGTGAGGCCTGCAGCGTGGAGGCGTCTTCCAGGAACTTCACCCGTTTCTGCAACGATTTCTGCTTTTCGCTCATCTGGTCGATCCGGGCGCTGAGACTGACCACGTTCTTCTTCAGAGACCGGTCCAAATCCGTGAGCAGCACCGCGGTTTCGTCGTGCTTGCGCTTCTGCTTTTCGTCGACCTGCGCCAGCTGCTTCTTCACCTCCGCGGCGATCTGCCGTTTCAACTGCAACTCCGAGGCGCTTTGCGCTCCCTGGTACTGCGACAGGACGCTCTCGCTGAGTCTGCCGGGCGGCGGCAAAAAATGCTCGCTCTCGCTGCTGGTACCCGGACCCGCGGTGGTGCTGTTATTCGCGTTGGAGCTGCCCTCGATGTCGGAAGAGGAAGACTGTAGCTGCACCGACACTGCGGTCCCGCTGCTCGGTCGAGAACCTCGGGATCAGAAAAATTCACTGCAGAAGTAGGAGCAGGTGATTAGACAACCACGACAACACCACTTCATCAAATAAATGCAACGAACCAATCATAGATGAAAAAAAGTAACAGAGCAAAATTTTCCCACAAAAACGTTTCCGATGAACAGAACAAAAACGCTCTCCAACACCACTACCTGGCAGAAACTTGGGCCGTTCCACGGTCGGAGGGGGCGCTGCGTGGCGCGCACAGGGTGTGGCGAAATCTTCCGAGGGAATGCGATCCAGAGAACTGTCGGGCAGGTGCACCCCCACCGTTTTCTCGTCCGCGGGGGGCGTTTCCACGCCACTTTTGGACGACAGCGAGGACTTGAGCGCTTCCGAGCACAGCTTCTTGGCGTGCAACCGCATCTCCTTTTTCATGGAAACATCCACTTGCTTGCACCGCTTGTCCAGCTCCAACTTCAGCTTCTCCAAGTCCGCCTCCAGCTTCTTGACGTCCTGCACGGCGGAGGTTTGCTTTCGGCTGGACACCGTGATTACCTTCTGCATCTTCTCGATATCCTCGTCCTTCTGCTGGCGCACCTCCTCCACCAGCGACTCGAACTTCTTTGCCACCTCGTCAATCCTCTCGCTGAGCAGCTCCTTCTGCCGAGTGACGTCCACCTCAATCTCGCCCTTCAGCTCCCGCATATCAAATGCAAAAATGCCTGGGTCTGGAAGAATGCAAGTTTGTCACGCTTGTCTGGCATGACTCTTAAATCTGTCATGCACATTACCAAAGAGCCCCACTTTTCTGTCATGCAGAAACGTAGTTTGTCATGCAGAATAGGCAACACCTAGAAGCTCAGAAACTTGTCATGCTGAGCCAGCAATTGTGGCCTCCTCATGATACGCCACACGACATCACAAGTCTCCAGACCCAGACATTTTTGCATTTGATACCGCATCCGCGTCTGCGAATCAAAAAACTCGTCCCGGATGGCCTCCATCTCGGAACCCACCTGCAGTTCGAGGTAGTAGAGGGGTTTGTCTGAACCAAATTGATTTATGTTTGCTTTACAAGTTGTAAAACAAGGCATTTTCATCTCGATGAAAACAAAGTAGCTGTAAAGTTGCAATTACTGAATTTACCGTGGAGAGCCTCGCAGACAACTTTTCCACCTGTGTCTGGGAGTGCAGTTCCGCTTCTTTTTGCAGGGCAGACGCAGCTGCAGCGGAGGTCGAATGCGCAGTCTTCATCATCGCACACTCCTCCCGAACTTGAGCGACTTCTGTGCCTGTTAGGAACAAACATCCGAGTTGTGGGTGGCCGCAGTTCATATTGATTCAAAAAGCGTGAACTAAGTGAAGCGCTCTTTATCGTAACTCTGAAATTTACGAGAAAGTGTGAGAAGTTAGAGAAGAAACTCATATCGACAAGTACATAAATCGGCGAGCATGTCGACCCAGGCAGCATTTTCTTCTCTCGTTTTTTTCCGCAAAGCCAGTTGCTCCTTTTCCAGGAGCCCCGCCACTGCAGCCGCGGTCGTCGCACTGGACCCATCCGAACCGGTCCCCGCGGTCTCCGCAACGCAGCCTTCCTCCTGTTTCGTCCGCTGGTGCGTGTGCTGCGGCGTTGTGTGGTGGTGTACTTGTGTCGGTCGGAGTCCAGCGGCCGTACCCGCGGAGCCATGCTTTTTCTCCTTTAGCCCCGCAGCTCCCGGTCTGTGCGCCTGAAACCCGCTCGAGACGCCTCTCGGTGCGGGCGGTGCTTGCTGCCGCCGCCCTTGCGGCGAAGGCCCAGAGGTACCGGCACGAGACCCTACCGTGTTCGCTTTGTTCTTTTTCGAGTTTACCGCGGACGATGATGATGCGGGCGTGCTGCTGCTACTGCCACCGCCAACGGTCGTAGCCTTTAGGTTCGACGACCCGGCGGCTGTCGGTTTGGTCCCGCTGCCAGACGCAACTACTGCAGTCGTCAAAGACCCCCCGGAAGGTCGTGCGCTCCCCGCGTGCGCCGGTGCCGTCACCGTGACAGCCGCTGCGTCTTCAACGCAAGGTTCGTCACCAGAAGTTGTCCGACTGCGCGCCGCCTTGTTGAAGTCCCTGATTGGAGAGGAACACACCGGCGTCGAAATCGAGTAGTAGGTTGCCCCGAGCGCTTGCTGCGAATTCGAGTTCGAGCAATTCCGGGAGGAAGCAGAAAGGCCCGTACCAACCTCCACGTGATGTTCTTTCTTGGGCTTTAATAAAGTGCCGTCGTCTGCGACAGTGGGTCGATCGCCCCCGTTTGCCGACGTCGCACTGTAATCGTGGTCTAAAGCTTTTTGTTTTTCTGAAAGCACCCGTGGCTCCGGTAGCGAGGCCGAGTACGCTAACGCTACCGTGGTTGCAGCACTCGTCATCATGGTAGCAGCAGTCGCGCCCTTTGCTTGCTGTCCAGTCGCGGTGCTCAGCGCCCCGCCAGCCGAAGACGTCACACTCCGAGCTGAATTGCCTGGTGGTGGTGGGTCCGCGAGCGACCGGCTGGCGGCGAAAAGATCCGACCGACTCGCCCGCGTTGCGGCGGAAACTGCGGGTTGATTGGAAGAGGAACTCAACGACAGCTTTCGCTTCGCCTGTTCCACAATGCCGAGCTGGTGTTCGTCTTCCGTCGTACTTGCAACCTCACTGCTCGAGGAAGCAGAAACCCTGTGAATGTTAAACGCTGTGCGGTGGAATCAGTATAAATTTATCAGATAGATGAATTCTATTTCTAGCCAACAAAGCATAAACACTTAAAAGACCTCATCTCCTGGGACGTCCAAAAAGGTCAGAACGCATCAATTCCAGAAGGTCCCACTGTAGCCGAGAGAAAAAATGAGACAGACCCTACCTTGGAAACAGCTGCGGATCGAGTTTCGAGCCTGGAGTGACATGTATCGGCGCTGACGTTTTTGCTTTCCCACGAGGCGTGTCCTGCTGCTGACCGGCATTTTTGGGATCTCCCACGGACCGGTCTCGCTCCCCGCTCCGAGGGTAGAAATTCACCAACAAGCGTTTTGCGGAGCTGCTCGTAGCCGGCGTCGCGTCCAGGAGGGAGGTGCCGGCGCTCTGCGAATACTGCAGCGGCGGCTGGTCCAGAGCGAGTGGCGGTTTCTCACCAGTGCTCGCGGAGGGCACGACAGCCGGTAGGTCCACCGGCTCCGGGTGCGCTTCTGCAGGCTGGGGCTCCTGCACAACGCCGGCGGTAGGACTAGTTGAGCTCCTACTTTTATCATGGTGCGCGGACGAAGTTGTTCCCGGTGGGCGACAAATGAACCTCGAGCCGTCCAGATCTTCCCGAATGCTCATTTCCAATTCGCGTATTTCTTCCGCGGTGAGCCCTTTGGTGAGCTCTGGACCCAGCGACATCCTCCCCGTCGACGGCTCACTGTCTGAATCCCGCATTAACTTCGTGGCACCCGCTCCGAGCGGTACCTTGCCCTTATTTACACCGGGATTTTTACGCATCATGGTTGCAATTTCGAATGCAATTTCCTTGTCCAGTCCTCTCAGTTGTGAAATGTCCTCCTCATGAGAATATAGATACCTTTAAAGGGCAGCGCAAAAGCCATTTCTTTTTCTTACATAATCTACTGCGCAGAGCTCTATGTATGCTCCTCTCGCTTCTCACTCACTGGAATATTTTGTGTGTCCACACAAATTTTCAACCATTTTCCATTTTTCTAAGATCCGAAAAGCCCAACCTTGACGCTTTTCAATCCGCTCTCATCATCGTCATCTTGTAGTGTGAAGACCCGCACCCAACAAATCCATGGGATAAGAATCCCTCCCAACGAGGGGGGGCAAAGTCGAGGCAGTTTGTTGTGCTAGTGGGCGCTCTTTCTTATTCTGCTTCTGCTATTCTCGCTCCTTTGTATACCGTGCCGGAGAAAGCCCCCACCAGCACGTAGTAGATAGAACAAATTTGTTGTGCCTGCGAACAAAGAGGTAGCGAGGAATGGAAGTCACCAGCAGCGGCGACTGACTGTTTCAAAGCGAATAGTAACTATCATCAAACACAAACGAGCAGTTCATGTTCATCTTGTTCGAAGTATCATTCACTTCGTGAAGGTCACAGCCGATTCAGCGTTAAAAACAATGATAGTCAAGAGGAGCCATCTTTGCTCCAAGGGAAAGGGCTCTCAAGATCAAACCCCTTCTCTGATCAAGCGATAATGTAACGATAGAGTAATCAAAAGCAACAGCGAAAGGTGCGCGTGCGTGTGCGAGTACTAATTGTAATTTGTGCGAATAAAAACAAAGAAAAGTTCTTTTAGCAGTTGGGCAGTCGTCGCAAGTTCTGCTCGACTTCTCGTGCCCTCTCTACCTGTGGTGCGTAGAGCACTCCTAAGGAAATTTCATCGATTTTTTAGGTTTAGTATCTATCTGGCAGTCATGCTACAGCATTAGCAAACGTCAACCAATAACCGTCACTGGATTTTTGTTGTTAATTTGATTTCATCTGATGTCTAGAAGTTGATGTATTCGTATCAAATAGAAGTGGTAAGTAGTATTGTTATTTTTAGACTGTTGTTTCATAAACACAGCTGGCGCAACCTCATGCTCCAGGCATTCAATCGTCTTGCGAGCGGCCCAGGAAGTCGGATCCAAACATTGCGTCCCGCTGCATCGCATAGCGGGAATCTCGGGCTGCATTTCTCATCGATCCGTTCGCGACGTTGAAGTCCCCGGGGGCAGCGAGGTAGCGACTTTCGGCGGAGGCCGACCGGGCAGCGCGTGTGGCGCCCATGCTCGGGGCCAGTTCCGAAATCCGTACGTTGTTGATATCGTATCCCGGCGCGTTCAAACTGGCGCGCCGAACCGGACTTACGGAGCTCGGCGCATTGGCCGCGTTACTGTTGCGATTATGGGCAGAAAATGCGCCTTGTTGGTGCGGGTACGCGACACCGGTCTGGTCGCCACCACCAACGCTCGTGTACCAACTTCCCGCGGCTGCGGTGGGTGTTTGGCCCGCGCGCGTACGTGCCTGTCCAACGGGGGCGGGATTGTTGTTGAGCACGGGGGACAGCCGCGGCGCGGCGGCGCTGGCGGCGACCCCGGTTTGCCGCGGCTGCAGCTGTAGCTGGCCGGTACTATCCGGAATGGCATTCGGGTTCGTAATGCGGGCGGGAGACGCTAGCATGCGCGGGTCGTGGTGGCCGGCGTGCGCCAACACGTTGCTGTCAAACACAATTCCGCCTGGATTCGCAGCTGCCGCCAGACCTATGCGGTTCACCCCCGCAACGTTATTTGCTCGGCTCGGCGACATGTCCTCCACCCGGATGGGCTGATGCTGGTGTTGCTGCTGGTGCTGCTGTTGCTCACCTACGAAGTTATCATCGTCCATGCAGTGCTGCATTAGCTTGGTTGTGCTCTTTATGCGGTGCTCCTTGTAGTGCCGCAGCTTCTCCGCGTCCTCGACGCCGCGGCCGGCACCAATCATCATGTCCGGCGCTGTTTCGTCCAACCAAGCGGTCCGTTTCTGCGGACTGACTTTCCGCTCGTAGTGGGCCTTCGCAGGGCTAACGGCCTCGCCGACGCTGCCTGTGCTCGGGTGAAACTGGCTCTCGCGGCCCTGGAACCCGGCGTGCCACAGGTCGGGATTGGTGCCAAACGGTACGTCGGACCCCGGCCCGCTCTTCGGTCGCCACTTCTTGCCGATGCGGCTCTCCTTCTGGCCGGCCCGACGGGCTTCTTTTTCCCGCTGGTGTTCGTCGGCGTCCATGTGGATCCTGATGAAAAACGTCCCCACCCCAGAGTTGTCAGTCATGCAGAATTGCAAGGACAGGAACATTTGTAATGCGCATCCCCAAGAGAGGCATAATCAATCCTGTTTTGGAATTTGTAATGCTGCAAACAGGACAAGGGGACGGCTTTGTAAGTAATGCGGCTGTGCTTGCTAACCAGCACTACAATTCAGCGAGAAGACTGTCATGCGTGATTCCCAAAACATTTGGATTTGTGTTGCAGATTTCCCATCTTGACTCTGGTGTGGGGACGTTTTTATACAGGATAATGTGGATCACGTGGTCGGGCAGCCGAACCGGCTCGGTTCGCGGGTCATTGGATCGTCGCATCACCGGAGCCATCACAGAAAGCGTTGGAACTGGACAGTTTGGGTCGAAAGTTGTGTTGTCACACAAGAATTCGGGCAAAATCAAATCAAATGATACCACAACCACCGCGAAGTTGTAAAAAGAAAATTTCAGCTGACAACTTTTCTCAAGTTCGTTGTACACAGAAAAGACCATACACTGCAAAAACGAGTACCGTTGCTTCCCGCGGTGCCTGCGCCGCCGAGGCCCAGTCCGTCCTTCAGGCCCAGCTTCCCTTCCGCGGCCCGACGGCGAAGCTCCATATTCTTCAGGATATACCGCTTCACGCACCAGTAGATCACCGCTGCCGCGAGTACGAACCCCAGACCGACCAGCACGATCTTCATGCTTTCAAAAAACGTCGCTCCGTCGTCGGTCGCTGGCTTTTGGTGGATGGGAGGGGCCTCGGTATAGTTCCACCGGGCACTCCTGTACACGGTCTCGTTCTTGGTCTGTGTGAAGTTTTTCTTTTCATTGTCCTCAGTTCATCGTGCTACTTAGTTTAGTGCAACAGTTGAAGAGATGCATGTTCCCTCATACATAGGCGTGCCCTCGGATGCCTCTAGATCCATCATCCAAACAGGCACAAGAAAGAACAGAAGTCACATACGTAAAACTAAAGAAAACGCCGAACATCTTTACCATCCACGTCGTGACGTCGTTTTTGTTATCGGTGCCCGCACCGATGGACACTAAGCCCTTCGTGAGGTCCTCTGGGTGGAAGATGTAGCAGTTGTAGAGCCCCTGTTCCGGGTCGGTGAAGTTCAGCCCGTCCTGCCACTGCTTCGTGACAAACGCGCCGCACTTGAAGTAGCCCAGCTTCATGCACTCCTCGCGACACTGACCCGTCAGGTGTTCCGACAACCCGAAACGCCGGTTGTCCGTGACGTTCGTGGGCAGGTCGACGGGATCGCTTTCGAAGCGGAAATGGAACGTGTAGCGCACGCCCGACATCCAGGGCAGGTGGTTCTTGGTCGGGTGAAACAACCGGTCGGTACCTGTATTTGTAGTATCAATCCGCTAAAAGTCGATCTAAAGAGCAGGAGTGCTAGCGCTCATTCTCGTTTACTTATGCCGCTGGTTTCGTCATTCTTGGTCATGCTGTATGTTACTTTGAAAAGTCGGTAAGTAGGTTGAAGTAGAACTACTTTCTTACAGTGTGGCCGAATATAGATGCGCGATCGTATCCGTTTGTTCTCGTCGGTGGCGTTGCGTATCTCGTAAGAGAGTGCCTTCACGTCCTCGTTCCGCTGCAAGTCTGATACCGTGTCGACACAGAAAATGTCGAAGCTCCCGTTATAGTCGCTGTCCCAACTGTGAGTTTGAGTAGAATATTATCAACGGATTTTTTTCCTCGAACCTTTGGCATAAGAGGTACTAGCTACTGCTACGTAAAATTGCTCTATAATTTTTTTTGTTTTCTATTTCTTATACACTGTAATAAATTGATTCCGAGCCCCGGGCAGCAGCTCCGCAAATAAACAGTGACACTCTAGAGTACGCTTGTACCTCGCACAGCTTCTGTTGAGGTTCTCACTTGCGTAGTTGTCTTTCCACAGCGTCAGGTTCAGTGTGGCTTCGCCGACGCGAAAGGGAACGATGCCGTTGCGCATCAGCACGGTGGTCTCGTACTGCGACGGTGCGAGGTAGGACAGTGAGTTGTGCATGTAGCCTGTGAACCGCCGACCCCCGACCATGAGGAAGAAGGGGTCGCTCTTGTGGCAGCGGATCGGCGGATTCCGCGTCTTCGGCTCGCAGTAGTCCCATTCCGGACCGTTCTGATCGTTTGTGTAGCACCTGTTTGGATTTCAAGGCACGTAAATTTTATTTGAGAATCCAACATATTGACACTCGCTTGTTCACAGCAGCTCCACGAACCACAGTCAACCGACCACTCGTGATGCAACTCTCTGTTTTATACTGTTGTTCAGTAGTACTCACAAATTTTTAACAAGAAGGAAGCACAGTGCGCCAGTCGGTGTGAAGAGCGTCTGTGTCATGCTTACATTGTCAACAAAACAAAAAAAGCACAGCTCTCGCAATAAGTAGTACCAGATCGCCTCACTCGTGTAGAGCACTTTTGACGACGACCCGGGTTCGCGGCCATCGGGGTTTGCGCAAAAGTTGTTGCGGAGCATGATGGAGTAGAGGTTGGCGCTTTTGCGGGATGGGTTGCTGTTGAAGGGATCCCCGAGCGGGTCGTACACAGGAGAGAACGTGTGCGCCCGCGGCCACTGGCGATCCCAGGACTGGCACTGCGACCCCCCGAGCGTGAAGGACTGGCAGCCACGGTAGCCGTTGAAGGACAGTTTCTCCTGGCAAAACTCCTGCATGAAGGGCTTCGGAAACGAAATGGACAAGTCGTCCGCCGCGTGGCTGTAATCGGCCTTCAGCAGGCTGTCGTCTGTGAAGTGGTCCTCGGTGTGGTGCGGGTGGTCCGACTGCGACCCGGGCGACTTCCCCTCGAGTTGGTAGTAGATGCGCATGGGGATGTGCTGCGAGTTCTGTCCGTAAAACTCCTCCAGACTCAGCGTCGTGGACTTCAGCGTCTTGCGCCGGTGCAGGACGTTCTCCAGAATGGTGTTCGTCACGCGCGGCAGCCCGTTGGTCAGGCGCGTTTGCAGGGCGGTCTGGAACTCCCGGAGCCGCGTTTGGTTGGACTGGAGGTTGGACGGCGGCAAAATTTCCACGTAGAAGTCTTCAAGCAGGAACTCGACCCCGTTCTCGACCAGCAACGAACGGGAAAATGCTTGCTCTGTCTCCTCGCTAGCGCACTTGCCCCCGCTCAGGGCACTCAGAGTGATGTCTTGCTCGTTGCATCCTCGCGCGAGACCGTGTCCTCTCGACAGCGATGGCGTATCCGGCTCTTCAATTTCGTGGAGCCGCCGGCTTTCTGCGATTTCCCGATTCAGTCTCTCGAATTCATCCTGCTCTCGTGCGATTTGCAACCGCTCTCGCGCGCCTTCATCCTTCTGGTCGTGGCTTTCTTTGCTTTCCAGCAACTGCCTCATCAGCTCGATGTCCTCGTGGCTTGCATCATTCTTCATCGGGAGTGGTTTCGAATGCTTGGACGTCTTCTTCACCTGCTCTCGCGGAGAAAATGGCTGCCGGGCCGAGTTCGGTATCGTATTGCGCACCTCCGGCAGAACTAGTTCTTCATTGCCGGTTTTGGTGCCTACTTTTCCGCTTCGCAATTCTCTGTCGGGCGGCACGCGTACTCTCTGGCGCCCACCAGTCTCGCGTTCCTGCTTCGAGCTTTGTTCTACTTTTCCAACATGTTTATTGTTGCTGGCACTGCTTTCTTTCGATCCTGCTTTTGGTTCAGACGCATAATTTTCTGGCTCCTCTAACCTCCTACGCGCGCGCCGCTGGACGAGTTTGCGCAGTCGTTCGCGAACAGGATCGCTGTTCCGTCTTTTCCTCGCCGGCGAGGTGCGAACGTCGTGCTTTTCCTTTTTCTTTTTCGCCGTGCTTGTGTAGTAGGTGCGGGACTTGTCTGGATACGAAAAATCCTTCCAGGGATTCTGTCTTGAATTCTTTCCGGACGATGACGATGAGGACGTCGCTGCATTTTTACTGCTCGTTTGGGAAAAGGAGGACGCAGATGCGCGAGGTCCTCGTGCGAAAGATTTGTGTCCGTCCACCTCCACACCATCTAGTTTCCGCCTGCCTACTTGCCACGAGCTGCTGCTACTCGACGCACTCTGCTCGTACCCTCGCCCGAGCGACACCACACCGTCACTGCGGGGCGACCCAAGCTTCTGCATATGCAACGACGCGTCCAAATGAGCAACACCGCCGCGCCTAGCTGAAGATGCAGATGATGCGGCCTCTGGTTCGGTTGTATGGGCGGAGGTGGTCCTCTTTCCTTTCGTGGACTTTCCGTGCTGCTCCGCGGCGGAATGACGACTCGCTCCTTCGCGGTTGCGCCTACTCGTGGTCACTTCTCCGGATCGTAGAGGTTGTGATGTCGGCTCTTGTTCTACAAAACTCGCAACCATTTTTGGTTCTTCTATCAGCGCGCGACCGGTTGGCTTTTCGTGCAGCACCTCCAGCTCTGACGCTCTCGACAGCTGCTCATCGATCGGGGAATCTCTGACACCGTCGTGCGCGTCTTCTGCAATCGCCCCATCCTCGCCGTCTGTTATCTCCTGCAGCTCGCGCCGCAGTTCAGAGTTCCGCACCCACTCGATGCCCGTGATCCGAACGGCCTGCTTTGGCAAGTCCAATTGCGTCATAATGCTGTCGCGCACGATGAGCGGCTCGTGGACGCCGATTCGACGGCTCTGAAGCATGATCTCGCGGTCGTAGGCATCCGCTGCGGGTACGTTAATATCAAATGCAAAAATGTCTGGGTCTGGAAGATTCTGAAACTTGTCATGCACGTTTAGCATGGGCCATGATGTCTGTAATGCATGCCGTAGCATCACAGACTTTATTTCGAGGGCTTCGCGATGCCTATTCCGCATGGCCAATGCCCTCTCCGCGTAGCCAAAATTGCCTTCCCTGTGCTGGTCATGCAATACAGATTTTTTTTGGAATCCAAATGCAGCATCACAAGTTCGGATTCTTCCAGACCCAGACATTTTTGCATTTGATAGTTAATCGCCGGGTCGAACTCGGAAACCTTGTACTTCAGCCGCATACGGGCCAGCAGCACGTCCATATCACGGAGCTCGGTCGTCCAATTCGGATCCATGAAGGAATACCTGAAATTGATACAATGTTGGATCCTTTTCGAGCACGGCGAATGCGACGTGAGCAAGCACAATTTCTCGAGTTGTCACATGTTGACGGTAGGTTGCTCAGCCAGACGAGGTACAAAGAGTAGAAGCGAGATGCACTTGCAAATGTAAAAAATACCACCACGAATCCGGGTTCCCGCGTGTGTCGAGCTGGTACTGCTCTGGAATGGCCTGCTGCTCTTGCACAAACATGGAGTTTTGGTCCACCTGAGAGTAATAATCACTTGTGCTTTTCTAGTTGCACCATTTGCATCCCGTGGTTTTTCTGCACCAACCATGTAGTACGACCAACCAGACGGAAAACAAGAAAAGCCACACACTACACATTGAACCAACTGAGGACGAGTGACCTAGTAAAAATATCTGTGGACAAAAGCTAGTGCTGCAGCGCACTGTATTTACAAAAAACACGAAAACAAGTACATCAATCTGCAGCTTGTTGTTTGCAATGGTCCAGCACCCGGCGCGCTCGAGGTAGCCCTCCTTCCGGCAGGTGGTTATCTTCGGCCAGGGCAGATACCCGCTCTGGCATTTGACGGTGCAGCGCGCTCCCGCGGCGATCCTGGAGCCCTCCCAGCATGGGCGACTGGGATCCAGGTTACTGCCCAGGGGGTACCCGCAGGTTACCGCGCCCCGTTTTCGCCAGCAGTCGATCGAGGGATTCTTGTCCGCGAGCTCGATGGCCGATGCACTGTCCATGGAGAACGCGGTCCAGGGCGGGACCGTGATCTTCTTGTATACCCACCCGTACACCCGGCACATCTGCCGCACTTTGTTGTACGCGAAACCTGTTGTTTTTGTTGTGATTTATTTCGAAGCTAGAAGAGAAGCTACCGCACCTGCAATTTTTATTTTATCAATGAGTTGGAACAATAAAACACGCCCAATAAAAACGACAAAAACACGAAAGGCGATGCTACCAGTTGCCCATTCTTCGTCTAGCGTGGCTTGAATGCAGTCCTTGTAGGAAGCAGTTTTTGCGTAGTGGTAGAGTTCCTTGCGGGTGGTCAGGGACTCCCCCGCCTGATTCAGACATTCTCCCGGCCCCACAAACTCGAAGGCCCGCCTCAGTGCATCCGGGTCCACGTCGGGCGCCCAGACGGGATTGTACTCCCAGACCGCGCCTCCATGGTTGCTCATCGCATGGTCCAGCCGGGACTAAGCGTGTTCCGTGGTCCGGGTGTATCGCTACGCGGCGGTTCAACTCGTTTCTTGGTCGGATTCGCAGTTCGTTGTGCGAGAAATGTTATAACTTGTCGCCAAGACGCCCAGTCACGTCTGTCCGACAGCGGACGTCGTAAAGAACGCAAACGTATGTACAATGGGTAAGAAGAAGCAAGTAGTGCCTCCGCTTTGAAGGAGGTGCCGAAAAGACGGTAAAATCAGTTCAAGTTGTGCAAGGAAGTCGAAATTCGCTTGCCGCCGTCTTGCGGCCTTACAAAAAAATGCCAAACAAAGATCCGTGAACTAGGGCAGAGCACAAGAATTCGAAACAAATTTAGTGGTGAAAGTAGAGGGAGGCGGGAGGAACATGCTCATGCAAGGGTGATGAATTCGAAAGGGAAATTCGGTACTAGGACCGCCTGCTCCGATTTTATTTCTGTCTGATGAAACGGTTGTAGACCAAAGACGCCGGCCACAAGGTTGATCAGCCATACGAAAACTCAAGGAATCCAGCGACAACGCCGACTCCATCGAGGAAAAACCAATCTCGATTTGACGAAAAAACATCGTGCGCACTCAAAGTGAGTACGTGTTCAATTTGCAACACTATCTCGAAATCGAAGAAATCTCTCGTCCACTCCGCTCTGTTGCATGACTTTTGTTGCATGTAGCAGTAGCTTCCACCTCCCTCTCGAATAAAAACTTCTCTAGCACTCTCTCGAATAAAAACCTCTCGTCTAGCACCACTTCCTCCCTTCTCACTCTTTCGTCTCCGATCGCAACCTACGGCAAATATGATGAGCACGACAATCATTAGCACGACGTGAATCTGCATGAAACCGCCATGGCCGCAGCGTCATTGACTCCTGCTCCCGGGGTGCAGAATTTTTGATTCACAAAACTAGAGCTCTGGTCATTCAAAACGATGGCACGTGTTCAGAGTTTTTCTCGATGGCTAAAATGTCCAAATGTCAAAACAGGAGTACCCAAGAAAATGTTTGTTTAGAAGTGAGCAACATTTTTACGAACATGTCGATGACACTGTGACTATCTTCACTGACACTGAAGTAGATGTAGATCGCTGAAGTAAAAGTATTACATTCAAATATCGAGTGGGATAACTGCACTATCATCTACTTATGATGTTGACACCCCAGAGTTGGTCGCAGCCGCCTCTGCGCGTGCCACACTCGCCCAGGCCATACTAGACCTGTTCCCTGGACGTTTCCGTCGCGTTTGCATGTAGCCCTTTCGTCTGCCACTGTATCGGTCGTTGTCACGCTGCACACAATAGTGTCTGCGTCCCACTGGGCGATGAAACCCCGGACATCCCGGACCACAAGCGAAGATCCTCTTCCTCCACCTGGGAGCCCTCGATGATATGCACCCCCGACTCGCGGGCGTAGGACCAACGGTCGTTACGAAAAGAATCTTCTCGGTACATCCGAAGCATGCCGACTAACGACCAGAAAACGTTAAACTCGACCAACACGTGCATCTTTTTACTTCTTGGTAGTCGCTGCTTTCACATATGAATGTTAACCTGCTGACGCAAAAGAAACGAAATGCTCCAGTGAATCAATTCTCGTTCTCCAAAATGTTCACAAATCATCAAACGTTCAAAAGTCAATAGCGAGGCTACTGCAGGTCACCATCCGAGTTTACGCATAAGAACAAAACTGCACACAATCTATCACATGCAAGAGATTTTTTTTCACACCGAAAAAACAAAAAGTAGGCTTTGAAAAAAAGCTGCTTAAGATCGCATAGCCACTATGGATAAATGGCAATGGGTATCTTGCACCGGAAGATAAAAAAGGGATCGACTTGGGCTCACTTTTACACACTGTCCAGAGTTTTTGTTTGATTATCTTATTTTGCATGCAACGGTGAAAACGTTAGTTTATGATAGCAGGCGAGGCTGCCTACGTACTTCTGTGTTGCACAGTGCATCTCATGTTAATGAGTCACTCTTTTTCTCTCAGTCTCTCCCACTTCGTTGCATGTGCACTGTTTGGTCCTTAGTGACGTTAGCTTACATCGCACTCCAGGTCAATGCGAAACACAGGAACAACGCATGCGTCGAACGATCTCTACTGAGTTGACATTTCGCTGTCAATCTTCTTATTCTAAAGTAGGTGTAGATGGTTGGTTCGGCACATAATCGTTTCGCAGAAGAGGCACATCGTGACTTTTCTATGGATGTCAAATGGGATTCGTTGTTATTCACAGCAAGGGAATATCGACTCTGTTTTCGTACTACGACTGAAGCGGCTGCTCGGTCGAAAACACAGTCATATGCAAACTTCGATCTAAACTCTACGAGATGTTGACGGCTTTTCATTTAGTGAAACGTCGACAAATACGATGTTTTCGTAGTACTACGGAATAATTCTACTGTATTCACTGTATTTCATCTTTAGTATACGACAAAACTGATCCATCGGTCAAAATTTTTCGCTGCTGCCTGGTTCTGGTTGAGGAGTACAACACTGGAGCAACTCGGCCCGTCTTCACACCTTGATAGTCGCAATCGGCAGCGGCTCCAGTTGCGGACCCCGACGGCTTCCGCAACAGGGCAAGGGGCAGTGCAGCCTGGACAAGTAGTAGTGGCTGCCGCTCGAGGAGTCGGCGTAAGGATCGCACGGCGTCTGCATCATCGCGCGGCTGGTACTACTGCCCCCCGTGCAACCGTTGTCCGAACCGTCGACATCTTTCATCTTCAGCACGAATCCCGTCCCCCAGTGGCTGCTGCTGTGGTCGTTCATGGGGTTCGGTTCCTCCACCGCAGCGTTGTCCAGCCGCTGCGCTACGAACGCGGCCACCTGCTGCTCGATCAGGTTGTGGGCGGCGAGCAGCAGGTTGAAGGACAGTGCGGACCGCATGTCCCTCGCAAACTATCCTGAGTAAAAACGTACCCACACCAGAGTTAGGATGAGGATTTTGCAACACAAACCTAGGAGTTTTGTGAGCCACGCATGACAAGTTGAGCTCTGCAGTGTAGTGCAGGTTAGCAAGTGCAGCCGCATCACAAATCCAGCTGCTCATCCTGTTCACAGCATCACAAATTCCAAAACACGACTGGAAATGGCTCTCATGGGGATGCGCATTACAAGTCTTCCTGTCTTTGCAAATCTGCATTACAACTCTGGTGTGGGTACGTTTTTACTCAGGATACAAACAGGACGGGGCTCATGTCGATCTCGTCGAACTCCACCCGGGGGACCGGCCGCGCCTTATCAAATGTAAAAATGTCTGGGTCTGGAAGGTTACCAGGTTTGTCATGCATATTTTGCACCTAAACTACCAAAACGCCACAAAGACCTTTTTTTTTTGGCTCGGACCCCCCACCCGCCCCAGCGATCTCGGATGTGAGTGTGCCCAGTCATGCGCAAAATCTGACCATGTCATGACCAAAAGGTTTATACACAGCTGCGGAGTCGCATGGAAAACAGAAAACTCCGAGCGGGCAACATCGCACATGCGCGACCGGCGGAAACGAGAAGTAGGGAACAAGGGTGTCTAGTAAGGAGGAATGCAGGCCTCCCCCCCGTAGGGTTGAAACAGGTGAAGCAGATATGTGCGACAGGATTAAGGTACTACGCGTCCATGTCGGTGTGCGTCGCGGCAGCGCTAGGTAAAGAAGTCCCGGCCCGAATCTGGTGAACCACCAGGGGCTAGAGGGTAAATGAAAAGCGGGAGAGCAGGCCCGTAAAGTAGATTGACGCGGAGATAACAGCAGCCGGGTAAAATGTCGTTGGAGCTGGATACCGGAGTGCAGGCCGGGGTGCCAGCATATAGATTAAGAGTAAAAAGCAGATCGAGGGGCGCAGGCCTCGAGCAAATAAAATAAGTCTTCGGCTGTCTGCGCATAAGTTCAGTTCAGTTCAGTTCAAACGCATTGTCCTGTTTCAGTTAAAGTAGTTCTTGTAGGCTGAAGTCGTCGCTTGGATCGTGGACGTGCGTGCATTTCTATCGTCTTTGTTTCCTTCACTCGGGATCGGGTTCCTATCGCAGGATGTAGGTCCCATCATCTTCCTTCTGGAACCAGATGCCCGCTACACTGACCTCTTCCCTGCCCGTATTTTCACAGAAGAAGACCTCGCTCACCTCAAAAACCCACTGCGGGTCATCTTCCAGTTCCCAAAAACCTGCCCGGGCATCTGATGGCCTCCATTTTTTCCCCGACAAGGCATCTACGACGGCCTGTGCTGCTTGCGCTTGCTCTTCCCGCTGCTTTGCTAGCCGCTGGCGCCTTTCGTCCTGCATTTCCTTGGCCTTTTTGGACGGCTGCCCCGGCGCTGGCCCTGTCTTTTTCGTTTCCCGTCGGGCCGTAGCATACGGCCGACGCTTCGCCAGCATTTCTCGGACTACCGCCCCTGTTGGTTTTTGCGCCTTCAGGTCGCCGAGCTCGACCCGGTAGTGGTCGAGATCGGCAGCTGCAAGATTTCCCCATCGCGTCTTTTCGCGTATCTCGTTCTCGATGCGGGTAATAGACCCTTCCCCGTGTGGATCTCTTGCGGCGTGAGCCATCCAGGCTATTCGTTTTTCGCGAAGCTCCGTCTCTATGGTCTGCACCCCCAGCGCCTTACACATCTCAGCCCGTGGCGGCGCGTCCTGCCACTCCCACAGGCCGAGGATGTACCTGAGCGCCTGCCTTTGGAAGTTTCGCAGCGTCTGTTCGTCCGCTTCCGTGGTTGCCCAGGTTTCGGCGTTGTAGAGGGCCACGCTGATACAGAGCGAGCGATACAGCGCGGCCTTCAGGTGTTTCGGGATGTCCCTGTCCCGCCAGATTTTCCACAGCGACCGCACCACGCTAAGCGCCATGGCACAACGCCGCCGGGTTTCCGACGAAGTAGTTGCGTTCCGGTCGATTTCTGTTCCTAGGTATACGAAGCGCGCCACCGCTGCGATCTGTTTACCGTCGTGCCAGATGTCGACCGGCTCTACCCCCGGGGCCTCCTTTTCGGCTTTTTTCTTTTGCTCGACCACCCGCGCCACCCTGAGGGTTCTCTGCTCGTGGATCGTTTTGTCCTTCCTGCAGAACCCGGTCGCGATGTGATACCTCAGCGCCTTTGCATCCTCCAACACATCCCCACACCGCGGGCACCGGTGTTCGTTGTGCTTCTCGAGGATGTACTCGCGGCGCCCCAGGCGGGTAAGCCGCATGGCCTTCCCGTTGTCCAGGATCACCCAACCGGAGGCCTTCATCTTTACCACATTGTAGTGGCCGTCATCCCATATCAACAAATGGGTTGGGCTCAGGTCCCCCATGCGCCTGGTGCACACCTGCGCCGCTGCGTCTCTAAACTCTTTGCGCAAGTCCACCCCGTCCCACTCTACTAGTGTGCCCTCGGTGGTTGCGACCCCCTCTTCCTCTGGTATGACGCATCGCTCTGTCATCGCGTGTTCGTTTTTTCTGTCCCTGCTGGGCTGGTTGACAACCATCACCTCGGTTTTTCCCTTGTCCGCGTTAAGCTCCAGCCCGACGAACCGGCAAGCCCCTGCCAGTTCCCGGACTGCAAACTTTGCGTCTTCCTCGGTGCCGGTCTTCACCACCAGGTCGTCTACAAACCCAAGCAGCCCCATGGCGAACCCTCTGGCCTGCGCGCTGGACCACCGTTTTTCGCTTTCCATCACCCCAGCAAACTGCGTGATTGCGAAATCAAGAACGATGGCAAACACAAGCGGGGACAGCGAACTGCCCTGCCTTATGCCTGCCCGCTGCTTGATGTGCTTGGTGTAGCGGTCCCGTGCAAGCCGGATGCAGACCGTAGCGCGGCCATCGTACATGCTGCGCACGACTTGGCCGATGTATTCAGGCAGCCCCTGGCGTCGGAGAACCTTATACATGACCGCCCAGCTGAGACTGTCAAACGCCTTCAGGAAGTCGGCGAAGCCGAGGTACGCCCGGCGTCCTTCCCTTTTGCATTTTTCCATGTCGCGCAGGATCTGGAAGACCCCATGCCTGCAGCTGAGTCCGCGCGTGCACCCCTTTTGCCTTTTGTCGATTGTCGCCGCCGCTTCGGTTTCTATCCGTTTCAGGATTATGAGGCCTAGCAACTTTTCGCCAAATGTTAGCAAAGCAATCGGCCGGTAGTTCTTTGCCTGACTTTTGTCGCCCTTTTTGTGGAGCATCGTGAGCACCGCCTGCCCCCAGGCTTCGGGGACTTCCTCTCCCCGGAAAACCCGGCGGACAAGCGACGCGACCACAGCACGCGCGAGTGCGCAGTCGCGTATAAGCTCCGCCGGTGCTACCCCTGCAAAGGCCTTGCCCGCCTTCAGCCCGCGCAGGGCTTCGTCGATTTCTGAATCGGTTGGCGCGACTTCCCAATTGCCACACCACTGCGGTCGGTCTTCTTTCAGAAGCGCCTCTTCGCACTTTCTGTAGCTCAGGGTGCTCTTGGCTTCTTCGGCCGGTTCGGGGCGGGGCTCGCCGAAAATTTTCCCCCAGAAAGCTGTCCACATTTCCGGAGGCCCCGGCAGCTCCTGCATTGGCTTCCGGGCCTTGCCTGCCAGCTGCCTGACAACCTCGAAAACCGCACGGGAGTTGCCGGAATTGTCGGCCTTGCGTAGCTCTTCCAGCTTGTCCTTGACCCAGGCGAGCTTGTCCTCCTTGACGCAGGCTCTAACAGCCCTTCCGAGCCTGCTTACCCGCTTCTTTGCGTCCCGGCCCCCCTTTTCCATCGCCTTTCGTCGTTCCTCGATTTTTGCCCATGTCTTCTCGGTGATCCAGGGTTTTCGCGGTCCCCGTTTCACCTCCGCCTTTTTGCTTAATTTGTCGATGGTGGCAGCCAGAGCTTCTTCAAACTCCACCCACCACTCGTCCGTGCTTCTCGCCCCGGACTCGATCCCCTCTGTTACGACCCCAACATCGAAGATTTTCTCCAACTCCTTGCTGGTGTCCTCAGCAGCCTGCTTCGTCCGGATCCAGCTGCTCACCCCTCCGGGCTTCCTCGGCTTTTTTGCTACACTCAGGCACAGCTCCGCAACCACCAAGCGGTGGTCGCTATGGGTGTAGGTGTTGCCGTGCACTTGAAAGCCTCGCACGAAGCCCCGGTGGCGCCAGGAGATGAGAATTCGGTCGTATTCGCGCTTCCTCCTGCTTCGCCCGGCCCAAGAGCCTTCGAAGGTATACCGCCTCGACCACGGTTTTTGAAAAAGGGAGGATATGTCTACAAGCTCGGCCGACGATGCCAAAGCCTGCAGACGCGCGGAGTTGTCCGACTCGCGGGCAAAATCTGAGGTCAATCCACATGGGCCCACCGTGTACGGGAGACCGGCGGCAATCAGCTCGCGCTGTGGACCGCCCGCCATCTCCGCATTCCAGTCTCCCATGGCGATCACGATGTCCCTGTTGCCATGAGCCGAGACTTTTTGCTCCACTCGGTTCCAAAAGTCATCTTTTGCCCCGGCATCGGCAACATCGGTGGGGGCGTAGCACCCGTGGATGTGGATCCGCTGACCTTGCGGCGTGCGAAGGGATAAACGCCCACGTCTTCCCCACTGTTCGGCATCGTAATCCACCACCTCCAGGTTGGCCCGGATCAAGAACAACAGTCCTCCGACTGCCGCCCCTACTGCGTTTTTCCACGCCCCGCCCCCATATAGCACGCACTCAGCATACTTTTCCCCGTTGATCCACTCCGTCACCCGGCTTTCTTGTGTTGCTACTACGTCCAAATTACGTGCCCTGGCATCCCGCAGTAGGCATTCTGCCTCAACCGATTTAATTCCGCTGTCACCCCTTTCCCCCAGTGTGAGTACATTGAGGGTTCCGATTCGTAGCTTATGTACTGCTTGTACCCTGCGCCGGACTCGGGACGGTTCCTCCGTCCCGGCATCGCTGCCGCCTGCAGCTAGGTTCCTCCCCGCTGCGGGGGCTTCTGCGGGTGGGCACGGTGTAGGGGCGGTAAACATTTTAGGAACCTCCGATCTTCTTATTGTCAAAATCGGCTCGCTTTGATCTCTTGGTGGGTCTTCAGAGATCTTCGTCGAACACAAAAAACGGTCTTCCAGTTATTTCCACGTATGCCGCGCGGCCCTCCAACCGCGAGGCTCGGAATTCTGGGCTGGGTGATCAGGTGTAGTAGGAAATCTTCACAAAAAAGCTCTTCTTTTCGATAGTAATGCGATTGCCTGCAAAAAGCAACGTGGCTGGCCTTCCACGCGCCCGACCAGGTTTATCCGGTCACTGGTCTAATCACTTCAAACAACCCGGTCTCTCTCCTGCAATGCTCCTTGCTGCAGGCAATCTCACCGCGACGTCACGTCAACTAGACCACAAACAACAACTTTCTAGCCTCCAGCACCCCCGCCCCTCTAGTCTGTCGCACTGCGTCTGGGCTAAAGCTCCTCGACCGTCAACTTCAACTTCAGCTTCACACAATTCGAATTCGGTCTTGCAGTGCAACAGAAAGATAAAAAATCATCGATATGTTCCTTGGCAGAGAGAGAGACAACACAACTTCCGTCATTCGCGATAGTTCTTTTTTCTTCTTTTGGTAAGCCCCCCCCGCAGCGGGTTTCCTGCGCCCGATCGTATAACTTCCTGGCTATCGTACACTTCGATCTAGAGCGTCGCCCCCGTTGCTGGTTCGAATTAAAGTCTTCGTTTCCGATGGTCGAACAAAAAAACTTCTCTGTCAACTTGTAAAAAAAAACTCAGGTCATGACTCGCCACTTTCCATCAGTAGGTAGTCGAGTTCGGCGTGCACGCACACATCTTGACGTCTTTATTGGAAATTCAGCTTCTTCCCCTGCATTAACAATCCACTCCGCAGCACTCGGCCTAAGTCCACACCCGACTTCTTCACCACTACCTGGCGCGGTCGAGCGTTGGATGACGACGAGCTCGAGCCCGCGGCCGGACTCTTTGCTGCACTGGCAGATGCGGAGGCTGCCGTGTCAGCATCGGCTCCTGTGCTGCCCTTGCCACCTCCCGTCGCGCCCGGTTTCTGTGAGTCAGCCCCGACCGCTCCCTTATTCCTCTTTTTCTTCCCACTGTCGGGGGCTAAAAGTAAAGTAATATATTTATAATAATTAGAAGTGGACTACGTAAGTTCTATCTGAATCAGTAAACTCTGCGGAATACGGAGGAGCAGGAGCCGGAGCACGAATGTAAGACGGAGGGGAGAAAATGCAGGAACCGAGGTGGAGAAGCGAAAACGACGGAAGCGGGCACGTTCGGGAGCCGACATTTAGGAATCGGAACACAGGCCGGTCAGCTTCCGTAGAAAATGGCCACGTCGCAGGAAATCCCCGGAATCACCATCACACGCCGGTGGCCACACGCCGACAGCCGCAGTTTCGCCCAGGCAGCTGGAGCTTCACACCACTCCAAGTCGTAACTGTTCGGAGATGAAGGCGCATCCGCACCAGCAGTAGAGCCCGACAGTGGTAGTACGGGACGAAGGAGATCAGTGTGCGGGCGGATCAACGTCAGCAGGGGCAACACCACCGCCATCTACACGTGCATCGGCGGCCGCCGACGCTCTACATCGAAAACCGCAGGGAAACGGTATAGTCCCATGATGTTCACCGGTAGAACTAGAGGAGCAGCAGGATAGTGAAGATCTCAAGCGTGCAGAAATGAAAGTCCGACAACAGCAGCAGGCATGGTGTACGTAATACGCCCAACTAGATCGCCGCAGCCAGACCTCGAGGAACCATCCACAACCAAGAACCTTGGAAAAGTGGGGTCCCCGAAGTCCTGCATGGAAAAGTGGGGTCATGCATATTTTGCATGACTCAGGATGTCTGTAATGCATGATCTAGCATCACATATTTCTAGAGGCGTTCCTGATGCCTATCCCGCATGACAAATGCTCTCCCCGCGTAGCACAAACTGGGCGCCTCTTGCTGGTCATGCAATACAGATTTTTTTAGAATCCAAAGTTAGCATCACAAGTTGCATTCTTCCAGACCCAGACATTTTTACATTTGATACGCCTGCGGGTCGAACCACGAGTTGTAGGGGAAGGGGGTGAGAGCGGTGAACCGAATGTCGAACTTCGCGATGCTCAGGCCCGCGTTCGGCGTTGCCTTGTTGTCCTTCGCCAGGGCGCTGGCGAACTGCCGCGTGGCCGAACTGAATCCATCTAAAAGGCTCCGCTCCAGCTCCGCGTCGCTCGCACGCCTCATCAAGTCCAGGCTGTCCTCATCCACGCGCGGTAGAAAATGCTTCGCCGCCTCGTGGAAAAAGTGCAGCAAGCCCCGCTCTGTCGGCGTGCGGCCGGCGGTCGAGGTGACAGCGGGCCGCTCGTCGTCGTCGTCGTCGACCAGGTTGGGGGCGAAAAAAGAGTCGGCGTTTTGCTGTTGTTGTTCTCGGCGGTCTTCAGACGCCGACTGCGCAGGCGTGTAGTCGAAGCCGCCCCACTCCCGATTGTACAGATTCCACGCGGCGTCCTCCATCTTCTGCAACGAGTCCGCGTTTTCGACGAAAAACTGATATGTAGTGTGACGGTTTGTCGAAGAGAAACAACGATCAAGATTATAAAGAGACACTGTATAAAATTTCGTGGAACTACCTTCTAGTAGAAGCGAAGCAACTCTTGATGCAGCACAAGAAGCGACAAAAGAAATCTAATTCCTACCTCCACTTCCACTTTGGTTGACATTTTTAAATGGTACATCTGCACCCCGGAGAAGTACTCGTACACTGGCGCTGCGGAGGGTGCTCGCTCAAACTGGCAGACGTCGGCTGCCGCGGTCGTGCCGGGGGAACTTGTTCCGGGCGAAGAGGTTGCGCTGCTAATGGACAGTTTGCTTCCCGGCTGGTGTCGGATTTTGAAAGCGATTTTCGGCATCTTCCAAGCCAGGCCCTGCCAATTGAAGGCTTTGGCGTGCACCAGGTGAAAGAAATCTACGTGCGGGTAGAGATCCGCCTGCAGTCCGCCCTCGAGCGTGGCGCCGAGAAACTTCTCGGCCTGCTTTATCAAATGTAAAAATGTCTGGGTCTGGAAGAGTGCGCGATTTGTCATGCAGCTTTTCCATGACCCATGAGGTCTGGAATGCAGGACCTAGCATGACAGATTCTGTGCGATCTTTCTCATGCCTATCCTGCATGAGAAACTGCCTCCCGACTTGGTCAAAACTGGGCGACTTTTGGTAATCATGCAACACAGATTTTTGCATGCTTCAGATTTAGCATGACAAGTTGCATTCTTCCAGACCCAGACATTTTTACATTTGATATGCTTCTCGTCGTATACATCTTCGGACTCGAACATCCTCTTCTTCCACGCCGCTGTGTTCTCGTGCGCACAGAACAGACCCCGCTTCTGCTGCTGGTGGTCGGGCAAAGCCACGCCCTGCGTCCGGAGCTTCTCGTGCCGCTGCTTCAGCATGTCACTGGCCTTCGACAAAATTTTCTGCTCGGTTGTGCTGGCGTGCGACCCCGTGCTGCTCAGCGAGTCGGCCGACTTCGTCAGTTGTTCCTCTGAGGAACCGCGCTGGCCCGCTGCAGCTGCTTGCTCCTCCATCTTGGCCATTTTGGCGAGCATCGGCACGCCCTCGTTGACTTCATCCATGTCGCGGAAAAAAGCCCGAACCTGCGCTTTTCGCTGCGGGGAGCCATCGTCGCGCTTCGCCGCACTGTCCTCAAACCCAAACCACGAGGCGCCGGAGGTGTGGCGAAGGAGCAGGGACAGGCTAATAAACGACCTGCACATGGCATGGACGGGGCTCATCTTGATCTGACCAGCTCGCCTAGGCCTAAGTCCCTGACTTGCGGAAACAAGATGAAAGCGGAACCCCCTTGCGGAGAATAACGAGCTTCACTGGAGGTCTTCTGCCTTGCCAGCTTTCACAGTATGTTTGTCGACTTCCCAACTGGAAAGTGCAAGTGTTGGGGATCATGTGAAGTGATGATGAGAAAAAACACGATCACACTTCAAACGGCGTTGACATTTTGATACTCACACGCAAAACCACATACAAACAGAATCTTCAAGAACGCTTGTACTTTTCATCTGGCGCACGTGTCAAGAAGCGATCCCGTCACTCAGTGAGCACTTGTTGTTGTTGTTAGGTGATCGCTATATACTTCTAGTTCCACGGCGCAAGGCCCGGCAAGAGCTTCGCTTTTTGATATCTTATTTACCAGAAAAAAACCCTTTAAAAGGGTTTCTACTTCTAGGGTTTTCTAGGGGTCCCCGCGGCTCTCATGCTAGTAATGGCTTTCTTCGCAACATCATCCATCCAGCTGTTATATTTTCTTTTTTGTTTCATCTCCTCTTCTTGTCGCCCAGCGCACCACTTGCTGAGGCGATGCAGCACACTTCCCATGTTCTGCAGGTACAAACTCTGACGCGCCCACCGTTCGCTAGGCCCATCTGGAGACTGCTGCTGCGGCGATCCAGTCCTTAGACCACTGCTGCTCTCAGACCAGTTAGAGTATTCGTCTGTAGGAAGCGTTGAGAAACAAGTGCCGTCGCCGCTAAGGCCAAGAATGCTCTTGATCTGTTCTGATAGTTGTGTGCGATCAACTTCACTTTGTCCAAGTCCAACAAAACGATCGAGGCACTTTGTCGCCGTCCTCATAGTCATCGATAGCAGAAGAACCGCGCTGTGTCTCAAGGCGTGAGCATCCGGTGGTCCTGGGCCAGAATCGGAAAGCGCTGCACTAATAGTGTTCATTTCGCCTGCCACCTTTTGCTCTTCACTCGCGCCCAAACCGTACCAAAGCAATGTCATGGCTTCAGAAGCAAAGCTCGTCACGAAGGTGGTAGACGCGATGTTCCTAGCCGACGACGCAACGCTCGAGAATAAATCCGCATTTGTCCTGACTCTTCTTATGTTGGCCTCTGGACCCCACACGGATACGATGCCGGGATGCAAATCTGCACGGAGGCGGTAATCGACAAACTCGGGGACACACACGACGCTGCTAGCGACTTCTCCTCTGCCGCTCTCACCCTCTGCACCTGGTCGACTTCTCCTCTGCTTCAGCGACTTCTCCTCTGCTATATCTCGCAGTTGAAGAAGAGCGCCGTCATCCAACGCCGGCGTCACCAGCAAATGTGGCCACTGAGCTACGTTCTCTTCTTCACGACCAGAAAACGCAGCAAAAATCTTCTCAGCCACCTTCCATTTTCTGCCTTCGTGTGGCGTTTCCTGTGATCGTGGTGAACAATAAATTTGAAAACTTTCACGAGGTTACGATCCTCAAACGTATGGGGTGTTACCAGTTGCGCACTCCATTATTGCGCGTGTATTGGGTTCACAAACAAGCCTGACAGCGTGCAATCAAAAATCCATCATCGCCGTTCTTTCTTCTGTATCGTTCCTCGTCGTGTTTGCATTCATATGCGCGCGCTACGCTATAGGCTATTTATTAAGTACGATGCTACGACAGTGGTTGTACGATAGTCCGAATAAAAGTGCTCTGAACGAATGCCGATAGTATGGCTTACTTTTGCACTCAAACAGAAATCAGATGGACGTCAATACCGATGACGCTTCGGGTTTGGTTTCAACATACGTCATCGGAAAATCAATCATCTTGAACGGGTTGGCCATGCTGCGTTGTTGAAAAAGCTGCGTCTCAGTTGGCCTCGCTGAGCTCTTATCGGCGCGCCCATTGCCCTCTCTGGTTTTAAGCTGATCGGCCCACTTGTCCTCGATGCCGGGGTAGGGCAGAAAGATGAAACCCGGTGGCCGGTGCATATCTGACGCCCTTGTTTCCGGCATTCCTGCTTCGACGCTTGGCTCTTGGCCCCCGGCTAAACCTGTGGCGTTGAATTTGAGCAACGGCAATGGCCTGTGTCTGTTCCGATTGAGAGTTCTTGCCACCATGATAAAACGAGTGCGGGGGTCCGGGCGAACAAACTAGCAAGGGGCGCGAAGATTGGGCGCCAGGGGCGCAAAGCATGACAACAATGGACTTCATTTCTTCACTCGCAAGCGATTCGCACGCACAACCTTCATCATTGGCGGAGTGTCCAGTAGATCCAAGCCCACGCCAACTGAAAAAAGCAAATCTTGCTGAGCAGCAGGCGCTGCCAAGGCCTGGCGCCTGATGCTGAAAAGTGTCCGTCGCCGCGACCCTCCGGCAGGCTTCGGAGCCTGGTGCTGCTCCGCCGGAGCTGTCCCGCTGGTCACCTTTGCCTTGGTGCCAGGACGTCGCGGGCCCGTGCCCGTAAGCGGCCGGCGCTGCGGCGCAGCAGGAACACACTATGGCGATGATGAAGCCGAAACCGTTGATGGCGCCGCGGCGTTTGCGGCACCCCTAGGCAGGCGAGGTAGTGACGGCCGTGAACTTATGGACCTCGTGACGCGCCCGGCGTGTGCGACGCGACTGCTATGGCGCCGGCGTTCGCGATAGCCTCCTCCTCCAGTGCTGTAGCACTCACGATACAAAGTGCTCGGCCCAGTAGATCGCGAGTTAGTGCCTGCGCCAATGCAGGCGCTCGCGCTTTCCAATAGCACACCCGGTCCCTACATTTGCGCCGGTCGCACGTAGGGCCCATCGCGACTTCTTCCGGCAGCAGCGGATCGAGCTGCTGCTTCACAAACTCATGGGCCCCTGGGCCCGAGTGCTGGCCGTGGTGCTGCGTAGGGTGCCAGAACTGAATGGCGCGAGATAGGAGGCTCTTGCGCGAAAAACTAACCGCCCGCGGGATTGGTGCACGTATTGCAATATCTATACCGCGGCCGAGTCTCCCGCGGCTTGGCCCGCTGTGCCGCCCGGCTCGCTGGCGGCGTTGCAGGTGGCCCCCTGTCGGGGCGTCAATTTGATCAATGCGAACAGCCCCGCTGTGCTGCCGCGGCCCGTAACACAAATTGGCTGCTTCACATATGCCCCAAGGGTGCGCTGCGCAATGTTCGCGGCGGCTGTTTCGGGTGCTTGAACCTTTGGCAGCTTTCGCAACTACGTGCCGTCCAGCTTAAGGTCTTGCGCCATCCATCCTGCGTAATGAGGAATGCCCCTCGCGTCGCTACCTCCCAAGGCTCGCGCCTGTGTCGCCGCACACCGCCGCCGCCGGTGGGGGCGCCGGCAAAAAGACAGCGCGCGCCGACGCTGGTAGATCTAATCCGGTACGGCTGGACGTGGCGCACCATGGTGCGCAAAGTTGTGGCCGTCTTCTCGACGGCCGCCCGCATTTCCCGCGGGCCCGCAAGACTATCAAAATACGTCGCGCCGGCCCAAGGGTGCAAGGCGCGAGGGAACTCGGTTCCGCGCCTGTCGTGTTGCGCGCGACATAGTTCGTTGGCAATCCCCGCGGCCTTCTCGACCGTTTTGATTTTCAATCGCTTCGCCTTGCATTCTGCAAGCAGCTGCGGGCACCGGTCAGCCGCAAGATGGGCCCTGCCCTGCGGCACCACGGTGCGCACCCGCGCCGGCTTCCCCGCCGCGCGACTGGTCCAAACATACCCGATCCCGGGCGCCCTCCCAAAATCGCGAGCGGTGCCGCTCGGGAACCGGTCCAGGCTGCACTGGTCCCCGCCGGCTTCGCGAATAGCGGAAGTCCAAGCGTGTCGGCTATTAATTGCGTCAGACAGCTCCCGGGCAAGCTGCGTGGCCTCCGCGATGACGGAGAACAGAAAGGCGTCGCCGATGTAAAGTGGGGCAGCCCCGCCTGCATGCCCGTAGGCCCGGTAGACGAATTTGCCCACCCGGCAGGCCCCTGGGACGCTGTGGCAGTTTCCCATAAGCAGCGCGGGCGACTCACTCGCCAGCCTCAGCCTGCCCGTCCCTCTGGCCCGGGCCGGAAAAATCAATGACATTCCCCCACCGCGCCAACACCGCGAACGCTTGCAAGGGCTTTTCGAAGTCGCGGGCGGTCCGCTCTGGCATCATGCCAGAAGCCGGCGCCCCCGCTACGCAGCCGCCCAACCCCAGCACGGCGCCGACGAGCTGCTGCGCAGCGGCCGTGCGGCCTCTCCACCAGCCGCGACGCCCACCCCTGTTCATGTCGCGGTAGCCTCTTATCTCCCTGCCTCTGTTGGCCTCCTCCTTCGGACGCGCCGGGCCTGGCTGCGCGACTAAGCTCCTGCGCCCCGCCTTTCGGCGGAGCCCTTTCGAGCTCACATCGCTCACGCCACCCAGAACACCACGGAGAAGCTTCGGGCCCCACCCGGTCGGCTCCGCTCCCGCGCCCGATGACGTCGGCCGCACCCAAAAAGTCCTGCGCGTCTTGATCGTCTACCTCGCTTATCCTTGGGTCTGATTGCCCCACCCAGGAGCGGTCGGAGTTCCCGGCTGTCTTGACTCCACGCAAGACACCCGCGAGGAGATCCCTGTCAGGGTGGTCGCAAAGTTGAGCCGCTTCGTGCATCGCAACGACATCACTGGGGTGCTTTCCCAGCCCAGTGCCTTCTGGACGTGGTCCGGCGCCGAGCGAAATAGGTCGAGACTGGGCCCGCGAGCCCGCTCCCCCATGTCCCGGTAGTGCCTGGCGCTCTGCCTGGCGCGCTCCTTCCAAGCAGCCCGCCCCGCCTTCGCCTCCCTGCCGCGGGTGTTTCCCTGCTTGTGTTGCGGATTTCCCCTGCGCCAGCGAGAGGCTTGTCGCCTTCCGCGCGTCACGAGTGCAGCTACGGACGACGAACAACATTTCTGCAGCCTGGTGCTGCAGCCTGTCATCCTGAGTCTACTCGTCTGCGCACATGGCGCTAGGTAGGCCGCGGGGATCTGATAACCGAGCGCGGACCTGCGCGACCATTTTCAAAAGAGGTATGTCGGTTCGCGCAGATGCGACCAAGTCCAGCTCCTTCGTTCCTCGCCGTCCGTAGCGCCGCCCCCGTGCCCCGGTCCGTCCCAGCTCAGGCGCGTTCGCTCCGCCACCGTGCCGCGTGTTATTCGCCTCCCGTCCTGCCTCCCCCGGTCTGGTACGGACCGCCGGATTTGTCAAAAGCAACGCCGACCCGCCATCGATGTTCTCGCTGCGTATTGCTCCACTGCTATGCACTGCACTTAGCTCTACTGGACTAGGGAAAAACTAAACTAGGCAAAAAATGTATACCAAAATCTTTGAAGCGTAATTCTTCATTGACGGCAAAATCGGCACAGAGTAGGAGGTCTTCGATTCTGTGTATCAGAGGGAGGAGCTCCTTATCATCTTCTTTTTTGACACCCCCTGGCGCGAACTGCACGAGCCGGCAGGCGCGATCCTTGGCAAATAGTCGATTGCCTTGAAGGACTTCCGAGTCTCCATCATCCGTAGTTTCAGTAGCGGAAGAAGCAGGTGTAGTAGAAGACTCTACAAAACTCGCCGCTGGCAACGTCGGCGTCCCCACCGATTGAGAAGTATCTAGAAAACCCAGCCGCTCGAATGCGTCCACCCAGCGCGCTCGTTGATAAAAACGGAAAAATTCGTCTGCCGGAGACGCCACTTCTGGGTAGACGCTATACCGCTTCAGTGCTTCGAAGAGAACTTCTACTCTATCGCATTTCTCTATGTCGCTTATCGCAACACTCGCGCCGAGGGGAGTGTCAAGTTGAAAGAGGCACGGGTCTGGAAATAGCTGCTGGAGATTCAGAAAAAAATCATGCGGCGTGCGCGTGGTCTCAACTTCATCCCCTTTTCGTTTTTCAGCGCTAGGGTGCGTGAACGAGAAAACTTGCTCAGTGAAGGACGTTCCTCCACTTGCGCCTTGTTCTTTTTTTGGTGTTGATGCGTCAGGTAGTGCAGAAAGGGAAAGCGTGCCGTCAGCATCGTATTGCCCGCCTGGAGGCGCTCCGACATTCGGGAGAGCTGCTTTGTCCGCGGGTATCCCTCGCGCGAGCTGTTCCGCTTGATACCGCTCAACCGGCGCGGCCGGTCTCGTATTTTGTTCTGGTGGATGCCGGTCCGGGTCATTGCTCATTTTGGCGTCAGATCCTCGCTCATTTGCCTGTCCCTCCTCCTTCCGCGTCTGGTGAGTTGTCGCAGACGAGGGCGGCGCGCTCTCTGTAGTCCGCCTTTGCTCCTTGTCGTCCAGGTTTTGGTTTTCTTTTTCTGTTGATCCGCTGTTATCAATGAGCCAAGATATTGCAGATTGCGCCATCGAAGTCAAAGGCGTAGACTCGTCATGCGCGCTGGCGGAGCCCGAAACTTTCTGCGACAGCGTTTCGCTCATCCTCCTCCTCGACGTATCCCCGCCCGAACTGAGTCCACTCTCGAATCGCCAGCGGTTATCGTCATGCAGGCCGCCTACTTGCTGCAAGCCAAGCCAAAGGCTAGCGCGCAGTGCAATGCAATGCAATGCAATGCAATGCAATGCAATGACGAGGCCGGCTCCGACAGTCTAGTCTTTTTTGGTTGCGGCGTCCGCCGAGCACCACAGCGAGGAGGAAAACCACAGCAGCAAGCACGATCCACACTCTTTCGCAAGCTGTCGCTTTGTCGTTAGTGAGGCCCACTTGCTGTAGATTTTTGTGGGCAGGTAGGGCAAAAGTTGAGGCTCTCATCCTGAAAATCAAATGACTTCTGAAATGGGCACTATCTTGCTTTTATCTACGGGCACAAGGTAGTCGCGAGCGCGAATAGCTCATAACTAAGTCAGCATCTAAAACTAAGTACCATGCACACCGTGGCGGAGCCGTTATTTTCTTCGGTCCCAGAACCAAAAAAAGCCGGGTCTTCTGGTGGTGTAATCTCCGCGAGGTGCAAAATGCAGCGACTATAGACATGCGCCGGCTTCGCAAGGCCTCTAGTCCAAATTTTTGTTTCACAAATAATGCCCCAGCTGCAGTGCTGCCAATCTTTGCTGAACTCCTCCCGACAGTGGCCGGCCAGGTGCTTTGAGAAGCCGAAGCGACAGCTGTCCAGCACGTTCGCCAGTAGGTCGTCTACGGGATGGCACTCGAAACGCAAGCGGTGCGGAAACGTGGCGGACCATATCCAGAGAAGGTGGCCAGCCCTAGTCGTTTGGTGAAATAGCCGATCGGCCCCTGTAATAGCGAAGGGTCAAACTCAAATCAAATTGCAAAGGGAGTTGCGGTTTTACTTTCTTCAACATTTTTGACTCGTCGCCAGATGAAAGAATGCACATGCACCGGAAGACGGTCAAACTCCGTAGACGTAGTAGGTAGAATTAGTACTTGGGTGCTTAACTCCGTGTGACCAAACACCAACTGGAAAACGTGTCCGCTTGTTTTGGTCCGTGGCATTTTTGCGTAGCTCGTGAGAGAGCGCATCGACGCTTTTTCTCTGCCGTGTGTCTGGCACTGGTAGCGGTACATAAACACGCTCTCCGTCGACATAGAAAACGTCGCTGCTCTTGCCATCCTTTGGCTCCAGCCTGTGAGTAATATTGTGAGGGGAGTCCTACACTACTTCTTCCCCAGCAGGCACATCACCTCTACCAGATCGCGCTTTTCTTTCTGATTTTCATGTCCAGTTCCCGGAAAGCTCATCAGGAGAAACGTCACTAAGAAACTTCCTCTGTACCTCGCAAAAATCCTACTAGCGCTCTCGCTCACAGTGGTGCTGTCCATCCACTTTGTCAGCGTCGGCGTCTGCATCATGTCCTGTCCAGTACGAAAGGCGGCGCCGGCGTGACAATTCAACAGCGCAGCGGTTTCGTACTGCCACGGCGGGACGAGGTAGGGCAGGAATCTAGAAACGTTGTAGTGCGCGAAGCGGCGTCCACCCCCGACCGTGATAAAGAAGAGGGCATTCGTGTGGCGCCGGGTGCGCGATGTCCAGGCTTCCAGCTCGCAGTGGTATGATTCCAGCGCCTCCTGGTCGCTCATGCAGCTGCACCTATTCCGATTTCCAAGAGAAAAGGCGAACTTTAGCGATTTACTTCATTGCATTCACAGCTTGCACACCACACCATATCGGCGCTTCTACACTATTGATTTGCCTCATGCGGAAGGGCTGGCGGCTGCTCTTGTTTCAGTGTCCTTTGACAAAGTCGTTAGAGCATCATAATGCCAGGTCTTCGCTGGGAGAGCAAGGCGGCCAAAACAATTTCGATACCACGGATAGGAAAGCCGGTTCTTCGTGACCGGATGAAAAAGACGGCCAGTGACTGCGATGAGGTTATTGCGTAAGCAGTTGCAAAAGCGATGACGATGACCCACTTTGTTTGATAAGATGACATGGGCTCTTCGTTGTCCCTCGGAGGTAGCACCACGAGGCTTCACAGAGATTTGCTTTTGCTGCACCTAGAACAACTCAGATAGAAAAATGGTCACGCGTCCACCAATAGTAGCCAAGATAATGTGACCGAATACCGTCCACAGATTGGACTCCTGCGAAAGAGCTCGCTGCTCCAATGTTCTTGAGCGACGCATGGAAAAAGTCCGCGCTCCCGATCTCCGCGTAGTGCAGGCTAGAAGAGCAATACCAGGGAGGGCCGTGCTTCGCTGAATGATCCAGGCTGTAGTCCGTACCTGTACCGAAATCAACACGAAAAAAACAGCTCGGGCTTTTTTCTGTTTTGGTGTCAGTTGTAAGACGTAGAGCCGGCTGGCTACCAAATTTAGCTTTGTCCTTTACTTGTAAAACGAACACGACAAGGACGGCCTCGAACTGTTTATCAAGATAGCGATCGAGATAGAGAATAAATCCAAGCATCAATGATTAGAGCACGTAGACAGCTATACAACGTAGGGAAATGGTGATGCGCGACCGCGTCTGTCCACCTGTGTCCCTTCCAATCTTGTAGCCGGGCACTTTAAACGCGTCGGCCCTCCACGTGTATGGTACAGTGGTGACAAAACAAACGTCGTAGCTCCTGGCCCTGCCACTGCCGTTGTGCCACCTGTCATTAGTGTCGTGATAAGCAGACTCCGTTACTGCGTAGGCATGGGAGGCGATGAAAGTAGTCTTACAAGCCCGTGCTTTTCCTTTTGACTTTCTCCGATTCTCGTGCAGACCAGCAGCAGAAACGTAGCTCAGAACTCTCTCCCGTACCTCGCGCACCTCCGGTTAGCGCTTTCGCTCGTGGCGGTGTAGTCGTCCCTCCACTTTGTTAGGTGTAGAGTCTGTGCGTCATCCCGAGTATCAAAGGAAGCGCCGCCATGCCACAGCAACTGCGCAGCGGCTTCGTACTGCGACGGCAGGAGGTAGGACAGGAAAGTGGGCACGTAGCGCGCGACGCGGCATCTTCCGATCGTAAGCAAAAAGAGGTCACTCGTGTGCGGCCGGATGCGCGGAGTCCAGGTTTCCAGCTCGCAGTGGTACGAGTCCAGCGCGCTCTGGTCGCTCGTGTAGCTGCACTTGTTCAAATTTGAATTTCCGAGAGAAAAGGCGAACTTCAGCAGATTAGTTACATTCACAGCATGCACGTACCAACATGACGGCGCTTCTACTGATAAGATTCCTGCGGAAGAGCTGGTCTGCCTTTTTTCAGTGTCCTTGAACGTTAACAAATCAGTAGTGGCAGAATCATAATACAAAAACAAGGGAGAAGAACAAGGTAATCTCAATACCAGGAATAGGAGAGCCGGTTCTTCTTCGTTAGATGAAAAAGACAGTCAGTACCTGTGATAAGGTTAATGCGCAATCAGAGAGCTCGTCTTCGTTGCAGAAAAGATAATTTCTTTTGATAATGGCTCCGACTCGGGCTAACGACTATTACTTGTACCTAGGTGGCGCAACAAGAAGGCCTGTCGTATCTACTTCTAGAATCAACGCGATACAAAAAAGCTCAGGCATCCACGAAGAGCAGATGAGATAGTGTGCGCGAATGCCACAGCGTGGTCGCGTCGTGTTCTTCATTTTCTCATCCGGAGCGCTTCGCATCTCGTACGGCAGTTCCGTGCTCTACTGGAACTCCGAAAATCTTTCTCCAACCGGAGAAACGCGGAAGCTTGGGCAAGTGATGCACTTCCACCGTGCACCATCGTAGTGCGCGGTCTCAGCGTCCAAACGGTTTCCAGTTCGGTGCCAGAAGGCAAGGCAGGTAGGCGAGAAGGAAGTTAACAACTCAAGCAAGACTCCGCGGACGAGCCTTGTCATGTCGATCTACGTAACTTACGAACCAGCACGGCATGGACACGCACTTTTTTCTGAGTACGTAGCACACTGACGGAGCAGCGGAAACGTAATATACAAAAGAGCTGTCGGAGCCGAAGGGGTTGGCGTGCTTGAACCTTAAGGGTGCTCCAGCGACGTCGTCACGCTCGGCGGGCTCAGCGCAAAAGTCAGGCACCCCTAACTCCCACGCCGGCCATATAGCAGATGTTTTACGTTTGTCAGAGTCAGTCTTTGTCAGAAGTTGGCTTAGAAAAAAAAATACCTTACTCTTTTTGCAGACTAATAGTCACAATGCTCCCTCGCTGGGTAGAGGCGAATTCGCCCGTAAGGGTCCCGCCTCGGTGGAATGAAAAATTTCCACAAAGGTTGAGAGTGCACATGAAAAAAAGCAAAACAAACCACGACGACTTTCGAACTGCCGCGCTTGCCGTACAGAAACAGTTTTATTTCCTCCTGGATTCAGAAGCGAACAGGAACTGATTTCGATGTGTGCAAGCTGAACGGAACATGTCAGTAACGCGGTGTCAAAAGGCAATATATTTCTTTTGTCGCAAACTGAAATATTCTTGACCGTGGAACGGGTATAATACGCGGTCTTGGTGGTAGGATCTTGTTGCTTTTGTACTCTCGCTGCATGGGAGCAGATACAGTGTTTTTCTGGGTAGCTTTTTCTTTACACATAACTTGGGCCGCGGACTACACGTCTCGTCGGCCCAGACATTTTGGAATTATAATTCTAAATGTATAGTGAGAATGGGGATTGCGACTGCGGAATGCGGATATCAAACCGTATACTTACATTACAAACGCTCATAGAAAAAACGACCAATTCAATCTACTGCTCAATCCGAGTCCGAAACCTCCATCGCTAAGAGGGACCTGAATGTGATTGGTCTTTTTTCCGGCTTTGGCTGCCACAAGTACGCGAGAGAAATCCACAGCCGGAAGCTGACAATCTGCCACACGCCCTCATCGCGGGACATCTCCAAATTGTAGCCTTCCTTATCTCGCACATAGGACCCGCGGTCGCAGGCCCCAAAATCCAACGCTGGCATGCGCCGGCTCGACCACCATTTTCCGGTCAGCCGATTTTGCTGCACTTCCTCTGGCTCGTCTTCATCGGAAAGACATTCATTTTCAGCAGCTCCTTGCAGCTCTACTACAGCCTGTTCTTCATTCTTCTCTACTGCTTCGGTTTCCTCGCCGATTATTCCTTTTGCAGTACTATTGTTCTCGACGCCGCCCTCGGTCACTTCCTGCTCCCCTGGCGACGCCGGGCGCGTGGTCGACACCTCGGAGGAAACTTCTCGCGACAAATTGATGGCACCACCACCACCATCTGTCTTTTCCAGCGCGAAATCCGGCATGTCGAGCGGAATCTCCTTCGTGACGTCCGCCCTTTCTCGGAGCTCCTGTTGCACCTGGTCGAAGAGGTCTTTTGCGAACGCCTCCACCTTGGCCCAGAAATTCGCTGTGGTGCTCCGCAGCTGCAGGGGCCCGTGCTTCTTCAGAAAGGCCATCATCCGCAGCCTCAGCTGACTATCTCCTCGACACAGACAGGCGCAGAACGGGGACCAGCCCGCGAACAAATCCGGGGCGAACAGCGTCCGCACTTGGACGCAATCCTCGCGCTTTGTTAATAGCAGGTGGACCACCGGCCAAAGGAACTTCAACTCAAACAAGGGCGCCAGCGTGCTCCGCGGGATCGCCAGCTCCCGGGTGCGGCTGTTCGGGTCGTGCGGGTTTTTGTACGCGAGAAACTTTTCGCTGGGCAACGCGCAATAGTTGAGAACGGTAGCGGGGCTCTTCATCGCGCAGTTCTTCACGAGAGTGAGTAAAATGTCCCCCCGCTCCTCCTGACTGACGTGCTTGCCGTACCTGGTCTTCCCGCTCTCTGCCACGCCAAACGACCGGACCAGCAACTGCTTGCTCGGCTCCCGGGACCCCAAAGCCCTCACGTTCCAGTTGTACTGCCGGAACAGCGGGTTGCTGAGCACGGCCACGAGCACCGTCGGTGCGTAGATCTCGTACATGCGGAGAAAAATCGACGTGTCGGATATTGTCGCTTCCGCCGGGTCATTACCAAACTTCGCACTCAACCGCTTCTCAACCCCGAGAAGCGACCCGGAGGCACGCCGAGGTTGCTGCGCCGCCGGGCCTCCTGCAGTGGAGACAACGACTGCTGAATTGGCATTGTTCAAATTCCCAGGAGTACTCAGCAGTGACGAGTCGAACAGATTCGACTTGTTCGGCGCGGAATCAACGAGCGCAGCGGCTAGCCGGGTTTTCGCGATTTCCGGCTTGTTCCGCGGGTTTCTGAGCAAGTAGCAGAGGAACGTGAGACTCTCTGCCCAGTTTGGGTACAGGTGGAGAAACTCCTTCCCGCGGACAAAACTGTTCGACAAGAGCCATGCCAGTTCGTGGTCGCCACTGCCCCGCTGCGGACTCTCGCCGATATCTGTTTCGGTCAAGGGCTTCGCTTTGGGAGGGACGACATATGCGCTCTCCTCGTCGTCGCTGTCGTACAATTTCACCGGATAAAAGGGATCTACTTGCTTGACGATGACTCGGAAATGCCCATTGCTTTCGGGATAAGCCGCACTTCGAATCGCATCGAAGTCGATCCGGGCGTCGCCTTTTTTCCTCTTCAGCTCGTCCTGCTTTGGATCTTTCGATGGCGTCAAGACATGGTAATCTTCCCGCACAGCCGCAGTGTCGTAATTCAAATGCTGAATGGCAACAAGGTGGTCCGGAACCTTCCAGCGCCGGGCCACTAGCTGCCGAAGCTTTTCAAAGGAAGGTGCGACGGTTGGATCGACATTGATAGTGTGGGGAGTTCCGGTCAAATCGAGAAAGATGAGAGGGATAGTGGCGGAAGTTTTAGTGCTACTTCGACTGGAGTCTTTGCTTGGTGGCGACATGATGCAACACGCAAACGTAAGTACGAGTCGGCAGATTTTCGATACACGAAGTCAATTTTTCCGACTGCAAATAAAAAAGTGAAAATGAGTAGTAATTCTGGTGGTACAACTGGGGCTGTGTCAGGATCTGTGTCTGTTCGATGTTTGTGCATGAAAACAAAAAAGTTCACACAGAATGGACCGGCGGTGTAGATTACCGCTACCGATACTTTGTAATTGTATCTGAACACTCGCAACAACTACTCGCTCAAAAAATATTCTAAAACGAGACCGACACCGAAGTAAATTTCTTGCCGCCATGGTGAACAACATCTCGGTAGAGATAGGAATCTTGGCGACCGACGCACAGGAGTAAGACCTCACCTCAATAGAACATCTATGCTGCTATGGGGGTGTCGATTGTGAGAATCCGGTCGTGCAGTTGCAGAGACCTAACTAGGTGGCACTCGGAAGTATTCCGTCGTAGACGGGAGATGTTTTCATTAAAATACTCCGCCAATCCCATTCCACAAAAGCTTTTCATCATCCTCATCAAGCATTTTCCATCGCTTCTCATCTGTTTCTACTTAATCGGAAATGAGGAGACAGATCAGAATGGGTCCTCGATCGCGTTGATTATCTCTTGTTCAAAATCCGATCTATCAGAAAGAGACACGGATGCGAATAGTCTTTTCTAACTCGTTGTTGATCCACTCCGGCGGCAAGTACGAGTCAAACCAATGCAATTGACAAAAATGGAATGACTCAGCGTGAGTACGCTCCCAACTTTCGATGTCAACAGTTTTACCGTAAAAATGACGATACCGGTTTTTTTCGTAATAACCATCACACTCGGCCTTCGTTGAACCTTCTACTTCATTACCGCGTTTTCGTTTTAGCAAAATGACGGTGCATTTTTTGGGATTCCTAGTCGGAAGAGTCAAGCACTCAGAAAAAACCTTCACGTACGATTTCGGTACCCCATACTCGTAATAACTGACCGTGGCACGATGCCTGTACCTGTGGGGCGGATCTTCGGAATAGAAAGACTCCGACCACATGTAGTCCCCAGCGCGATACAGTGCAATATTCGGGACGACGAAGTCAAATTCATTTTTTGCCGCAGTTCTGCCCCCGCTCGCGTGCGTGATTTGATTGCAGCCTCTCGAACTAAAAATATTTGCGGAGCAGCCTCCGGGATGCGCAGAACCAGTACTACCGCCGCCATTTACGATGTTGCGCACAGCATTGAGTTGCGCACGAAGCGCCAAGTTTTCGCTTTCGAGCTCCCGCACACGCTTCGAGTTCTTCTCTTCACGACTTGCTTGTTCGGCCTCGAACAACTTCACTGCTTCAATCAACCCCACTTCTTCCAGCTTCCTCTGCACAATTTCCGGTCGCTCGTCCAAATACGTCGCTATCGCTTTGCGCAGCGCAATGTTGGGCGTCAAAGCTAAAGAAGGAAGCTGAGCGCCAGTTACTGGCGACGTGCCGTGACCCATACGGAACCACTCAGCAATCGCACTTCTACTGTACGACTGGCCATCCACTGTGCACACTGGGTCTTCCATGATATCGTGAAGAATCGGGCATAAAAAGTCCGCCGGGGTCGGCAGAGTGTCGGCGTCCAGCTCGAGCGCTGCCATGGTTTATCGTTGTTCAAACAACGACGTAAGAGTCTTTTCAGGCGCGGAGTGAAAGTAAGACTAACAATCACAATGAAAGAGGAATGTCCATAAAGCAAATCCGAATAGCGATATGATATGTTGTGTGACTCCTAAACACATTGAACGAAATAGTTTAAATAGTATGACCGTGCTTCTACTGGCGATTCGCATTTGTAAGTACCTGTCCTGCTAAGACCCAGAATTAGACGAGGAGCGGTGCAAGATCTTAATCACATCAATTTTCGTCGCACTTTCATTCGCGTCGACACGGCAGCTCGGCAAGGCACTTCCAAAAAAGTAAAACCTTCGAATTAAAAAAACATTCAATATGAAGATCGTGGCCCCGGTGAGTCACGGGCTCAAATATTAGTGGACTAGTAGAACTGGTCAACGTACATAACACCGTATCATGGCCGCACATCGGACGTCCGGCGTCTCTCCTTTCTTTCAGGAGTGAGTTTTCTAGTTACTTGCTTCATCAATTCTTTATCGCTGCTGCCGAACCCTGGTGAGCACGACTCTGAGCAGTATTTGAAGTTAACCTTGGCTTGCACTATGACTTTCGTTTGTCTTTACTTTTACAACTGTTCGCAGAAGTGAATTCACAGACTCAGAAGCTAGCGTTGAAACCAGGACGGATATCCTGGCCAACTCTGAAAAAAACTTCTTTGGTGTTTGAAATCTCAACTACAACCTTCTAAGATCAATCTCCTAGTGTACTACAGCGCATTTTAGCGTTGATTGATATGCTAACGTTTGAGTAAGACTTCTGACAGTAAGACTTCTGGCCTCCCATCTATTCCGACTAGTAGGAAAAACCAGACTAACATGCGCGACGAAGAGCTCACAAGAGCAGCAACGCCGCCACCGCTCCCGCAATCCAGAAGCCAAGCGACAGGGCATTCCCGGACGCACTACCCTCCGGCGACAGCCCCTTTGCGGAGAAGGTGTCCTCGGATTTGTGGCCGCCGGATCGCAAGCAGTAATCTATGTACTTACCGTCGCCGTCTCCCAGATTGCATGAGTTGTCCGGGAGATATGGGCCGCCGGAGAGACACTGTGAATTCAATTTTTTTTTTTTTAATATTTCACCAAAATCATCGTCGATAACACAACCACAAAGCCTCGCACTCGTGGTGCATTACGCGTCGTACAAATTCAGCTGTCAAGAATCATCATACCTGGATCTCTCCCTGCACTTTGTCTACTAAGGATTGCATCGTCGGATACTCTTCCAGACACTCCTCGTCCGTGTAGAACTTGCCGCAGTTGTTGGCCTTAAACTCCTCAAGATCGCGCGTGGCCTCGCCATGGTTCTTAAAGTCTCCGATGACCGGGAGGCAGTATTTTGAGTTCTTTCCGTCCCACCAGTCCTTGCAGAAGCAGGTGCCTGGTGTTTTGATTTTCGTTTTTCGCTTGGAAAATAGCTGCAGCTTCTCCAAAAACATCTACAAGGCCGCAGCTTATGTCGCGTAGTGGGAGGGTGAACGAGTGGACAGGGGGGAAAGAAAAACGCCAGAGGATGGGCAAGGGAAAGGGTTTCTGAAGCAGGGCGGGGCCAAGCATCTGCGCCACTTCTTGTTGAAAGAACCAAGGCGGAGCGTCTTGGCGCCCGTGGTTCCCGTCGTTGTGCGAGCGCGAGGACCCCGCCCGCATTGGAAGCGCGCCCGAGGTTGCAGGCCTTAGGCCCGACAACGCAAAGGCAAAGCGCGGCAGCGGGCGGGCGCCAGTGAACGGGGGAAGGAAGCAGGAGAACACCCCGCGCCATGCGCGGCGCCTGCGCGTGACGCCCCGC